GATTTCATTTAATTATTTCTGACTGTGATCCCTGTCCAACATTTATTATAGTTTCTCCACATACCGGAATATTTCGTCTAAAGTTGAAATCATTAGTTTGGCGTTTTGCACAAATCTCACACCAAACTTTGGGGAAGTTACAAATATAGCTGGCAACCTGCAAGTGTTACTTTTTGGCATTCAAGAAAGTGGAAAGACTGAGAGCAGCCATGTCAAATGTAGAAATATCCAGTCTGGCAAGTGGCAACTTCTCAGTGGCTGTGCTCATGTGGTAAAACAGTGACTTTCTTCAGTTTAGACAGTTTGAAAGCACACATATCTCTGCTAGGGACATAATTATAATGCTCTACTTCCTGGATATAATCACCAGGGTTTTATGTTTTGTTTTTTAGTTTGCAAGATAACTCAAGTAGTTCAGTAAAGCTCAGAAATGGGAAAAGGAACTAATTATTTGATTTTGGAGGTGGTCCGGATCACTGGAAGTTCTAACTATTGATTTACGTTCTTCCCAACATACGGTCTATGGGTAATAGTCAAAATAAAGGACAGAAATGTGACTCACCTTACAAAACTGAACAGTGGCGTGAAGCCTGCCAATCCTCAAAAAATTTCCACGGCAAATATTCCAGACGCCAGGAATCTTATACAAGTTTGATCTGCTGTATGGGCGATCAAGAATGTTTTCTGCGGTAAAGATTCATTGAATATTTTGCCCGATGCTACACATTTGTGCAGACGCTTTCCAATCTACCTGACGCTAAACAGATGAACAGAGAATCAAAGGCAGTCACTGTTTGAATTAGGCCTTTTGATATTTGCGCTGCCTTTGTAGTGTGTACTAAATGGGAGAGATGTAGTTGATATGGATGAGACTTTGTTCTGTTCTGGAGGCTTCTCTTGTCGCGTCAGACGAGGAGAGAGCAGCAGATTAAAGACCAGCGCAGAGACAGAGATTTACAAGAGCAGGATGATCGGCGTGGGGGAATAGTGTGTGTTCATATGAATGTGCAGGTATGTGAAGTCAGCCTGGATCTGATGTGTCATTCTTGAATCTGGTTGTGGTTCCCATTTGGCTGCTAACGCTCTTTGTACTGTTTCACCTGCTCTTCTCAATAGTCATTTTAGTTTTAGTCTGAAACTTCACTCTGTATGTACGACGCATTCTTTCTGTGTGTAAAAAAAACAAAACAACCTTGAATGTACTGTGAACTCCAGCGCCACAGATCCAAGTTGTACCTTGGTTTGCCACACTGCAAAAAAAAAAATCAAATATGAGGTAATATTTGCTTGAATCCGGTGGGTTTTATCATTTGAGTACATTCTGACTGTATTAGGGATTTCGGGGTTTTAAGTGAAGGTGTCCGTAAAGAGATCACAGAGAAAACTGAGTTGTGGCGGTCAGGTGTTTATAGCACTTCTTGATCCTTTGATGTCGGCTCTTCCTATCATTGTGAAGCAGAATTCACCAAGCGTTGGATTGTTCACCTACTAATGGGGAACGTGAGCTGGGGCCAGACCGTCGTGAGACAGATTAGTTTTACCCTACTGATGATGTGTTGTTGTAACAGCAATTCCCATTCCAATCCAGATTATTGTCAGATACCGATCTTGTTACTGTGGATTTCTATAACTTCCGATACCCAAAAACAGGGGGAAAACAGTCAAACCTCAAAGGAAGTCAGGGAGTCCAGCTCTGACAGTAAAATGAAAACTGCTGAGCCTGAACATGTCATTCATCTGTATACAGTAAATACAATAATCATGTGCAATACTGCAATTTCAGAATGTCCCCTGAATGTCCCTTTATCGACTTAATATTGAAGCATTTACAGCTAGCTAAGAAACATAGCAGCTACTTTTTTATTGTATATTTTGTGTGCTCTCTGTGTGCTTTTACTACTGTCCTGTATGTGCGCTGCAACATTTTAATTAAAAAAAATAAAAGTTGTCACCCCAGTTGAAATTGAAGAGAAAGTAAATGTTGTCCATATATAGGCCGCACCTAAATATAAGCAGAAGATATAAGTTTTCATATTGGTATGTTGCACTTAACCAATAACTGATGGATTAACGTCTAATAGAGTAAAATAAAACTCAATATAACTGGTCACAAAAGGTTTTGTTGATGAGCTGTTGACTCGTGAGGGACAAAGCTAAAGGTTAATTAAACAAGACAGTCTGAGGATGTTAGCATGCTTACCTTAACTGTGAGCCTCCTCATTTAGCTATTACTAATTCTATCTATTTTGACAATAAATGTGTCCTGTAGTTACTAAAACTTGATGGAGTCAAAATAAGTCCATAAACTCTGTTCTGACAACAGCCCAACACTACTACAATACAAATCCACATATTTGTAGATCAAACACAAGGCAACAAGATAGAAATAATACAAGGCATTAAAGTCATAACTAATTACAGCACATTAAAAAGAGTGAAGATGAAATCCCTCAGTCGTATGCACTGATAAACAGAACTGTTTGTAACCTGGATTTAAGCATTGTCAGAAGAAGCCTGTCTTACATTTTCAGGAAGACTGTTCCAGGTTTTAACTGCATAAATATAAAAATGCTGCCTCCCCAAGTTTAGTTCTGACTCTGGGCACCAGCAGGTGGCCAGTCCCTGTGCTCCTCAGAGTTCGAGTTGGTTCATATGGCACTAACATGTCTCGGATGTCCTATGAAATGCCCTGCTATATATCAGCTGCAGGGTCCAAAGAAATTGAAAAACTTATCGGCAATTACGGTACTTTTAGTTTTACTGAAAGGTGGATGTAATCAAGCATTAAACTGATTCCATTATTCAAATATTTCCATTATCCGCACCAAAATCTGATACCAGGATTGTATTGGTGCATTCCTAATCGGTGCTTTAGTTTAGACCTTGGCTCGCTACATTTTGTTAACCTGATCTCTTCTTCTTTTCTTCTTTTCTCCCTTCACTTTTACTGGATCCAGAGAAAGGTAACTGCCGCCGTTACTCTTCTTTATCTCAAACACCAGTGTCCATCTCATCCGTCTCTGTTCTCTCTTTGCCTTGAGAGATCCATGCTCCCTGCTGCACCGTCAGGATGGGGTTAAATCACGCTCTGACCACCGGCTATTTCCCGCTCACTGTTTTATGCCATTTTGATCCCACAGTGAGAGCCGTAAAAGAGTCATTTGTGTGCCGTTTGCCAAGGCCACTCACGCTGGTCCAGTCACACGGGGCTGAAATGTCCCTGAGCCAAAAGTGAGATGCCGCTTCACTAATATCCAACCACACACATTTCTCCTGCCTGGCCTCAGTCGGGAGCGTTATCGACCCCTAAAGGGAGCGCACAATTAGGCAGAGGAGACAAGCGCACAAAGGGATCATAAACGCCCAGATTAATGTTATATTTCTGTGCGTGAAGACTCTGCACTCACAGTTTGGAATCTAAAGTCTGTGTTCAGATTTGTGGTCTGTGGATCTGGGCCTATTTAGTCCCAATTTAGAGCACTGTGAGCAGACTCAATCAACCCAAAAAATGAATTGCTATAAATACACAAATGTACTCTTCTAAACTAAACTATAAAAAAAACAACAAATGTGTCTTTAAAAGGTCTTTAAAATGTTTTAACTCAAGCAAAACCCTTGAAGTCACCTATACACAAGGGATTTCGCAACGTTTGACCTCACAAAGGATTATCAAAGGCCACTTTAATCTTAAGGGTAGGTCAGGAGACAGTGGGAATAATAGAAAAAGTATCAATAATGACATGTATTTCCATCCATCCATTTTCTTCCCCTTAATCCATTTCTGGGTCGGGGGGGTGGCAGTCAGAGCTGCACCCAGTTCACAGAGCACCAGCTTCTCACTGATCCTCCTGCAGGTGGTGAGTCCACAGGAGCTGAAAGCTTTCAGCGGGGGCTTTGGGCAAAGCGGGATTAAGTGTCTTGCCCAAGGACACAACGACAGCAGTCATCAGTGGGAGTCATGAAGTAGGTCTTACGGTGGGCTTAAACCCACGACCTTCAGGCCCAAAGGCCAATGCTCTACCAACTGAGCTACTGTCGCCCTCGACATGTATTTCTGACCTGAAAATACTAGATAAAGGATATAGATTTGTCATGTGGTAAAGAGAAAGACGACTCAAAATGCAGGTGGGCGAAAATAATAATGATTTAATGATGCAATATAAAAGTCCAAGGTAAAAAAAAAACTAAAAAATCCAAATGATACTCGGGAACCAGGAACATAGACATACTGTAGACAAACAAAGACAATGGACCAAAAACAAGGGGAGAGGAGCACTGGAAAAATATTAGGGCGGGGCAGACAATCCACATGAAACAGGAAGGCAAACTAAAAGAAAACCTCAAAACTGAAGTCAAAATAAAACCAAATACAAATATAAAATCCAAACCATGACAAGAATTGAATAGAGATTATGATTATTATGTGAAATCCTCCTGGGATCCAAACCCTGGTGGAGGTGGAAGCCGGAGTGATGAGCCGAAAAGAGAGACTTCCACTGATGAGGCTGTGATGGGGAGGAGGCGGGTTGCTGCACAAACAGCACTTTGATGCAGAGACTGTGAGGCTGGTGCAGGTGGAATAGTGACTTTACAGAAGAACAATTTCAATATAATTTAGCTATGTAACATAGACTATGTGGTCAAGGAAAAACTAAATAAGATCTGTTTACTGTACAAGCAAATATGTTTTCCGAAAATCATGTTTAATCTTCTGCACATGAGGCTGGATGTAAACTCAATTTGCTGTGAATGCTTTTGGTGGCAGCTTTAGGTGCAATAAAATTAAATCAAAACACTCATATATGGCCATAACCACTATACATGAGATGAGAAAGTGCTCTGGGGTGGAACAAATAAGCCATCGCTATGCAAACACTCACTTACAAGTACATTAGGCTCGCTAATGGTCGCCAGGTTATTCCCAATTCATTTCATCTCCTCAATCTTTTTCCCCTTCTTCTCAATCACCAATGACTTGAGATGGTTTGTGTTGCTTTCAGGGACTTTGCCTACGTGGCGCGGGACAAGAACACGCGGGTGCTGAAGTGCCACGTTTTCAGATGTGATACCCCTGCTGCCGCCATCGCCACCAGTCTCCACGAAATCTGCTCCAAGGTGAGGCGTCCCACGGATACTCACTTCATTTAAAACGGGATTAGGGGAAAACACAAGCAAGATTGGAAAAAATCAACTCAAATCACAATAACAGTCTTCTAAGAGGACTTTACAAAGTTGTTGATTCGCCAAGAACAGATCAGATTATCAAACACTTCAAATGCAGGAAATGCAATAACCCATGTCCATAAATGTCCTAAATGTCCCAGATTATTCATCACTGTCCTTACAATCTCTTGCCTCATCAAGAAATGACTCCCACAGATCCCGCAGATTACAGGCTGTAGAACCAGGACTAAGGCAATAGAACCGAGACTGAGGCTGTAGAACCAGGACTGAGGCTGTAGAACCAGGGCCGAGGCTGTAGAACCAGGGCCGAGGCTGTAGAACCAGGGCAGAGGCTATACAGCGCAGGACTGATGAGACTCCAAGGCGGGAAGAGCGATTTTTTTATTAGACATGTGTTTTACTATATATTTACCTTGTTTAGGCTCTCACAAACTGGCACCCCAAATTAGAACCTCATTCTGCTCTCCTATTGGATAATCTACTTGAAAACATCATCTTAAACTTAATTTAACAGTCCTTAAATAGAGCCACATACAGATTTTTGGAAGCAAAGTAGCAAACTTGGCAATTATTCAAAGTTGTTCTATTATGTTTTTTGCCACATCTGTTCAGACATGTGAAGCTTTGTGTCTAATATCCAATCCAAAACTCATCATTTGATTTGCACAGTGAATCTCTCGAGGCACTAGTGCTAATCCATCAGTCTGATGTTTATACCTGTGTTTAAAAACCTAGAATAGGGCTTTATTCGGATGCAAATATTGTCTGGTTCAAATCATTTCAGAGGAGAGAGATTGCACGGAGCAGGTTTAGGCCTGGAGCCATGTGCAGACTGCTGATATGATTTGGGTTATAAGAACATAGGTTTGTGAACTCTCCGAGGGACCGAGACACAGTGTTGTTAAGTGCACCGCAAAATGCACTTAAGTCAAAGCATCCTCGAGGCCTGCTCTGACCTTGTACGATCTACCTGCACAGGACCCAACTCCCTGCGGGTGCTTTGACCTATTTACTGCTGCAAACTCAAACCCTTAGTTTCAGTTACTGTTTTTCTTAATACTTTCATTGAATGTGCACCTATGACAATCAACTACTCAAAACTCCTCTAGTCTACATCATAGACTGTAAATATTAACGGACGTAGTCGCGCCTATCTCCGCGGTTCAAACTAATGGGCCAAAAATTTTGCTCTACTGGAGCTATCCACTCCCCTCAGCATTGAGACACATGTGGAACGGAGCTGTGGAGCAAGAGCCAACTTTTGGACCATCCTGTAAAGACGTTTTCGAGAGGTCTGCCAATGCTATATGTTAGCATTGGCTAATTCTTATTCCGGGTCCACCCCCATCGGCCCGGGGTGGTATTGCAAGCTTGTCAGCGCACGTCATTTTGGCCACACTGGTCTACACACCATAAACTTTTGATTTAGGTCCTGGGTTTGGTTCCACATTCAGGCCTTTCTGTGTGGAGTTTGCATTTTCTTCCTGTGTCCGTGTAGGTTTCCTCTGGGTGCTCCGGTTTCCCCTACCACTCTCTTGGTATTATTTGTTCATCACATTTTCACCCTCTACGATCCAGCACGTTTTATAAGTTAACTATTTTCTCATGAACGGTAAAAGACAAAGTCAGTGTCCACACGGATCTTGAAGCAGTTTTGCGTGAGGTAAAACAGTGATGAGTGTTCAGAGTCTAGGCTTGAAAGTATCATACACGAGGAGATGAGACGAGGAGACGCATTAGCAGCAGCGCCCATAGGAGCGCCGGCTGAAGAGTGAGTGTGCATTATTGATATAGACAATAATAAATACAGTAAAATTATATTATATGTATATGATGTATATTTATAAGATTTGTTTTCATCTATTTTACGTATTTTTGTTTTCATGATTCCATAACTTTTATTTCATTCATATGGCAGCTGTATAGTATGAATATTATAAAAGTATACTGCTTGACTCTGCATCACAAGATGACTGTTGTATAAGCAAGAGGAAAGTTCCCCAAAAAGACCTTAGACCTTGAAGGGTTAAGTTTGCAGCAGCAGAGAATCTAATGTGTAAATGGAAAATGGATTGGGATTCAATAAGTTCTCTTTTTCCTTCTCCCTTTATAGTTTTTTTATTTTTATTTTGGTATGTTTTTTATGCTAATAACTACTTGTGTTGTTTCTCTGTTTGCCTGAAATGAATGAATACATAGACAAACATAAAAATAAACTATAAACAGGTACAATAGATATGAATGTAATTAGTGAGTGAATGGATTGCGATGGTGAGGGCCCCCGAGAATGAAGGCATCTGATTAGTCCATCCAAGACCACATCAAAATATAAACACCAGGATCATAGAGAGCACTAAACCACAGATGTTTTAAGCTCAAAATGATAACTGAGCTAGAGGGGTTTACTTGATTTAAGTCAATTGCAGTTGAGTTTTGTGTGAGTTGGACCAAAACTTGTCCATGAGCACTTCCTATGAGGTTTCATTGAGCTTGCGGTTTGGCATCATCCATCTGTATACAGCTTATGGATCCGCCAGGTGTTCGGTGCCTCGCTCCTGTCATCACTGTGTGTAAAATGAATGGAAATGACCGGTACAACAAAATCGTAAAGCGCTTCGTGTGACCTTGGTCTATAAAATGCACTGTATAATTAAAGTTACTTACTTACTAATAATAAAATAACTTGAAGTAACAACCAGGTAACAAGCTCTCTCTCTATAACAGTAGCCTAATATGATCGTGTGCACTGGAGTGACCCCTCCTCATAAGTGTAAGGCTGCAGTTTGATTTGTCTCCACTGCAGCAGATAAACCCGGTGACCCCCGTGATGCAGCTGCGCCCCTCCAGCCCTGTTAGCGGGGCATGCTCTTTTTGCATGTTCCCCTGTGAGGCTGCGGACTCACCAGCGCCTCTGATTAATGACACCCACAATTAATCAAGTGTCTGGAGCAGGGAGCAGGGACCACGCACACTGCAGAGACCGCCACCAATATATATCAGAACAGTCACACAGGAAAGGCGACGGAGAGGAGAGACTGGGTGTTGGAACGCACTGAAGAACTGTTTGGGTTCATGGATGTATTTTGTTCGTCCTGACATGTTTTAGACAAATCACAAGACAACATACAGTCTTCATTATATTAGAATACATTTATCTTTTGCACACTGACAGCTGCTTGGATGAGTAAGGGCTGGTACTACCTTTTTCTCTCAAAAAGCTGATCTGATATTGTGACAGACTATAATTACATGCGTGTGAAACCAGTCGAATAGCACTAAACGGTTTGGAGAGCCTTTCATTACACATAGTTTATTGTTTGTGGTTTCAAAGTGAGGTTCTCTAGCTTTAAGTCCCGAGTCAGTCCATACTCCAGCAGAGAAAGTGCATATTTTGAACAAATTGTGAGAAAGAGTGTGAAATTTTACCTGAAACTATTTTTCATTTTATCTATTTGTCTATAAATTCTGTAAAGTGAACTCATCCATATTTTACAAAAAGCACACTTCAGTTGAGCTTAAACCATTCAATTCAATGTATTTTGTCTAGCCCTAAATCACAACAGCAGTCATCTCAGAGGACTTTACAAAGTTGACAATTTGCCAACACAAATCAGAGAATCAAACAGTTTGAACACAGGGAATGTGATAATAACCTATAGGAGCCATTTGTCCTGTAGGTAGCTGGATGACAATAAATGTTAATTGATCATGAACTGATGGGGCCCACCACCTGTTACTATGGAGATGTTATTGCTTTGCTCTGAATGTCCTTCAGTTTGTTATTAAACATGTACAGTTTTAAACTAAAAGTATTTTTTTTTACTGGGGGAAAAAGTCTGAATTCCTTCAGTGCTACCTGTTGCGTGCACTGTTTACGCCGTACTGTTAAACGCCATTAACAACAATAACTTTTGAAGGGCACAAGGAAGTAGCAGACTTTCCAACAGAACATTTAAATACAAAAATGTCATAACACCTATAAAACACATTATATTTATAATTCACCATCATATGTACTGTACATGGCTGATACACTTAAAACAATGTTCTCAATCAATTTTTCCTAACCTTTGGATTTTTTGTGTCTATTTAGATTATGGCTGAAAGGAAAAGTGCCAAGGCTGCAGCTGGCAGCTCCTCCCAGACCGGCTCAGATGTACCACTACAGGGTAAAACTCACAAAACATGCTTTCTTTCTTTTGATCTATGTTTTTTCCCTTTTCCCTTTTGTGGGAATTGGATTTGTCAGCTTCACGCTGTCTTGGCCCACTGTGGCCTCCTGTCTCACATTACATTGTTTACCCCTGTTTAAACGCACATAGGTTTTTCTCAAAAACATCTTATCAGCTCCAAAGCCACTGTGTCGTTAATGGAAAAGATAGTGAGAGTTTTTGCTGCTACTACATATGGACAATGCTGACTCCAGAGCAAATCTTGTAGTGCGATGTTGTTCCCTTTGGTCGCAGGTAATTATAGGTGGAAGAGAAATGATACCAGGACGATTCCTCATTGCTGTGTCAGTTCAACTGGACGAGAGCATGTTTGCTGAGTGCAGGAGAAAACCATGCATCAGAATATAAAAGACCAGGCTAAATCAGCTATTCACTTACAACATCAGCCAGCTCATTAAAATCCAATTAGTGCTTCTTTGAGGTTTGGTTTACATTGACTAAAATGCCTGGCGTCAAAAACTCAGCTTCAAAGCATGTTTCCAAGTTACATGTCTGGAGCATCGCGGTTTAGACATAGGCCATCGCATTGATCCACGAGGAAATGAGTGTGGAAGCTCATTTGCACATAAAAAAAACAGATTAAAGCCTCAGCATCCTCTGCTTTAGACTAAAATAGAAAATCAAAGCACTAACATGATTTTTTAGTAGTTTTCCCAATTTGGTTGTTTTTTTGCACTGATAAAAGTTGTGTTTGAAAATCATCATAAAAATGTCCTCACTGTGAACAGGAGATCTTCACTTCACAATATGTTAGCACACAACTATGGAATCATCCAGTTGAAGAGTAAACCACAAAAGTGTTTCTATAAAGGCTTCTTTGGGTTCTTTTGTTTTTGGTGGAGAGAAGTCTGACTTTGTCCATTGAATGTATTTGAACATAATTCACACATGTGTGATACACACACTTGTCACACACTCACATCTGCACGTGCACGCTCATTGGCACAAAGCCTCATAAAAATGAACAGCACATTTGTTCCAGACACTGCATGTGTTCATCAACAGGAGCCACTGAAGTAAAACATTTATTTTAACATGTTTATAAAATGACGAGACACTGCGGTCTTTAGAAGCAGAGTTCACTCCCTCTCTCCCCCTGAGCCCCTCCCTCTGTGGCTGCGTACTTTCATGTTCCTGAAGTATGTACGTATGCTCGGCAACAGTCTTTACAGTGTGACTCTCTCTGTTTTAAAGGAGAGCCCATATCTGTAGAAAAGCGACCTCAAACAACTTTTTTATAGTGTCATTCATTGAATAAATGCAAAAAATCTCTGCAACCTTCAGACTATGATCTCAACAGAGACCAGAAAAAAAAATCATAATTATGTTTATAGTAGAGGATGCACACGGCTTTCCTGGCCCTTGAAAAGGGTGTGTGTGTGTGTTGGTGTGCGTGTGTTTCTGGTGTATGCGTGTGTGTCGTGTGTTTGTTTGTGTGTGTCTCCATCAGAATGAGTTTTTCCACCAAATTGTACAGCATTCGTCTTTAGAACAAAGTTAGCACAAGCTGCATAAGGCAATTAGACAGAAACCGCAGTTTGAGTTTGAAAGGTGCAATTATGTGACATCAATGGTCAAAATGTTTTAGAATCCTCTGAAATAACAAATATCTTCTTTTGTGGGAACATTTCAAAACACAAAATTCTAATTCTGAAGATAATCATAGATCTTTGTCCATTGACCTGGTTCTTCCTGAGGCTGATACTGACCACTGCTACCATGTGTTCTGTTTACTCTTTGATTATTTATTATTTTAGTGTGGCGCACATGACCATTATCACCAAACTCATTTCAGATCTGACTTTCTTTCATTTCCCATTAACATTCATGCAACAGATCTCATTATCTTGTTTTTTTTCTGACATAGAAATTAATTATCAGGTAAAAACCCATTACTTTGGGCTGGTGTGTTCGATGATCTACAATTGGAGGAATCGTAAATCACAAAATATTAAATTGTGGGTACAAATCCGTTTGTCTTGTGTTGCAAATTAAATGGAAATATGTTGTTGTGTTTATGTGTTTGTTTTGATTAAATGAAGAAAAAGCATATTAAATTGAAAAATCTGTAGAAGCTATAATTTATGCTCTTCGCATTTGGAAAAAATATAGATATAAATTGTATTTCCTTAGACACCTATTATTGAAACTGTAGAATTCTTTCGCACCTCTGGTTTGTGTGAAACTTGCGAGCAGTTTAATTGCTGAGTTAAAAAATCACAAATCATCATCTCTCATTTCTAATAAATCTTCATCCATGTCATTATTGTATTTCTGTCTGTTTCTGCGCAGAGTTTCCGATGCCAAAGACTGAGCTGGTGCAGAAGTTCCATGTGTTGTATTTGGGCGTGACGTCAGTCATTCGTCCTATAGGTAAACAAACTCTTAACTTATGGAACATAGTTAGAGCTGCAGTGTCCTCACCGTCCTCTGCGTCTGCCACAGGGATGGACATCATCAACGGAGCCATAGAGAGTCTTGTAGCCTCCACTGGAAAAGAGGACTGGATCCCCGTCATCCTGAGCATCGCAGACACCACTTTATCAGTCATCAAGGAAAAGGCAAGAAGCATCATCACCAATCAATGAAGAAATCAAAGTTTTTTTGTATAGCACAATTTGTACAGAACACAGGTGCTTCATAAAACAGCTTACAAGACACAGAATACAAAACATTTCATACAGTATACATCCCTCAATTTTTCTTCCCTTTTATCCGATGCCGGGGCGCAGAGGCAGGGGCACCCAGGCTTCTCTATCCTCACACACCTCCTCCAGCTCATCCAGGGGAAAACCGAGACGTTCCCAGGCCAGCTGAGAGACATAGTCCCTTCAAACGTGTCCTGGGTCTTCCTCAGGGAGGCGTCCAGGACAAATCTGAAACAGATTCCAGAGCCGCCTCAACTGACTCCTCTTGACATGGAGAAGCAGCGGCTCTAGTCTAAGCTCCTCCCGTGTGATTGAGCTCCTCACCCATCCATCTCTAAGGGAACGTCAGCCACTCTGCGGAGGAAGCTCCACGACCACTTGTTTTAATGTTGTCCTTTCCGTCATTAAAGCTCATGATCATACACAATACAAGACATATATCTATCTAATACAGCACAATAGTGCAATTAAACAAATACTAAATACTAAATAAATTAAAATCATTTTTAGAAGTCAGTCATCTGTACGGCTAAATAGGATTGTTTTGTAACCCGGACTTGAACATTATCAGAGAGGAGGCCATTCAGCAAGACAAAAGACTGAATTGCCAACTCCTCGGCAGTGACATGTTTGTTTGTTATGATTCTGGCTCACTTATAACATTATAACAAATAAAGGCTTGACTGTAAGTTATTGTAAGTAGAATTTAAGAAGTAAATGGATTTTTGAATGATATTCTAATTTTCAGAGTTTCATCTGTATATAATCCGGATCACCGTCTGGATCCAGGAATTTTATTAAGAAATGGAAATGTGCCTCTTGGTGGAGGTCTTTTCTCGTTTGAGAGATGTTTGTGTTCTCCAATTATTCTTGTGTTAACCCATAATTGTACAAGAAGTACAATGTATTATTATTATCATTACTTGTTGTTTGACGATGCCACTGTCGTCCTTGTGCTTCAGGAGGAGGAGGAGGAGGCCGTGGTGGAGTGCCGTGTGCGCTTCCTGTCCTTCATGGGAGTGGGCCGCGACATCCACACGTTCGCCTTCATCATGGACACTGGGAACCAACACTTCCAGTGCCACGTGTTCTGGTGCGACCCCAATGCGGGCTGCGTGTCTGAGGCTGTGCAGGCTGCTTGTGTGGTAAGAGTATGAATCTACAATACAGCAATGTCTCAACACAGAAATAGAAATATATCTATTTACAATTTTAGAAGTGGAAATGGTCGTGAAGTAGTAGAAACATATTCCAAAGTCAAGCAGAAATTTGGGACAAAATAAACAAAGCTGTTATATTCTAATTTAGGGCCGAGTGGATGAATCATATTGAATCCTTCAAAAAAGCGTTGATTACAAGTAAATTGTCTCAATGAATTGGTTCATTTTTATAATTACTTAAACCTTTTAAACCTGTGACACTGATCGCATGGAACTACTACATAAAGATGTTACAGAGCAAATAGGTTTTTTGTACTTACATACTTTCTCTTTTACTAAATTTTACAAAATTATAATAAAAGATTTTGTGAGTCAAACACAGAGCTTTACTGTTGTTCTAAAGTCTCAATCTCCAAAATTGTTAGTTTTCCTTGTGTAGGTATTTTGACCAAAGTTTCATTCGCTTAACTTTTAAATGTTTCTGAACAAATTGAGAACTTGGTCTGAATCAAAACGAGATCAAATATCATTACACATTTAGAATACATTATTATTAATTGTAGTATGGGGTAAATGCTTAGAATTGAATACATTATATAGTTGCTTTCTTAAGAGAATGTTTATTTGTATTTTTTATGATGTATAACATGTGTGCTAGCCCATAGAACCCCCTGTAAGGCCTACATGGGAAACACTGATTAGACAAAGTCAAATGATCAAATGACTGTTGGAGCAGTATTCTAATTACAGATAAATCTGTTGCAAACTTGGAAATAAGAGCATTGTGGTTTATGCATGTTGAGAAAGTATCAAATACAAATATATTCTTGGACTTCCGTTCTGCTAACTTGCTCCTGTTCCCTTTGCCTCCAGCTTCGATACCAGAAGTGTCTGGTAGCGAGGCCGCCCTCTCAGCGCGCCGGCTCCTCGTCCTCTCCCTCTCCAGACTCTGTGACGCGGAGGGTGACCACCAGTGTGAAGCGTGGCGTCCAGTCTCTCATAGACACTCTGAAAACCAAGAAACAGCCGCCAGAAGTGCCCCAGCAATGACCGCTCCAGGGTCCACAGCACTGATGCGGCTGTGACCAGTGAGCAGTACCAGCCATGGTATACAATGTACATACCGTTTATGTTAGGGGACACCACTGCAGTTCATGGAACCAAGAAAACACTAAACCAAATGTCTATTGGAAGAGCTGCTGTGTGACCTTTATTGAATTCGACCGTCCAAACAGCCCACAGTGGATTTTTTCTACAATCAGACAAAGTTTTCCATTATCCATTGACTGCATTTGTTTTGTGTTTTTGGTCTGACCCTTCAGAGCTGATGCCATCACTACATGGACTATTTCAGACCAGCTTTTTCTTTGTCTTTGCACAAACATGTTTTGTCCTTATTGACCCAAAGTAAGAGAAATGTAACAGTTGTTGACATTATAATGTTTTGTAAATGATTGTAATGTAAGAAGAAAAGATTGTATCCAGGAGAACATTGTAGATACGAAGAAGACGACAGGAGTGGTGTTGAGGAAAGATTAACATTGTGCATGTTGCTCAGATTTCTTACGCAGAGGGTCTGCATCAGAAGACGGGAGATATCTCCAGGCACAGGATGATGCCTTAAAATTAAAAAAGTAAATCTTCTACCCCTAAAATGTCCAAATCAAACATTTATATTTTTGGTTTTGTTGGAAAGCTAATCATTACAAAGTATTTATCACATTTAATAATTGATTGTATTTAATTAATGATCAAACAAGTTAAAAGCATCAAAAGTCCTGTTTCCACCAGCTCTACTAGGCCTCACTCTACTCTACTCTACTCTTCTCTACTCTAAGCGAAACGTCCCCTCTGCAGCATGCATGCGCACCGAAAGGACTGCTTTAAACTAGCAAAATGGTAAAAAATAATAACAATGCCCAGAATCACTGTCAAACCTGTTCTGGGTTGATCGAGCCTTCAAAGACCATTAGCACACACAATATTTTCTATGTATTTTGACTGAAAACCACGTCACTGCACAAGTCTTGAGCAGAAAACATATGCTTCACACATAATATTTTTGGTTGGAGCAGCTGGTTGCGTGGTACTGTGAGGCGCATCGATGTGTCCAGCTTTTAGCAAAGACGCATTTTTTAAATCCGCCTCATGGCTTCTGCTCGTAATGGAAACACAACCCGAGTAGAGTAGGGCCAGGCAGGGCTGGTGGAAACAGCGCTAAATAATGTTTTGAAATGTTAAATTGCTCAGGAAGCTCTACGTACGCACTTACTGATAGCAGGATGTGTTCCAGGATCTTGTTGGTGAAAGATGGTTGTGGCCCACACAGGTACTACAGCAGTAAACTCTATACACCTCTCCCTCAGATGCTCCGCAGACTGTCAGCTCTCGGTCACAGACATACATATGAGCACATCTCAGTAAAGCGTCTGCTGTCACTGCTCTTTGAAGCCTTTAGCACGCCTTCTATCGCTCGGGGCCGCCACCTGCACTCCACATGAACTCCGTGATGCAGTCCGATGCAAACCGCACACGCTCACAAAATCTGTTTCGTTCGCCACCATCTCTCCACCACCGTGTAAATGTACAAAGATGTTGTGACAATAAACGCATTATCAAAACAAAACCTTCAAAATGCAGTTTATTCCTTGGAAAAATTGGCCTTGCTATTTATAGGCAGTGTCTGGGTTTCATCTGCGACTATGAAAGACTTTTTGAGCTAAGACCTTCACCTGCGACTGTTGAAACGGGGCCCATGTCCTTTGTGAGGATTTGTGAGGTGGGAACAGAGCAGGGAACTCCACCTGAGGCAGAGAGATCACTGTGGGCTTGTGCACGTCTCGAGAAGCTGGATAAAGATGGGCCGCTTTTTTCCGACTACTTGATGTTCCATAAGCCTCCAGTTTAGACGATCTCATGAAGCCAATAGAATTAGTCTTAGGCAGGACTATTGCAGTAGACTCTTTGAGCTTTGGCACATTCTGCAGGAAAAAAATTATTCAAAGTAGACAGATTTTTACATTTTTTACAAGATTATGATAGTCCAAAATTACTCAATTGCACTGGTCTTGTCTACTACCTCATGTGGAAGATGATGGGGATGAATGATAGTGTTACTCCAGCTCTTCGATTTCTCAATTGTTTGTGATTTTTGTGAATCTCTGGAGTTTTTTCTCGCCAGCAGCAACTGGGCAGACTCTTTGGTTTTGGCCGATGGCTGGGAAAATAGAAAAAATAGTAAAACTTGAACAAAACAAAAATGTAAAAAAAACTCACACTAAAACTTACAGCTGCACACTTGTTTAAGGAAGTACCTAGTGAAAAACATTGTATATGTCAAATAATGTTCTCAATGCCTGAAGTTAGTTACCTTCGTCTTACCGCTGCTGCTGCTGCTGTTGCTGCTGATGGATTTGGTGTCTTTCTTTCGGAGTCGAGTTTGCCGACTTTGATATCTTCTGCGCTGTGGTTTTTCAGTTGTGTTTTCCACTGGGTCTTCTGTTGCGGAATTTTTGACATCTTGTGGAGCCTAGCAACATCACCAAAATAAAATAGTTTTACATGGAAAATGAAGTAAACAAATAAATAGTCAGTGAGTCCTTTGAATGTTGTTCAGAGATGCCAGCCCCATGTCCTTGGTCCTATCTGGAGTCACCTGCTGCCTCAGCACACAGCGGCCCAGTGCACTCTTTGGAGTCTGAATTATTCACTAGTGCAGCGACTGGGACATGCAGTCAGTGAGTTTGTGTTTTATTTTTAACCTTCAAGTGCTCTTCCATGCAAATGTATTCATACCAGTATTAAAGTGGGATTTATGTGTAAATGATATGCATATACTTGTGTACAGTTAGGTGAAAGTGGCGGCAGGTAAACACTGATGGGGGTCTATGATGCAGTGTTCGCTGGGTGCCCACAACATCATTGATGTTAACACAAACAGACAGGGGGCGCTGAATTATTCAGGAGACACTCTCCTTTGCTTCTCTTACTCCCCCTACTTCCTCAGCATCTCCTCTAAACAAAGTACACTATTCCGTCTTTGCCTAATCGTCTGGCTATTCCAGCCTTAAAACTACAGCCATATGCTCATCATTGTGTCTAATGAGTTGGTACAATGCCTAAAGCTGCCACTAAACAATGATCGATGGTAAACTCGAATCCAAGTCAAGCTCAAAATGTAATCATCTAAATGAAAGTGTTGCGATCTGTCCTTCAATATGACGTTGACCATGATTGTTGTTCCGTCTTATGTTGTTTTGCTCTGCTTCCCATTGAAATGAGGCCAGAAACACATTATTTCACCATGTTTATCGTTCCCGGATGCTCCAGTGTGGACGCCTCATAAAGAAATTTACTGCCCACTGCTGTGACAGTCAATGTAGGCCAGACAGCATTCAAATACTTATATAATTGCTTTTTTTTATTATGCTTTTCCATGTGCCACAATAACTTTTGATTAGACCATTTTATTGGAGGCGGGTTAAAAAAAATCCTGTTTGAAGTGCCATTACAGCAGTTTGATTATCTTTTCATCCTCATCTGTGGAGGTATAAAATGTGATGGATGACCGGAGACAGGCAGAGGCCGCGGTGCACGAGCGCTCCTCGCACCGGTGGCTAATAACCGCACCTCAGCATCATAAGCATGTTTCACACAGACTGCAGGAAACGCAGCCATGTTATGCAGTGGATTATGACAAAAATGGCAGACGAGAGCCACTTTAGGAAGCTATTACATTAGATTATACACCAGCTCACAGCACTCCAAAAAGATAAACATTTAGTATTTCAGTAGTAAAAACAAATTCCATAACTTACGTAAACATTATAGTCCACGAAATAAAATCTAAGGTCTAAAACACTGACTAAAACTAAAGCCTGAACAGGTCTGACTCTCCACAGATCTGACGTGAAGTCTCTGCTTCAAGAAAAGTCAATGACATAATTGACCTTTATGTACATTGATGTAAATATGACATTTTGTGGAACGCTGCGTTGGAAAGAATATGGATTTTATTCACCACACTGTAAGGAGCTTTGTGTGACCTTGGTTTGTGAAATGTGCTGTTTAAGTGAAGATTATTAATTTACTTTTAAAATAATTGTACCCCTAAAAAAGAAATGTTAAAATGTAAAGCCACATATCTCAATAATACTTTCAGTTTAATTCTGTTTCTGTCGTGTCAAATACATCAGGTTTAAAACAGCCTTGTATGTGTTTGTTCTGTATGTGGATATAGTGTCAAAGATTGAATATACACTTTATCCTGTACATACAGTTTCTAGATGCAATCTACTTTATACATTGCTAGATTTACACCATACCGACTGGAAACTGCACTACACACAGAGATGTATGAAAAGAGACGTGATGGAGAGAGAGGGGAGAACACCACAGTGTAGAGCAACACAGTGAAGTAAAGGCGTAGTCATTGCAATTCAATTACTTCAAGTGTGAGTGTCTGGACTGAGCCCCGCTGTACCACGCCCCGCTGTACAACTGTATGCCTCAGCTCCTCTCATCTGGGCCTTTATCAGATTTCTATTGCTGCAGCTGACACAGACACTGTCTCTATCAGTCCACTCCCTCCCATTTTCAGTATTCAATCTCCCTTATCCCGCAGCGGGAACTCTCCGTCATCTCAACAATCGCTCTGAGGCCGCTGCACCAGATTTCTGCTTCTGACTGACACTTCTTACTTTCCCTAGTTCCCAATTTCTTTCTTGGGTTTGGCATCGAATTGTTTGAACAGTCCTTTTATAGCATTCATCAGATTAAATTCTGAACTGTTGTGCTTTGCACTTTTGTTTGTGTAGTGTCTTGCCAACTGTAGCACCTGGTGTTTCCAAGGTTCTCCCATCACCAAACCTACCAGGCCCTGCCCTCCTTAGCTTCTACGATCTTACAGGTTCAGGCTTCCACATGCAGGTAGCATCAAAATACTAATGTAGTGTAGGTAGTGTTTTCATAGAGTCAAACGATGTAAATAGTAATTTCTGACCAATATATTTGTCAATCCAACCAAGATCAGATTGACCAATTTATCATTACATAGTTATTAGTTTTTCCGACCAATGTGTTTTTATGGTGTAGAAACAGAATAACAAACAATCATACTACTTCAATAATATTTTCATCCACAGCCTCAGGCCTCTCTTTCCATTACAAAGACATAATAAAGAGCTTACTTCTCTGGTAAAAACAGCCATGAAGCAGCCATTGTAGTGTTCTGTGGGCTCCAGCTTGAAGAAAAGTTCCTCTGAGTCCAAAGAAGAAGTGAAAGTCGGTAAACTGAAAGTCGGTAAACTGAACACAAAGAGAATGAGAGAGCATTAAAACAAATACATACGGTAAAAAGAAAGAAAGACCTGGAGATCGTTAACTCTGGTTCACATTTTAGTTGTTTAGTCCTAAAGGTACCACATCAAACAGTGATAATTGTTTATTAGTATTCCTGCATTATTACTGTACATATCCATCTGATATTTCTGCCATTCACCAGTCACTGTACCTGATGATATTATTTCTGATGCTTATTCTGCTCATATTCATATTCTCATATTCTCCGCTGCTAAAGTACAATATACACATCTGTAAATACTTCTGAACCAAGTGCAATTATAACCACAGAGTATATTTTATTTTATCTTAGAGTAATGTTGAGTTACTTGGAATTGAGGAAAACTCAAGCTGAAAAGAGAGAAGAAGAAAAATAAAGCTTCTCCTTTTTTGCCAACATAAAATGACACCTTTGATTTGATTTCCACTACTGCACTACTACGCTAAATCAAGAGGCTGCCTGAGGAGCACTGAGACTGTGGCAGGAGCTTATCTGAAGAGAGACAAACAGCTCCCGATGCAGACACAAACAAGATGCACAAAGACAAACAGATTGAGGGCATCGTGCTGCTGTGGAGGCGGTTCACCTGCTCTGACTGATGCTGCTCTCTCCACACTTGCAGGCGGGCTCCAACACGGCTCTGGCCACCTCCTCGTTCTCCTCTGGGTTCAAGGAATATGTGGTGTAGATCAATGACAGGATGGAAGGGACTGGAAACATAAAATATACTTTATTTAAAAAACATGAATCGCAGATCAATTATGGAAATTGTTGTCAACCAATTCTAGTAATTGATAAATCATTTTGATGTTGGAGATTTAACATGCTGTGAGGAAACCTGCTTCAATCTCAAGAGCGTGACTGTGAGGTGGAAGTCATCTTTATTTTTAGCGCCTTTCACAGACAGAATAACAAAGTACTTTACAAACATGTTTTTAGTGGTAGGGGACACCGGAGCACCCGGAGGAAACCTATGCTAATACAAGGAGAACATGCAAACTTCACACAGGAAGGCCCCTAACTTCTGCAATGTAAGTAAGATAACCATAATTGCCAGACTATAAGCAGCTTCCTAACTCTATAGAGCTAATGTATGTATTTCTGTTGAACCCTATGTCAGAGCAGAGTTTATGCACTTATTATTTTTAACTCCAGTATTAGTAGCTACAGGACACACGTTAATTGTCAACGTAGATAAAATGAGCTTTAGGTAAATGAGTCATGGAAGCTTAAGCACGTGAATGCATCCTCAGATTTTACTTTTTAATTTACAAAGCTTTGTCCAACAGTTTGTTAAAACTCCTCATCATTAAATCATGTTGTGACAAGTTAAAACAGTTGTCTATCAGCTTTTTGCTCCATCCGCTGCAGTTTAAAATCAAGTGTGGCCTGTATGTGGACAACACATTACTTTCTTTTCTAATTTATTTACAGGTGCGCTTGATAGTTCAGAAAGTACTGTACTTGTATATTAAACAAACACATCATATTTTTTATAACTTGTCCATAAGATGTTCACAACTTAGCTTCGTTTTTGATTAATCAATTAAAATCCTATATTTGCAGGCCTTTTGTGATCAAAACAACGAATCGATTAATCGCATGAATAATCAGCCAACCGATGGATAATCAATATAATCGCTAATTACGGTCCTCATTGTATCATTATATTGTCGTGTTGTATTAGCATTGGTCGACTGAGGCTAAAAACTGCAGAAATACAATCAGATTTTATTTAGATGTTATTTCTCAAAAGTTTCTCCATCATGTCTGAATGTTCGTGGGGATGAAGTATTCACGCTCCATTCTTAATTGCATCTGGTTCAAAGATTCCTCTGCTATTGGTTGCTTGTTAGATTACATTCATTTAAGTCTTGATTTTCTTCCAGATCCCTAATTACAGTCCGTCAAAAACAATTAGGCAGGCTGCGCTGAGCTAAACCTGCAGGATAGTGTTCTAACCCAGCAGAAAAACAATGAAAATATCTCGTATGATGAGTGGAAACGAGATACGAGGACATCAAAGGCCGTGGAGCAGTTTGCGGACGACTTTGTGAATATGTCTGGCCGGATGCCTCGTGTACCGAAACCATCGACTCACAGTCACTCGATAAACACCCACTAATAATTAACAGTCCCATTGGAGGGAATGGTGTTCTGGCAGAAATGTGGAGGTGGGCCAATCAATGCTAGTGCGATTACATGAGCTGGGTTTTCAATGTGGGGACCTGCACCTGCCTGATGAAGAAAGGGAGCGGACAAAGCAACATGGGCGAAGGCTAAAGGCGGATGAGACAATGATGAGCTGATGATAATGACAGAATAATATGTGAAGCCTCTTTCTGGCTCTGGTCATACGGTTAATGGAGGCCGCTTGTGTTTTTGGGTTGGGATTGGTGTACTCTGGACCAAAATGTTAAGACCATTTGAAAGAATGACTTAATCACTCAACATTCAACAACATTTATGGACATTGGTCATCTCCCCCTTATGGACCAATGGCTCTATGTGTTTTTATCATTGCATTTCTTGTGTTAGAACTGTTTGATTCTCTGATCTGTGTTGGCGAATTCAATGGTTTTCAAGTCCTCCGAGATAACTGTTGAGATTTTGGGCTATACAAGAATAAAGTGAATTGAATTAAAGGGTACGGTATGTAATATGCACTCTTACTGGTCTAATAAAGTCATTATTCTACTTTTGTTGCGAGAATCTAACTTGCTCGTGACACATGTAGCTGCGAAGCACTGTTTGAATCCACCTGCTGTAGATTAGCTCAAAACGGTGCAAACACTTTATACTTAAATTTCGCATTACAAACTGGCAAATGAGAGCCTCATTCAGAATAAATAAATATGGACTCTGTTGTTAATAAAAGGTTAAACATGATTTTAACATTACATATGAGTCTGTTATTTAAAGGGAATATCTCGTTCTTTAAATCCATTCTGCATGAATTTCCACAAAGAACAGATCAAAAATGTAAAAGTGGATAAAAACTCTTGCCGAATAAAGATTATTTTTTCAAACCTCAACAACACTCAACAACAACATTTTTCAAGAACTATCTGTCTAAGGAGCATCGTTTGAATGTCTAATTAAAACCCGGTGGATCTTTTTGTCTTGCTGATGACAAACGAGATAAGATAATTAGAAAATACGAGCGTTTGATGGAGTCAGAGGGGACGTGCAGTGGGGAGACTTGTACGTCTGAGTTATGGCTGCGCAGCCGAGTTGGACGGGAGCAGCTGGTGGTGCACTCACACTTCATGGCGTGATCAATATCCTTCTTCTGCTGCACAACCAGAGCTTCCAGTTTGCTTTTGGCGATGGATCCCTGAGCTAGGTCCTGCAGCATCTCAGTATCTGGGAAAAAGGGGAAAAGGGGAGAAAAGGGGAAAGAAGGATTGTGAGCTCAAATTAGGCTCTGTGTACAAAAAACGGGCCGGGATTCATTATTAATGCATACATTGATGAGAATTGAGCGGGTCTTGAAGGCTAATCGTTAGCTTTACAAAGCCATTATACAAAGCAATCAAATGTGAAGTTGTGTGCAGCGTACACATCTACACAAGCAAAGTATTTTGACACTTGACGATTATCAATATGTGGATTTCAATAAACACAGGATTTTTCAAAATTGAGGAGTTTGAAACGGGAACATGAATAGAGAAATTGAACGAGAAACAAATTGCCTGAGATTACAGATTGATTCAAATCAGCCTCTTTTTATTCTGAACACGCAGTCCAGCAGTCGTTCAAAGCAGACATACGCTACTAGTCTAATGCTTTTTCATGGGTTCAGCTTTCTGTTTAATGCAAGGGACTTTTTATATATCATACAATCATTTGAATTGTCAAACACTCAATCTTCATTTTTCATCATTCTGAGACCCAAGGATAATCGGTGTCATGGTGTGGGTGATTTGTTTTATTTTGACATTAGTTTTATTTCAGTTTTACTTCTTGTCCTGTTCCCCTGTTTATCCCATCCTTATGTTTAATTTCACTCTCTGTGCCTACATGTACCCTGAGCTCCTCTCCCCTTGTTGCTGATCCATTGTCTGTGTTTGCCTGTTTCTTTCTGGTTCCTGTGGTTCATTTGGATTTTTCAGTTGTTTTTCCCTGGACTCTCATTTCCTCATCTTCATTAAATCCTAATATTTGCATTCCTGCATTTTAGGTCCTTCCTTGATCTCACCGCATGATAATTGGTGCATACAACATTATTTCAAATGATTCTTTTTAGTACGTAATCATGGCATTCGGGCAGCTTTCATGATGCCTAGAGTGTTGCACAGTGGTCACAGCTGCCCTGGGGTCGACCGATGGCGGCCTATCACTGTTGTATATGTTTATTTGCCACACGTACCTCTGTCCTCTTGCAGTATGAATTCAACTGGATTGCTGATCGCTGACAGAGAAGATTTAGGCGATAAGAAGATGACACACACTTTTTTAAACTGTTTGTTGGTTCTGTCCAGTGACTGAATGCTCCCTGGTATCAGCTTCACATCTGGACACAGTATACATCAGAAAGTGCATTTATCTATAAAACAGTAAACATTATTCAAAAATCAAAATGTTGTGTTCCCTTAGTGGTGTTTTACTCACTTTTGCAGCCTGTTGCGTTGACTAAGTGCTGCAGCCTCCTCCTCTGAGCCTCTGTACAGTCTCCCACACACACAAACACAGTGGTTTTTCTCTTCTCAGTATTTTTTTGTTTCATTGCAATTAGAGAAGCCGTATGTGCGACAGTCAGACCGGAGAAACATCCAGCCATAAGAACATCGCCTTTTTCAGTTTCTCGGTACAAGCGGTTCACTGCATTCGGGCCAAAACAGCAGGCTTTATCCTGAGGAGATATCAGAGATGAGATGTCAGGCTGCATGGAGTGAGAACGCACAGATATTGGCCAAGATCGGAAGAAACCACATGGACGAAGGGTCAAAAGATCATTGACAGTTGTGCGAAGGTATGAAAAAGATTTGGATTTATTTACAGCATTAAACCAACAAAACTATACAATTGTAACCAAATAATTGATGATGGTAAATGTATAATGATAATAACAATGTCTAATAATGTCTAATAATAATAAAAAACAATTCAATCAAAATCACAATTCATTTAAACAAAAAGCAGGGATCCATGCAGGAAAGTTCACCCTTGACTGTGATTAATAATATCAAGACTGATATGATGACATTGAAAAAACGCATTGATTGTAATTACTTAAAACAAGTAGTAAGTAATCTTTATTTATATACCGCCTTTCACAGACCAAAGTCACAAAGCGGTTTACAATTGTTATTCTTGGGCATTTGTCCTCTCACTCCACACAGAGATGGGAGCGGGGTCGCCAGTACAGGAGGCGCATGCCAGACCTATTGTACATATTTTTAGTGGTAGGGGAAAAAGGGGGGGCCCGGAGGAAACCTACACAGACACAGGGAGAACATGCAAACTCCACTCAGAAAGGCCCTGGTCCGACCGGGATTCGAACCTAGGACCTTCTTGCTGAGGGGCGAGAGTGCTATCCACCGTGCCGCCCACAACAATGTGGTGTAATCCTCATTATTCCAGGAGGGATCCATCCACATATGATTCATGTGATTAATAATTTTGAAGAATGTCCTCTTTAGAAACTGTGGTAATGCGCAACAAAATTTTGACATGAAATGAACAACTGACCTAAAAAAAAGTTGCGAGAGTAAATGTTATTTCCAGTTGATATTGTTAAACTGTTGGTACAAAGACCATTGTGCATTGAACTTATATAGCGCTTTCTTCATTCGTTCATTTCATTGTGGTAAAAAACGAAAAGTAAAGCTGCCAATCTCAGCGACACACCAGACTTATACTATAAGCAAAGTGTGCCTCACGACACACTTTAGGACAGCGCTCTCGCTTCTCAGCAAGAAGGTCCTGGGTCGAGTCCCGGTCAGAACAGGAAATATCTGAGGGGGGTTTGCATGTTCTCCCCGTATCTGCATAGGTTTCCTCCGGGTGCTTCGGTTTCTCCTACCACTAAAAACATGTACGAATGTAATGAGTGAGTGAATGGATGGTGTTGGTTGATTCGATGCACCAGTGTGTTCGACGTCTCGCTTCCGTCATCACCGTGTGGGGAGAGAATGAAACAATATCTGAACTCTGAACAATTGTAAAGGGCTTTGGGTGACCTTGGTCTGTAAACCTCAGCTGCCCCAATTTAATAGCATACGGCCACAGCTGTGAATTTCAATTACAAAACTGGCAAAGAAAGAAAAAAACACTAGATAAATCATATGAAAATGAAAGCCCCAATCTCACCAAGATCAGTACTGAGAGAAACATGTGAATCTCTTGCCCCCAGATGTGTGCTCTCTGGGTGCAGTGTGTACCTGCACAATGAGCTTGTGGTCTCTCAGCAGGTCGGTGAGGTCCAGTTGAGCTTTGGCGTGAGCTGGGAAAACCACCATATCCTCACAGTGCAGATCCAGGCAGAAAGTCTTCCCCAGCAGCTTCCCCACTGATCTCACCCTGGAGAAACCAGCTCGTCTCAGCTCGCTCTGGACTTCATCAAGACTGAGACAAGGCAGAGGGGAAAGAGAGACGAGTGAGGAGATTACAGAATTGTTAAAAATCCAATTTAAGTCTAAGAAAAGATCGCCAGTATGTATTTATACTGTATAAAACCTTGCCCTACACATACAGAGTCCAAGCAGGTGACCTTTACAGGGAGAGAGATGGCAGAGGGTTGTTGCTGATTGAATCTGTCCACGGCCGTTAGATTTAGAGCGTACAGAATCAAGCTGTGGGCCGCACACTGGGGCACGTAATCACACATAAACACCCTGTCTGGATATTTAATAGAGTATCAGCTAAGCATAAAACATGTAGCAGCACTGGACGTGATCCCATTTTAAAAGATACGGATCGAGACGTACTCTTTATTGATTTGTTCTCATTTTGTCTAACTTTACAATAACCAAGTTTAGAAAAAAGTACAAACTGGCGCCTTTATACATATTCAATTGCACAGAACTGTTTGTGCTGACCTGCTCTTCAGAGAGTTGACCCAGGTATAAAGCATGAGGCTGCTGGCTCTCTCCTGTTTTATCCTCACAGTCTCAGGCAACATAGACTCGATGGACAGGACCTGATGTTTGATCCTCCAGCGAGCCAAGGAGGCGGCAAACTTGGCTGTGAATCTGGACACAAAAACATTCAAAATACCTTTTCCTCAAACTTAAATACAACAAATTTTGATTTTGTAAGCTATACTTAATATGAATGATCTAAAATGGACTTTTATGTATTAAAAATGTACTTGCATTTGGCATTTACACCGTGGTTGCAACTAAAATGTAATTTATTTCTGTAATTTAGGTTAAAATGTGAAACTACTATGACATACAGACTCATACATGTACAGAGACAGATGCCTTTGTTTGTTATAATGTTGATGATTATAGGCCCAAAATATTTAAATTTTTTTAGATTTGTGGTTTTTACCAGCTGTGAATTGATTATCAACATTATAACAAAAAAGGCTTGGTATAGTCTCTCATATTTTAGTTGAATTACAGAAGTAAATGGACTTCTGAACAACATTCAGATTTTCTGAGTTCATATTGACACAACAGAGCTCATCCCAGTAATGATGTTTTGTACATTTGTGCTAAACGCCTTCACAGCACAGCTGAATGCTAAGTGTGAAACAGATTAGGAATACTCTAAAAGCAAAGAAAGTTAAGAAGATTAGAATTCACTGGCAGCAGTTACAGCCAAGAGCGCTAAAGCAATCGGTCTGAATATAGGAGAAACTAAATTTCACAGCCAGACGTCATTCAGCAACAATGGATGTGTAACTTCTGTAGCTTAGGTCCTGGATCATTAGCCCGTCCTTCTGTGTCGGAGCGGATCCCTTTCTCAATGTGGGTCTCCCCGAGGTTTCTCACTTTTTTCCCACTGGGTTTTTGTGAGTTTTTCCTTGCCGATGCAGGAGGGTCTGTTGGGCAGTTAGTGTCCAACTAGAAGGACTGTGGTGATGATCCAGGACACTTTAACATTATGGACACTGTGAGATTTCCTAACACTTTTAAGCAACTTTTGTTAAGGTTAAACTCATCATTCTATCAATGTGCAGAAGCCTGTACTTTTCCCTTGTTTTGTCTATCTGGAGGCCAAGCTACATGGCACCGTGGCAGCTGCTGATTGGAGGTTTCCATGCCTCCGCTCTGTATAATACACTTGCATTCTGTTGTTCGTGTGTTTTGTTCGTGCTGTCTCTACCATTGACAATAAAACATGTCTTCTGTCTGAATTTATGACACGATCCCAGACTTTGTCATCTTCTTCAGGTGGAAGAGGATGCGGGCATTGTCTGTAACATCTACAGAACAGAAGACTACTTATTTTTTTTACACTAAAAGTTTTTTTTTTTCAAGCCAAAACTGAGAAACCTCAAGAGAACCCATGCATCTGGACCAGCACACTTGGACAATCTGCACAGCCCCTGATTCCAGTCAGGCTGTGAGCTGCTGAGACATGGACAATACCATCGTCCTCTTTTGCATGGACATCATTTGGAACAATTGGATTTCTGAATTTGGACATAATTTGGACTGAATTGAATTGCTGAATCTGGACACTGAAGCTGAAACGTGTGATTGAAATCGTCACAGAAGAATTCATGGCTCGACACAACAAATGCATCCTGAAGAAACCAACACGGAGAAGTGGGAGAGACTGTTTTCAAAGCAATATCTGGAACCACCATCGACTGATGAAGTTTGGTATTTTACTGAAGATTGTTGACAAGTTTTATGAAAGATCTGAAAATGTTTTATGAGTTTTCTGAGTTTTTGAAGTATTCCGAGTTCTGAGTTTTTTGAAGTACCGAGTGAAGTACCGAGTTTAAGTATTGAGTTACAGTATGATGTTATGTTGCTCTTTATCGATCCTGATGGTCACATGGGAATGTGTGACCAGAGGGGGGAATGTGAATGGGGAATGGGAATGTGTATAATACACTTGCATTCTGTTGTTTGTGTGTTTTGTTCGTGCTGTCTCTACCATCGACAATAAAACATGTCTTCTGTCTGAATTTATGACACGATCCCAGACTTTGTCATCTTCTTCAACACTTATCAACATTCGTGGACATTGGTCTCTCCCTATGGACTGTTGACTTACTGTTGATTCTCTGATCTGTGTTGGTGATTTCAATGGTTTTGTTAAGTCCTCTGAGATGACTTCTGTCGTGATTTAGGGCTATACAAGAATAAGTTGTTCTTGTTGTTGTAACTGAGAGAGGAAAACACAAAAATCTACAAAATCTACTAACCATTGATTTGAAAAAAGTGTCACCTATATGAGTTTATGAAGTGGTTGTGTCTAATACCTGAGGAGGTGGAGCTCCACATCTCTCACTTCTGCTATTTTTGCATCTGTCTTCTTACATTTGCGAGGGAGAAACTTCCGGTCTTGAAAATCGTAGAGCATGACAACTACGAGACTCATTTGATCATCTGGCTGGATCACAGTAAAACAGGGTCATTAGTAAATGGAAGATTGTAGCCGTCAGTAGGACACCAGCCATATAAGAGGAAAAGAAAACCGAGTCATTAATTATCATGGCTTCCCTTTGTTATAGGGAAGAAATAACCACCTCTGGTTGTATCAGTTCATTGGATTGTTTTTGAAAATTGTCATGAACAAAACAAAGTGTATATTATGATGATTGATTACTGTTGTATTCATTCAAAACTGCATTGTAACAGCCTCCCACAAGTGGATTCAATGTTTAGGTGAAAACAAACGAAAACAACAGAATTAAATGCATATTATTCCAGAGTTGCCTCTATTTCACACAGCAGTCGGCAGCAGGGGTCTCAAACATGCGGCCCCTGGGCCATTTTGCCTTGACATCAAAACCTAATGTCAGCGCAGCCAGTGAGTCTACTCCATATGGCATGTTATAAATCATTTTGAAGCTAGGGTTAAACAAACAAATCATGTTCTTGCTATGGACATTAAACCCTAAATGCAATAGCTAATTCACATTAATCACGGCTTAGCAGTATACAATACTAAACCTTCCTGGTCTATGCCCCAGTTTGCAATTAAAGCAGCTGTACTCATTTTATTCAGGAAAAATCTATAACAAATTATATTCAGACACATATTCAATCAACTTGATCAAAACACCTTTAAATTGAAAAACAAATCCACATATGCAAATGACAATGAATAAACCACAAAGAACACACTAGATTCCTTGTGTTTTCTCTCTTTTCTTTAAAAGTACAAAATGTTCATATTCTTTTGAAACATGTTTTTGGAACACTAATAGGTTAGAGTCTGAATTGATTAATAAACCCCTTTACATCACAGACTCACCCAGGTATGACCTGTGGTAAACGCATCATTTCATAGGTCTCTGGTTTTCAAATTAGGCTAAATTACTGGATGCAAAACCAGATGTCTGGTCATTCCGTAGCGTAGCGACAGATTCCCTTTGGGCTACAGTAAACATACCAGCAGGTCACCTTAGAAACTGGACCGTTCCATTTTCTCCAGCTTGACCGTGTAAAACTCAAGTCAACAATAGCTTGAGTCACATTCATTTTCAAGCACCAACAGGTATCTCTAGACCCCAAACCTTTCCCCTTCACTCCCTCATTGTCAAGGTTGAATTTTATAGATTGCCATTGGTGTAAAAGAAGGTGACGCAGGCTTCTAAAGACTCTCATTGTGCCCGGCTTTATTGTCTGAACGATGCAGAGTAACGACCTGCCACCAACACAATGTACCACAGATTAATTTTCCCTCGGGCCATAAGTCACAAGGACGACAGTAATGTGGCTGTTTGACACACATCTGCCACTTAATGTAAACATTTACCAGAAGCACTGGCACACTCTTCACTTATCCATGTCTACCACGGCTGTCACTAAACAGTTACATTTGTAGATACAATTTGTTTGTAATATTTATTTGTAATAATTGTACATATATCCTATTGTACATATATTACATGTGGTGGAGTCTGTAAAAAGAGCAGTTAACAATTAGTGAATTCATAAAATGGTTGAAAAAACATTGTTAACTTAATCGTTACAGCAAACATAATACATATGTTTCAGTGTGGTCATGACGGCTCAGTACAGCCTCAAAAAGCTCACTGTTTAGTCTGTAAACTACTGCCTCAGGGGCATTCAAACAGGATTTTATGACTAATGAATAACCTGTTTCTTTTGATTGAGAAAAGCAATAAAAGAGAGAAGAGAAATCGGCTCTGTCAAATAGTAGTTTCAGAGGTATAGCACCAATGGGAGTGATTGTCATCGATTAGGAAAACTAAAGAGACAAGGAGCTTTGTGACTTGATCAAATCTGAGGAGAGCTTCAATATAACTGATACCAATTAAAAGAGTAGAACAATGACGCAAGAGCAAACTGAATGGAAACTAAAGGCAATACAATAATACAACATTAGGAAAATCCATGGTGGATAATTGCTCAGCTCCTCCACAGAAGAACACAATGTCATGTGTCAAAACAACTAAAGGAGACATTTTATGCAAAATCTACTGTTTTGAAACATGTAACTCCGCCCCTTCTGTCTAAAAGCTCCTGTCCCAGTCCTGTATCAGTATGAAATCATTCTTTTAATATTTGGCGGCACGTGGGGCAGTGGGGCAGACGATTTCACCTCCAGACCTCTCTGTGTGGAGAAGGTCCTCCCAACATTTCTGTGTGAAGTTTGCATGCTCTCCCTGTGACTGCATTGGTTTTCTTCAGATGCTCCGGTTTACCCTACCACTAAAATTACTTTGTGCACTATTGCGCACAACAATAGTAGAGCGCTTTTTGACTCTGGTCTGTAAAAATATATATTACTGACTACTATATTACTATTGTACCACTGTGACATCACACTCTTTTAAAACAAAAGTACTGCCCATACATTAGTTTTGGCGATTTCCCAAGTGAAATTACATTCTTTACAACAAGTGTCTTCAACCTTTTTCACCCAGATAGCTCCTTCCTTGGATGATAAAGGCAGAGAGCTGCTCCTTTAAGCAGCCCTTGGAAAAAATGTTGCGATATATTACAGGCCTGATATTGGGTACAGTCATTATTTATCATGGCATATTTGTTACTAGTGAACAAAGTAAGTGCATTTACAATGATGAATAATAATAATACATAATTATTCATATGAAAAATAATGCATAATATTCTTCTTTAAAGGATAATTCCACATTGATATCAAATGCTGAAAATAAAGACATTGTTAAGACTTATTTCCTTACCAGTGGTTGTGTGAGGTAAAATCTACTGTCAAGAAGGATGTATTCTAGAAGCTCTTGATCTGCACAAGAGCAAAAACACACACAGATGATAAACGTATTCCAGTAGTTTATATAAACGAGGTGGTAGCCCTGTGTCATTAAAAATATCTGAATGATAAATAAATGCATTGTGCGCATGGGGCTATTGCGTATTGTGCTGTACAAACATCTTTTTATGTAGGATAACTAAAATAATGTACTGATGTTGTATGGTGTACGCGTGGCTGATAGTTATTTTTATAGCTACAGGCGGTTTTCTCTGGAGGTACCTTATCACACCCATGGGATCTCTGCCAACTGGACCCTATAAAAGCTTTTAAGCAAGCAAAAGCTCCTGAATTATTTCCAGCATTACACCTTATCAAGATGTGGAAATAAACATCATGGTAATCTGGTGTACAGTGCAGGAGGCAATACAAGCAGTGCCATTGTACGTATTACTGCAGCAAACCTTAAAGATAATCCCTGGGGAGATATCTATTCAGTGAGCAAACGCAGTGCAGTCCACATTGGAGGCCAGTATAGAGGTCAGAACCCTTTTACATGCAATAAATCACACTCAGCACGCTGGCTCCAACATAAAACATTATTGCATTATTGCTAACTGAAGACATACATACACGTGTTTGTTATATTGCAGATACATTAAAACTTATTGGATCATACAGTATTTGGCAGAAGACATTTGTGAGGCAATGCTTGTGTATTCTGATGACATGTTTTTGTATTTCAGAACGATGAGTGATGACTGGTTGAATGAATGCTTGTGAAAAAGCAGATCTTAATCCAGCAACTTTCCTCCACAGCTATTTCTGTGTCTCCAAACCACTCCACTAAATGTTTATTCATGATTGTTATAGAAAAAAAAATATAATAATATAAATATATAGAGGGGATATATATATATATATCTGAACTATGAACAAAGAGATTTGAGTGACCTTGATCTGTAAAATGCCCTATGCAAATAAAGATGACTTACCTACAATATAACAGTGCTAAACACATACCTGCTTAAGTCATAACTGTCCAGACAGAAGCTAAAAACCTGAAACATATCCTGGCATACGTATTCAGTAAAATACACTATTGTGATACGTGTCTTAAGAAGGTACTTTTGCTACATTACTAATGAAGTAACATTAGTTGTAATTATCATATGTGCTTTTAGGCATTCTTACTGATTACTGCTGCTGCTAATGCTGCTGCTGCTGCTGCTGCTAATGCTACCCTCAGTCTTGTCAGTCAATTTGTCACTTGGTTTAATATGTGATTGGTGTTAAACGCAATGTCCCATATGGTTTTGTATATGGTATCAGCATTTTGTAACGGTAATCCAACTACTATCATCAAAAGGTTACACTTGTTAATTACCTACAATAGAATCTAGTTACAGTAACTAATATCCATCTAAGCTACACCAAACACACTCTAAAAACAGGAGAATCGGGAGCCATCAGCACAACATGACATCACCATCTGCATCATGTTAGCTTCTGAAGAGCACAGTGACCTCTAACATCCATAAATGAACAAAACTAAAGTCTGAGTTTGGATTTGAGAACAGCGAAAGATGTGGCATAATAGGAATCCCTTCTATATGCATTATAGGGTGAAAAAGTGTTTTGTACCAATAGGGCAAAACATAACAAATAACATTTAGATGAACCTAAGCAAAATGCGAGCAATCCATCGTTAAAGTCTTCCCCAAAGTGGTGCTGCTAAAACTCAGTAAAAAGAAATCCTGACAAAATGACTAGTACTTTCTGTTCAGACGGGTGAGGAAAGTGCATGACATGATTTGAAACCTTGGCAGCATAAATTCTCTGGAGGCCTGAGATCTGAATGACAATCACTCAGAGCCGAAATGATTCTCGAGAGAAAGCAAAGAATATCCTTTCATTAATAATAAAGAGAAACCAAAAAAGACATATTTTTGCTACTGAGCATCTATTTCCAGCAAAACGGCTTCACAAAAAATAACCATGTTTATGATAGGGAGCTGTGTCCTCAGACAGAGTTCAGTGAGTGACTTTTTAGTTTTCCGCAGATTAGAGGGTGAACTCACAGGATCAATAGCTGCTCACTGGCATTTATTTGGTGCATTTCTTGGTGCTGAAGCTTTTCTTTTAGGTTAACAACTGACCCCAGCTCGATTTGGGTTCAGTGCCTCCAGAGTAGCGTCTACGTGACTTTGTGTAAAGGAAGGGCCAGGTAACATTTACATTAAGACTCACATATATGCACCAACAGTAAGACAGCGCTAACAAGAAAGAGAAAACATACCATACATTCAAGCATTTTCACTTGTTATTAATAATGATAACGCATTGGTTTCATATAACGCTTTTCAGGACACTCAAAGACGCTTCACATGTCATTATTCTTTCACTCTATAGACAGTAGTGATAAACTACTACTTTAGCCACAGCTGCCCTGGGGCACACTGACAGAAGCGAGGCAACCAATATGTGCCATTAGCCCGTCCAAACACCACCAACCATTCACACGCACCGCAATGTGGGTGAAGTGTCTTGCCTGAGGCCACAACAACAGTTTGGCACTTTAAAGCCGCAGCCGCCCCACCGTGGCACCTGGTGTTCCCAGAGGTCTCCCATCAAAGTACTAACCAGGTCCTACCCTACACAGCTTTAGATGTTTTTCTTTCGCTTACAAGTTTGTACAAATATTATGATTACACTAGCGTCTAAAACGTTTTTTGTTATCCACCTTCCGCAATCTATTATTATGTTGATATTTTCTATACAAGAAAGTCCCCTCCGGTGCTCTCCAGACATGACAGAGGCCATGCAGCAGAGTGGAAGTCTTGCTGATGGATATTTGGAGGAGTCCTGCATTAATTGAGGAACATGTATTGGCCAGAGGCTTATACCAGCTCAGAGGATTGATGACGGGGAACAAAATCACTCATGCCAACGCGACTGTTCCTGCTACCTGACCTCTCCATCCCAGGAACACATTAAATCGATGCCAGACAGCTTTCTGCATCAAGAGTCAGCTACCTCCTCCTTGGCTTATCTCCGCAGCGATTACACACCCTGGGGACGTGAGCCACCCATACAGCACCCTGCTACAGATAAGAGATCATGGGGCTGATTGATTAGAAGCATCACACAGTTCCCCTGATCACCGGAGAGGCTCCACTCTCTTCTCCACTCGTCCACAACACGTTTATCTTTTTTCAATTTGCCCTGTCAATTAACTTTCACAAGGTGAGCCATTACTCTCACACACCTTAAGTGGTTGTGTGATTGTTAAAAGACTACTATACTGTATGTTTTCAGTGTTATCTATTCCACAGAAGTTTTTATTGAAGCTAAGAATGGATAGGAACTGGATATGCCAGAGTGGTAAATTATTCAATTAAATGCATCTGTGATTCCATTAACTCAACATTTTTAAGGGTGCACCTTGCAATACAGCAAGTTTCCAAGCACACCAGCTGAAAATCAATGTTTTAATCAGAAGTAAATAGAGTGAGCATAAGGTAGTAAATAAGAGTGGGTTATTTTTTCCACCTGATGAAAGTAAAATAATAATGCAGTGGTTTTATAGAGCGCTTTTTGGACACTCAAAGACACTTCACATATCCTTATTCATCCACTCTATACCCGGTGGTGATTAACAATTACTGTAGTCATAGCTGCCCTGGGGTACATTACGGAAAAAACGGTATGTACCATCGGCCCCTTTGACCCCCACCAACCGTTCACATTCACACACCAGACTCATTCTAGCCAATGTGGGTGAAGTGTCTTCATCTGCTAAGCTTCAGATGTCTAATAGGATCTATATTGCAGATGGCACCGTATGTGGAGGTTATACTTACATTTGAATGCATTATACACCAGCTTATAGGCTGCGAGCTGCATCGCACTGTCAGGGACCTGAGGCAGAGTGAGGCCTCTTTCGTTGCCATAATTCACTAGTCGTTGAGATGCTGGCTTTTCCAGATAATTGTTTTGGAAAATGACTGATGCCAGCAGGTATACTCTGTCAGAGAATCCCTCACAAGTGTGGCCACTGGCGCTGTGCTCCAGGTGCTCCAGGTGCACACAGTCCCCCTCCATCTCAGCTGCAGCACAGACTTTCATCATGTTAGTGTTATTTTAATCAACAGAATACATCAGTTACAGTGATTATGTTAGAATTATGTCATATAAAGAAGGGAATCACATATACTGTATACAGTCCCGGACGAAAAATACAAATAACTAAAACTATGACCAAATATATTCTAATGTTTTCACTTGATTCTTTTTGCATGGCATTCAAAGAAGAATAAAAACTGTTAGCATGGTTGCTCTCCACTAACTAATGTACAAACCTGAAGGAAATGTAGCTTGCACATTTCAACAGAGAATTGTCTATAGTAGTTTTCACATTTAATTGCAGGTGATTTTCCACCAACATAATGTTCATAGATAGTTCATGATACCGATCATAGATAGTTTATATTAGATACTGATCATAGATAGTTTATAATAGATACTGATCATAGATAGTTTATATTAGATACTGATCATAGATAGTTTATAATAGATACTGATCATAGACAGTTTATATTAGATACTGATCATAGATAGTTTATAATAGATACTGATCATAGACAGTTTATATTAGATACTGATCATAGACAGTACAAATAAGTAACTACTGCTTGAAATTTAAACTCAACGTAGAGATCTGGGATATCAACTTAAAATGACTTCTATATTAGGATTATTTAGATATTCTTTCTTCCTAGCAGCTAATTGCCTAACGTTAGTCTTAGCTAAAAGGAACAGTTAGCTTTGTATAACCTCTACAAAAGCTGTTAGGCCTAAACAACTTTCGTAAAACAAACTCACCTCCGCTGTGTTTCTTGCAAAATGCAGTTAAATATCTGTTGAGCTTGACCCAAAGGCAGCGGTGAAGTTCCTCCAAAAATCAGAGTCTCCTCAAATGAATCTCCAGAGCATGAAGTGTTTCTGGACACAAAGGAGAGGGCTGTGTTTTTGCCCGGAACCAAGAGTCATCAAATGGTGGATTTGTTCATTTGTGAAGAAACTTTGAAAAAAGTCCGTCCTTTTCCCGGAACTCGTGCAACATCACCATGGCAACAGATCCATGAGCCTCAGCGTCCGGCAGCAGCGGCCCCACTGCAGGATGCTGCACACTTTACATGTGTTTACACTTGACCATACTTCTTTAGAACATTTAAAATTGCATTAACTTGATACTACACTTAAACTCTGTACACACTAAAACTATCTAACCCTGTGGAAATATTATTAGTAGGTAGAGGTAAGAGTAGATAAAGGCTGCGATCTTGTCCAGATTATGGAAGTATAATGGTATATTGTACAATGACATGATCAGATGGATGGTTTGGCCGAGATTGTCGAAACTTCTTTGTTACGCAGCGCCCTCTAGTGTTGGGTACGTGTAGGAGCAATAGGAGGCGAATTAAATACTAAACAGTACAGATATACCTCAAAGAAGTGTACTACTGGCAATATAAAAATATTTTTAAATATCAACATCAGCAGCATATTGGGGTGGCAGCAAGAAGGTCCTCCCAACATTTCTGTGAAGTTTGCATGTTCTCCCTGTGTATGCATAGGTTTTCTCTGGGTGCTCCGGTTCCCACTGTCTTGCCTAAGGGCACAACAACAGTTTGACAGTTTCCACCCACAGCCGCCCCCACTGTGGCACCTGGTGTACAAGGCCCTGCTCAGCTTAGCTTCTCACATCTGATAGGATCATTCTTTTACATGTAGGTGGGGTCAGTCATGTTTGCCTCCTGGTCAGCCACCATGGTGTCATGTACACATGTGTAGCTCTGCAGTGCGCAGGGCCACAGCAGACCACAGAAGTCAATCAACCAATCTGTATTTATAAAGATATTTTAATACATGTAACACAAAGTGCTTATTACAGTTCAAAACATTCACCCATCGACCACCTAACAAACCCAAAAAAAACACAAACAACAGTCGGATCTCCACACACACACACACACACAGTAGAATAGATAAAACTGAGTGCTGGTAAGCCCAGTGGAGAAAGTACCATCCGAGGAGCCGTCTGCACCAGGAACAGATTGTTGCCAGGACCCAGAGGACAGATGAAGCCAAGACTCCAAACCTCCACCAGGTTTGAAGTCAAAAGCACGTCTCGGGGAAGAGCAGGGGCCGTCTGAGTAAGTCCCTGTGCATTATTAATAGTCCATATTAACTTACATCCTCACGATCACTACACTGCAACATAAAGGCCACTCATTAACTATTCACATCGTCATTTTGAACAGAAAATGATTCTGCAGATACGGGCGATGCAGGTCATGTAATTTCAGAATGGTGACTAAGAGGCTCTTAAGGTCATAAGTCAGTTTGACAAACGATCTTGTTACAGGTACATAAAGGGCAAGGGACCAGGAAAAAATCCCAAACTTTTACACATAAACTTTTGATGTTTCAGCAAAAATATGAGAGTTGAGCCTATATACAAATTATACTCTTTTCTTACAGTTACAAATGCAGATTCGTTCTCAGATTGTCAGGAAGTAAGTATAATTGCCATAACAATTATCTTTGTTACTGCCACACTTGACAGGACAGCACAAGGGATGTAATAAGAAGCAAGCATAGCATGATCTTAGTAATTGTCTAATGAGGGCAATTACATGCTAGTCGGATCCTATTCTATGTCAGTGTTTGTGGTAAAAACTAGTCTGGAAACAACCATGAAACAAGGTCATGGTGTTTTCTGAGCAAAAAAAGTAACTACTATGTTCCCAATTAACAGCTTACAGTATTTGCTATTATTGAGTTTGGGTTTGGGTTGTTGGTAAATATTCTATTATTGCGCCAAAAAGGGTAATGAGACTTGCATCGCTTCCAGACATTTAGTAGAATTGCAAAGACAACCCATTTGTGCATTTCTCAAAGTGAAGTCATATTTCTGGCATGCTCACAGCTGAATCAGGGGCCTTTGCCCATGATGAGTATACTCATGAGAAATACCATGACAAAAAATATCCACATAAAAAACCGATCCATGACTTTAGCAATCTTCTTCCACTCAGCCACTTTGACGCATGTGCTCTTCTGCTCCCTGAAACAGTTGGCAATATAGTCAACATTCCGCACAAGTTTGGTGTCGGAGCCAGCAAATACCCTGGAGTAACTGCAAAAGACGCACGGGGCGAAAGTTACTGAGGCGTGTTTCTTATCCTCCTCATAGAAGTGCAGCTTTTCTTCCTCCAGGTAGCAGGGGAACTTTTGGTCTTCACTACAGCAGCCATCAGTCAGGATCTTGCTGTTGTGAACGTCATGAGTCCCTGATGCAAAGTCTTTGTTGTCTCTGGTGATGTGATGCTGAGCCTTTATTCTGGGATGGTGCTGCGGTTTGGGGGTCTGTGGGCGGGGGTATCTGCGGCCGCGCTGGTCCTCCTGCTGACAACCGTTCCCTGGTTTCCCATTGGTCTGACTGGTGGAGCTGTAATGCTGGTGAGTTACGTCGTCTTGGGAGAAATGAGACGTCTGAGAGGAAGAAGAGGCCGAGGCACAGTTCTCACCCACCTCATAAACAAAGAAGATTTTGGACATGTAGTCGATGATCAGGACTTTGGCCCAGTGAGGGACCGGCTTGGCCTCCGCTCCGCAGAAATGGATGTTCATGATGAAGATGGTGAGGGCGGTGGATGCCGTGATCATGGTCATAGTGGCAATGTAGTATTTTCCTGTTTAAAGCAGAAATAATACAGTTTTTATGAAATATTGACACATGACAAAGATCAGAATAAAATAGGGTTACAGAGTGATAGAGATACATCAGACGGAGAGTGGACTGGAGCATTTTTATTTATCCCTGTATGGGAATTCATCCTCTGCATTTGACCTATGCTAAACTGAACTAAACAGTTCTATTTCTATTTGTGCATACAACTGTAGGGATTTCTTTTGTGCTCTTTGAATGTTCTTATGTATAATTTTTACATTTGAATAGTTGGCATTGTGATATAAATTCATATTTTTTTAAATGTTAGTAGAACTGACCTGCCTAGTCTGGAATTACTAGCTATAACCAGAGCAGTCTGTGTTGTAAAGAATGTAAAAAGAGCATAGGATTGGTATTTGAACCAAATAATTGTGGGTTCAATCCCCCCACGACCAATGTCACCTGCTCCCACTGATGTCTGCTGTCATTGTGTTCTAGGGCAAGACACTTAGCCCCACGTTGTCTGAAGCCCCTGCTGAAGCAAGGTACTGGTGCTTTATTAATTGGGTGGCGGCTCTGATTAATTCCCCCCGACCCAAAAAATAATAATAAAAAGGGGACGAAAATGACATGGAAAGGTGTTGTAGTAAGTTGATCTTGTAGCACCAACTGTAAAAATCACCTATGAGTGGCACGCTCTCTGACGGAGGCATGCTCTCAGCCACCATGAGCTGGAACACAGTGAGAGCCAGGAGGACGGTGACTCCCAGAGAGACCTTTTCGCCAGAGTCTGCGGGCAGGTAGAAGCCCAGAGGAGCCAGGAAGGAGATGAGGAAGCAGGGCAGCAGCAGGTTGAAGATGTAGAAGGAGGAGCGGCGCTGTAGCAGGACGCTGTATGTGATGTCTGGGTATGGGTCAGGACAGCAGCCGTACATTATGACGTTTTTAGAAGCGGGCATTCCCAAAAGCTCCCATTCAACGTTTTCCACAAAGTCTGACAGGTCGCCGCTGTTGTTGCCCATAGATATGTCGACCTGCAAAGATGAAGACAAGTGAACATATGTCCTCTAGTCACTTTACATCTTTTGAAACTGATCTGTCAAGCATTTTTTCCCCAAGTCAACTAGACCAGTACAAAAAGTTACAATACTTTTTTTTAAATTGTTAACTGCATATTTGATGTATGTTTTAGGATAAGAATTGAAAGAAAATCTAACTGCTAAATCAGGTTGTCCCTTTCGGAGTAGTGTTGACACAGCACAGACATATATTTCTGCATTAGATTATCGTAATTTCGGGACTATAAACCGCTACTTTTTTCTTTTTCTTTAAATCCTGCGGCTTGTATAGCGATTCGGCTAATATGTTTTTTGTTGTTTAGTTGTACGTGCAGAGTTTATGGACTCATTACTTTGACTCCATCAAGTTTTAGCAGCTATAAGACACTTGATTATAGTTAAAATAGACTGGTGAATGAGGCATGGAAGCCAAGGGTTGCCTCATTCACCAGTTTGTTAAACACCTCGTTGATAAATCATGTGAGCAGTTAAAACAGTCGTCTATCTGCTACATTACAACATGGAAACCTGTGGCTTATATTCAAGTACGGCTTATATGTGGACGGAATTTTCTTTTTCTTAAAATGTTGCTGGTGCGGCTTATATACTGGTGCGCATCTACAGTCCAGAAATGTAAGTATATCTATCAAACCACAGAAGCTCAGATTGGCAGGGCCTGGTTAGTACTGTGATGGGAGACCTCTGAAACAGTGGGATTGACTGTGACTGGAGCTTATCACCACTGTCTATGGAGTGAATAAATAATGCAGTGTGAAGCATCTCAAAGATGTGTGAAGCATCAAGGCCATGGAATTGAAAAGGAATGGAAAGCAAATGTTTGTTGTAATTGATTAATTTGATTACAGATAACTTCAGATAACAGCAATCGTTTCAGCCCTAAGAACTATACACCTGAGAATGCAACTTTGTATTTCCTCTTTCCCTGGGCCATGGCCGTACCTGGTTACCATTGTATGTCCAGGAGCCAAAGGTGAGGTTACACTGTTGGCTGTCGAATGGAAAGTAGGATACATCCACCACACAGGAGCTCTTTGTGATGGCTGGAGCGTCCCACGTGATTTCCCCATCGTACCTGAGCTTCACATTTGTGTCCATGGGTCCAGAGAAGTCATCATCAGCCCTGCAGCAAAAAAAAAAAATCACTATTTGCCAATGAACAATGTCTTCAACACATGTCAGATGTAGCTCTTTGAATGCTTCTGAGCACGTCTGTCTTCACTGATGAAGTTAGCTTCTATGTTTTTCTTTGAGTTGGTAATGTTTGTGTTTATTCTTCAAACAATGGTGGTGTGATATTTTTAATTTGAATCTTTAAATATAAAAAAAAAAGAAATCTTTTATGTTTATGGGTTAGAATGTTCTTATAACAAGGGGCGCAACAAGTGAATTGATTAACCAACTAAATAGTTGCAAATAAATTTGTAATTGAATCATCTTTTTTTTAACCATACACAGATGTAAGCATAAACAGACAGTGCTCTGATCACAGCAGAATTAAACAGAAATGTGTTAGAAAAATACTTTTTTAATCAAACAGACAACTTTATTACAGCTTGTCCCCAAGACGTTGTTCTTAATAACTAATTGATCAATCGAGAGGAGAATCGCCCAACTAATCAATTATCAAAATAATGGTTAATTACAGCCCGATATGTGACATCAAACATACTTGTTGTAGAGGACGAGGTCAGGCCTCCACACCAGGCTGCTGGGGATCTGGATGATGTCCAGTCCATCATAGTCGTCTTTGTTCCATTTTAAATACGCATCATGCCACACCTGTCGAATCCACAAGTAGGCAATCAGCACCTGGTTTCTTTCATCCTAAAATGACCAAATATTTTAAATTAGATTGAAGGAATCTTGTAATCACTCACTGTCCAGAATGCCTAATTGCTTCAGTCAATATCCGATGGAGGGAGGGTGTGGATGACTTTCAACGCCAACTTCACTCATGCATTGAAAAAAAGTAATACGAGAATAAAGTACATTCACAGCAGTCGTTCTCGCTGCTTCATCTGCCTCTCTTGACACGCTGACATGTATCTGACATGTTCTACTTTGAGTGAATGTACAAGTCCCATGCTTCTTCCGCTGTGTCCCCTGAGACACAGTGGTATTTCACAGGGGGCTGACACAGTACTGAACCTGAACAGGAACCTGATCTCCGGCAGTAACAGTAGGACCAGTGGGAGCTCTATCTGTCACTCGTACAAACCGCATCATAAAGCAGGCTCAAAGCAGCATCACTAAACCAAACCTACTACACTTTATAATATATTTTTCCCCCAGTGGCAGACCATTGAACAACAGTGACTTCTGAATATCTTATAAGCATTAAGCGGTCTTACCATGTCCTTGATCTGGGAGAGGGTGATGAGTAAGGTGACATTCAAAGCGCTGTCTGTGTCTTCCACTGGTCGCAAGGCAGTCGTGTAATTCTCCATCAAGTCATTTAGGAGTTTTTGCGCATACTGTCCCTGAGCTGAGGAGACCGCTACAAGAAAAGCAGGATTATAATATCATTAATTCAACTTAAAGATTTAATAATAAAAAACGTTTTCCTGTATACATCTGTAGTATTCAGTGAGTGTGTCAGGGATGGAGTTAATATGGTTTAAACTTATTGGTACAGAACATCTGACTTATGAGCTTGATTTTTCTGATTAAACTGATATCATTTCAGGGAGTTTGGTAGAGGAAAAACATGCTACATATCCTATGCCTGAAAGCAAATTTGAATAATATTAATCATAATGCATTGGTTTTTTGCAGTGCTTTTTAGACACCACTTCACATGGCATTACAGGATTCATACACTGGTGGTGGTGGTGGTAAGACACTTCTGTAGACTGGTGGTACTTGCTAGACAAAGTATTCATGTTTTATATTTGTTTATTTCATATAGCCATAATTTTCAAAAGCAAAGGTACTCTAAGTATTCTTTATGATTCTGTGCAAAGATAACAATTACACAATCCCAAATGGAGCAGTTACTCACTGAGTGTAAATATAAATACAATATAGATTTACAATTTGGATGGTTTGCTCACCTGTTGGAAGCAGCAGTGTCAAAAATACCAACTGGATCATTTTGAGCAGATCAAATAATCAGACAGGTATGAGACATTTCAGAAGTCCAGCCTCTTGAGTGAGATCTACATGATGTCCGTTCAACCCCGATTGAACCCTCCTTGAAGATAGTGGGGCAACGTTTCATTTGGTGCTGCACACAGGTCTTACTGCTTGGCAGGGGACCCAGCATGGCTGCAGACTGCAGAGGAATAAAACTCGGGCTATCATGTAGCAGAGGCAGACAGAGGGAAACCAGACCCTCCTGAATGATCGCCTCACCACAAACGACTATTCAGCTGTCCATCATACACCTGGAGACGTGTGGGAGACAGAGATGACCTCAGCATACACTAGACATAGGCTAGACACCGGCTGCTGCAGAGGAGTTATTCACATTTTGCTAAATAAAGTACTCTGCACATCTCTCTTTTTAAATGTGCCTGATATTTACAATTTGTCAACCGTTCCTTTTACAAAAAACAAAAGTTATACATGCTTGTTATAACTACAATAAATTTACCAATCTTTCAGCCATATCACAACAGAAACTATAGTGATTCACGTTGTATATCAGCAAGTAACAGGTGATAACAAGATAAATAATCTTTTGCACCTGTCCACCAAACATTTCAAATAGTCTGTCCTATTGCAACCACACATCACATTTCCATTGCAGATATGCATATATCTGTATACTGTAGGTATAAAGCAAGTTACACTTTAGACTTTGTCCAGGACTCCCTTGAAAAAGAGGTTCTTAATCTCAATGGGACTTTCCTGGTTAAATAAAGGTGAAAAAAATAAAAATAAATAAAAACTTTAGATGAGCCGCTCATAGGAAGTAGTCTCAGATATTGTTGTGAACCACTCTGTATATTTCGCAAACTCCGGGGCATTCCAGTACTTCATAATCATCCTCTCTGCTACTTGCTTTTGCTACTTTAACAAATGGCATCTTGTTAAAATAAAAGTGACTAAATGATGTGTGCATTGGTCTCACACCCTGACCCGGTCTGCCATTATAAAATGTGGTTCCTGCTCATTTACAACATCATAAAGACACTTGCTCCTCTCTTCCCGCCACACTGCCACTTGGCCTGTTACAGAAGCATTTATTTCTATCAAAGTAAACTGGTTCAGGATACATTCATATATCCAGTTGGAGTGGGATGGATTTCAACTTGTAATGCATTGCATTTTTTGCAATTAGTCCTCATAAGTTTTACCTTTATATAAACAAAGACACACTTGAGTGATACCTGAGGAAAAGGTTACAGCTACATCAAGAGCCTTTGAAGCACGGTGAAAATGGTACGTTTAGGGTGAGAATAACACAAGAAAAATACAGAATATTTTCAATTATATTAAGTGCTTGGAATAACAATTGCAGCCCTGAAAAATGTGACTCCAATAAGCACATTGTTCATCCAAATTGGTTTGTTCGGTCTTCTCCACAGCACAAATCCCTATTAATGCAGTTTATGTACAAGTAATTTATGAGGCCGGTCTTAATGTAAATATATGCAAAGTAAAACCTTTCCTATTTGTTCACTTAATATACACCCCAGACATTACTCATAACAAAACATTTTTGTGAAGTTTCAAAAATGAAAAATGACAGGAAAGCTGCTTAACTTACACAGACTTAATATTTTTATTTACAGATGAATCTTTGTCTGTTTGACAGTTGTTACTGCTGAACCTTCATGATTTGTCAGAATAAAAACTAATATCTTTCTTTTCCCCCTGTACGCAGAAAAAATGAAAAAAAAAAGATTAAAACCACTTTAAACAGGGCAAAATAAAAGAATGTACAATGGCAATGGGTTTTGCAGGAGCAGTGTGCAGATTGAAGAAACCATGGCACAGCAAAGGCCTAATGTGTCAATGCCTGACTCTAGCCTGATTTACAAATAGGAATTATAGCCATCTTAATAATAAATGTTTTATTACTATTCATTCTTTTCTTTTTTAAAGTGGCTTGGGTTGAATTTAAAGCCATTTGGATAGTTAAACGTTTACTACTTCAACAATAGCACACCGTTAATGACAAACCAACAAGACTCTACATGCTTAAAATGGGTGAGGACAAACATTTCCTGTATCCACATTTGACAAAAACAGACCAGCAGTGTGTCAGAATCACGATTTGGTGAAAAACTCTCCTGCTGGACCTGATTCAAACAAAAAGTTTCCACATAAAATGCACTGCATAGGCAAAAATCAGCCACTGACTGACAGGAGCGGCAGGACCTTTCTTCAGGCAATAGTTTATAAATAGAGCAGATGTGTCTGAACTTGTGATTGTAGAGTTCATCGGAATTTTTTATGATCCTCGAGAAACTGGTAACAGTAGTTCATTGAGCAAGTAACTGGTGCCAAAGGACTAGGGAAGTGTCACAGGTGGAAGATGAAGATTACAGACTCCTGGAAGATCCTATATTAGGCTAAACTGACTATGATGAGCACTTACTGTAATATTGATCTGTTGTAGTTTTTTTTTCCATTGAAAGCAATATTATTTCCTTTCTCTTGCAGAGACCACGTTCATCTTCCATACAAACATTTTTAACCAGACCAAAATGCTTTAACTGTGCAATTTGCACTGCAGCCTTGGTCAATACCATAGACTGTATGTAATACCTTTCATTTGCTTTAATCACTGATGCACGATTCGAGTCCTCACTCCCTCCACTTGTGTTTTGTAAATAGATGTTTGAGACGGGATGTACTTTGACGTGTTTCCCATTCATTTACATCAACTTATTCTACATGCAATACCAAAGCTGGACTGTACAAAAATATTTAAAAGCCTAATGCATATAGCATAATATAGGACCTTTTGGACAGTGGGGCGGGAGAAAACTCTGGACAAGTGTAATGAGATCAGGAGGAACAGGAGTATCAAGAAGAGGATCCAGACTCAGTTAAGCAGCAGCTCTGTTGCCGTCTCCTCGTCCCAGGACTTTGAAGATAATGCCACAATCACTTTATTCTGAAGAAGAAAAACGTGGTTATTATACAGAGTAGAATCACCTTAACAATCAGCTGTAACTTACTTTATCAAAACCCATGGCACACAGTTTGTCTATTTTGCAAGTATACTCCGGACTGGAGACAGGAGCGCCAGCGTAGACGTGAGACCAAAGCCTTGCGGTTTGTTTAAACATTTCTGGGTTCTGCTTATACTGTGAAGACAAAACAGCAATTTAAATATGAGACTTTAAACAAATGTGTACAATGTGTCAGGTGAGTTTCTTCACGGCACTCTGGTTCCCCGCACCACAGAAAACATGAGCCATTGGTAAAATTCTCCAACGTCACTATTATTGATTTCTCTCTACCCATGGGAATATGTTGTGATTCACCTGAAGGCCAATTCCAACATGATAAGACGTGCAAATGTTGTTCTTGTATGCAGAGTACAGCTTGAGCTGACCAAACAAAGTGTGTACATCCTTTGTTGTAAGAATTAACCTCAAACCATTTTCCTTGGGAGACCCCACCGGTGCAATGCCCCACAGAAAAATACCTGGAACATTCTCCTCCACCAACTCCTCCATCACGGTTAACAATTTCTGATGATAAATAAATAGATATTTAAGTGCTTTTGATGGATACTGCCATTAATAGCGTTAATAGCTTTGGAATTAATATATATATATATATTATTATTTTATTTTTTCATGGTTTTGACTATGCACAGGGGACCCCAAGTTCCTGTTATAACCAGTAAGGGCTAATACAAAGTTTGAGAAACTAACATCACCTCCAATGTCCAACAGTTTTTTTTCTTCCTTTGAGCAAAAATGCAATGATCTGGAATTATGTGAATCTATGACCTGTGACTCACAGATCACAGATTGAGATAAACAAAGTAAAGAACAGTCGACATGTACAGACAGCAGCGTGACATTAATAAGGTCTGTGGAATGCTATTTTGAAGCAGGTCATGTTGAAATATGCATGAAAAGCTCTAAGAACATGCATGCTTGGGAACATTTTTATTTTCTAGACCAGAGTTGAAAATATGTGCTATAACACTTGCACCTGGTTTGTTAATAATGAAATGAACAATATTCATTATACTTCACGCAAATCTATGCATCCTTTTGGTTGAGCGTGTGGTTTCTATGCGAACACACATGTAGCAGGGAATACAATCAAAGGCATGAGATAATTCAAGCGCACCTGGTTTGCTACCACCGCATCTTGAGGATCGTCTGGCTCCGCAGCTGCCATCAAAGCTTGTAGCGACAGGAGGACTGTCCTTAGTGTCATTGCTGCTGCCCTGAAAAAGGAAAACGACATGGAACACTAAGTTACACACATCACCCCAAACGGATGTATAGCTTGATTGGTATAGGGCGTCGGCAGATAAAGAATTACATTGTAATAGTAATGACTTTAATAAACCAGTGAGAGTGATAACTACATACTGTGCCGTTGTACATTTCTATCTAAAAGTAGTATTTTTAACAAACAACTAAGAACCACTCACCACTGATCTTTGAGGATGTCCAGACATATTGCGCCTGTAACTGAACTGATATTGGGATGCCAAATATTTGTGATAAACCGCACCTGAAATAAAAAGTTATAACCAATGAAAATATTTCCAGTAAATTTACATGGATAACATAAAGAGCCTTAATTGGCTTAAGACTGAATAATATGAATATGTACCTTTGGCGGATTAAAAGGATATGTTTCTGGAATTTTAATTTCAAGTTGAAATCTCCCTCCTATAAAAACACAAGGGAAATGATGTACAGTTTAAGCATCTGATAAAAAACACAATCATGAAAAGAGTCAGATACATATATAATCCAATAACCTTAACATTTCCCATATCTTAAGCAATATTCATAGATTGAGTGAAGAAGGAAGACTGAAGTCACTTACCTTCATAAGGTGTGTCAGGAGGCCCTGCTATTTCTCCTTTGAGTTCTGTGAAATTCTCGTCTACCAGATCCACTTTGATCTGGTTTTTACTCGTCTGTGGAGATAAAAAAAACAGGGCTCATTGAAGAGAAGCTGGTTCACTGTCAAACTCAAACATGCCAATGCAGCAAAAGTTGACACCCCTATGGCGACATTAGCCAAAGTTAACCACAACTTATTGCTTTTACAGCTACGTGAAAACACAACTGACCTGTGAATAGTTAACTTTAATAAGATCCCTTTAGTGTGAGGGATACAGGATAACAGTACAATGTAGTGTCTAAACTGAACTGAAACTGTGTTTATGCTAAGCTAGCTAGCTCCTCCTATGGAAGAGTGAAGAATGTTTACGTTGTATTTTTAGCCCCGGTTTTATTTTTGAGTCCAAATTATAAATACGTAGGTGGAGGACATTTGACATGACACCATTTACATCTTTAATCCTGAATAGTGTTGGGCGTAAGGCTGAGGAGTCAAAACGAGCTGATGCAAACATTGTTGATTAGCCTCACGCAGCTAACACTCCAGCTAACACTCCAGCTAACACTCCAGCTAACACTCCAGCTAACACTCCAGCTAACACTCCAGCTAACACTCCAGCTAACACTCCAGCTAACACTCCAGCTAACACTCCAGCTAACACTCCAGCTAACACTCCAGCTAACACTCCAGCTAACACTCCAGCTAGCTTCACGGAGAAAACACACATTTAGGCTTTCCCTTCCTGTTACATCCCACATACCTCTTCACTTTTGAGGACTTCTTTGAATTCCCGTTTTATCCTCTGGACTGCGATATTGGCCATGGTTCCCCGAGCTGCGGAGCGGGTTTGGGGCCTCGCTGGACCTGGTGAACGCTTTACCCGAGCCTAGCTGCAGACACTGTTAGCTCTACACCTGGTTTTCTCAAACAGGGGCTCTGATGCTCTCCTTTATGCGCGTTATTATGCCACTCTATCTACGAGAAAAGGCAGCTTACTCTATGCCTAACATCTCAAAACCGAAACCAAACAAAGGTTGGCGGATCGGAAAACATTTTGACGCCAAGCTGCATGCAGTCTGGAGGAGAAGAGTCATGTGACCTGTATTGCCATCCGCAAGCTCTGTTCCCATTGGCTGCATTCCTGCATCATGAAGTAGCATGGAATTACAATATTTAGTTGCTGGATGTTGTGATTCTTGAGTGACTGTATGAACTTATGCAGTCGCTATCTTTTTCTGCCACACTTTGGCGCGTTTCAACGCTTTCATCAGTTTTCTTTTTTTCTTTTTTTTTTTTTATTGAAAAATATACAAAAATAACAAACAAGCTCGAGGCTCAGGTATGCAAGGCTTCAGCTTTCAGTGTAAACAAAAATATATAAGATACAAAAAATATATATATATATATTTTTACAGTGCAAATTCGTTACATACATCTTTGGTCTTCATGGCTTTGACATTAGTACAATATTTCAACGAGGTCAAATAAGAGGACATTAGTGATTCAAATACAACCAGTTTGGGTTTTTGGTTGAGGTACTTACAGCTATGGATATGATACTTGGCCAGTATTAATATTAGATTGGAAATAAACCGTTTGTTTGGAGGGAGATTTTTTAAATAAATACCAAACAAAATATCTTTAAGGTTTAGTTGTAAATCTATGGTAAGTTTTCTATTCACAAATAGATTAATGTCTTTCCAAAATACTTGTGTGTAAGAACATTCCCAGAAAAGATGACTAATTGATTCTACAGTGACATGACAAAATGAGCAAAGAGGGTCAACATTTAAACGATATTTGGATGTTACACTGTTAACCGGGTAACATCTATGCAAAATCTTGAGGCATACTTCACGAATCTTATTGGTAACAAAAAAATGTTTCGGCAATAACCACACAGAGTCCCATTCAATATCATTAAATTAATTGTCCCACACAAATATAGAAGCTGGTTTCCTAATGGAGTCTCTTACGATGAGCTCTCTAATACATTTGTTATTTGTTTTGACACTTAAAAAGGGGTCAGAATTACCAATATATAACTCTCGGGATAAATCTATGGTAGGATTGTGAACATAGGTTGACATCAATATTTTGACACCTGACGGAATAGCATCAAAAACAATTGCAAATTCCTTTGGCAACACTGGGAAATTATATATATGCAAGAATTCATTGTAAGAATACGTTATGCCTCTTTTGTTAAATAACTGGCTTTCATCAGTTTTCAAGTCTTATTCTCGAGGTCGGCGTTACGTCACGAATCATGTGACCTGCGTAGCAACCAACCGCCGCCATGTTTGAAGGGTAAAACAAACCGAAGGCGAATCCAAAAGGTATCTATTTACATATGTTTTGCCGTGGATTATGTCAGTTATGGATACTAACGGACAACTTTGAATTATTGATGAATGATATCTGTGTATGCGAATGTATGTTGGTGGTGTAAACATTCAGGGCTTGCTTAGCTGGAGGCAGGAATCTAAATTCCTATCTATTTCCATTGTAGCTGTTGTCATAGTAACAATAAAGAAATGTCTAACTGTTGTTGGAAATATCAGATAAACCTTATTTTATTAACGCAAATGTAATTCCTCTTGTTCTTGCACCTTAAGCCACAACAGGACCACCTTTTTCAGTTGTAGTTTTACACTTATAATCGCCAGTTTTAGTTTAATCTTATTTCTCTTGCCTGCAGCTGATGTCACTGATGATGTATATACCACATGTATGGAGTGAATGTAAACACTCATGTAAAGCGCTTTGTGACTAGCTACATGTCTGTGAAAGGCACTATATGAATACAGATCTTCTTCTATTGCAGCATGTCATATCAGTATATTGACAGTCTCCTAGCGCCTGCATTGACCAGGTACCACTAGCCTGGTTTTACCATACCCTCGTACTTGTTTCGTACAGAGGGTACATCCCGGGAAAAAAAGATTTGACCGGAGTTTACGGATGGCAAAGGCCAGGCTAAGGTACCACAGAAAGCTGTCGCTTGTAGGTTTACAATCTTGTCCCTATCGGCATCCAGCAGAGTCCTGGGAAAACAACCCAAAGGCATGGCCCAGGCTCGAGTATCCAGACATATACAATTACATCATCAAGTCCCCTGGTATGAACACCATGTGTACATACCATGTGTCCTACACTTGTAGTAATATTTAAATACCCATCAAGCATCGATAACATTAACTATGTTATGACATTCAAAAGCATTCTGTTACAATGTGGCTGTAATGAGCTCAGTCTGTCAGTGGCACAGCTTGTACAGTGTAAGTGAGGGACACAGTTTTTTTCAAAAGCCAAAAAAGGCTAACTGCAGAAATTCCACTTATTCCCCACACAACTAGTGCATTTCATTCTTGCTTATCGGTGTAGAGCTGCCGACCATTATGCATAGCGATGTTATAACATAGCAACAGAAAACAGTGGCATGGCATTAGTATTATTTTGTTATTCTTTGATTTGCCCCTCAATGTGTCCATTCATTTGAGATTACATTTCTATTTAAATTTTAAAGTAAAATGGCATACGCTCTTCACACTTTTTATGACTGGTTATTTTTTGCAATAACCAGTCATCAGATTACATTTTATTGAATGTAGTGTCTAACGACAACAGCAAGACTTTAACATTTCTAATGAGAAATCGTTTATTAGACATTGTATAAGTAGAAATACTAAAAGACGTGAAGATTGACATGAAAACATTTGTATCATTTACTTGCAATTTGTCAGTGTTTTTTCTCTGGTCAATTGTCACTCTCCTAGATGTGATATGTTAATGTATAAAAATAAAATTATTTCCCTTTCTTCATTTTCTTTTGTTTCAGGTGTATTTAGTATTATGATGGTGGAGACCGAATCATCGCTGATTTTGTCAATGCCTAATTCCGTCTGCTGCAGGTCTTGCATTTCCATGCAGGGTGTTGACACTTCTTGTTGCAACTCTTCTGGGACACTTGTCTCCTCAAATTCCAGTTGCTTCTTCACCTTCCTTTCCTTTCGTGATACTAGAGTAGTGGATGGTGCTGAAAAAAATAGATAAAAGGTATATATTTTGCAAATGATCACAGAAATTTTAAGTCATGGCCTCATATTTATAATAATAATAATAATGCATCAGTTTTATGTAGTGCTTTTCTGGACACTCAAAGACGCTTAACATTGCACTATTCATTCACTCCATACTTGGTGGTGGTAAGCAACTATTATAGCCACAGCTGCCCTGGGGTAGACTGACTGAAGCGAGGCGACCAGTCTGCGCCATCGGCCCCTCCGACCACCACCAACCACTCACTCACTCGGCTTCCTGGTGTTACTAAACGGCAGTATATTTAGTATTGAGTTGGATTGGGACGACAAGTCATAATAGTCGACTATGACTAGAAAGCCGCTGCTTTCTAGTCATAGTCGACTAACCAGTAGACTAGTTTTGTACTATAAATACCATCTTACCAAGAATTTCCAGGCTAGGCATTATGTACAAAAATCTGCATGACTAGTTACTTTGTAGATGCAATGACTTTTTCATACAGGAGGTAATTTTGTTTTCAAGGAAAATACATTTGTTAGCAAAATCTGTATTTTTACACAGATTACCATTTTTGTAGCAGTTAACCTCCCAAGTACTACTTTTCAAATTTGTCATTAGAAATCAACATGTATTTTTTATTTATGTATTTCATATGGGGGACAACATTCTATTTCACAAGGTGCTTGTATCAATTGTTGTACACAACCTCATTGCAATATGGAATCTTTTAATTCTTAACTGTGCATTGGAAATGCAGCTCATTATCTGCAGGTACGGTTTTACTGCAGTGTAAAATAAGAGCAAGAAACACAATTTGCTACTATGTCTTATGTCTGCATAAACAAAATCGACTGCAATTTTTTAGTTTTAAATTTCAAGTGTTGTGTCAAACAAATTCAGATAATTTTTGGTCATTGATCTAGGAGCAAACTAGATGCATGTTGATCACACTACAGTTTGATGGGGTTTTTTTTCTGTTAACGATAGGGTACTGTGGGTAGCAAACTTACCTTTTCTTTTCTGTGCTCTCTTGAAGCGATCAAGTGTGGTACTCTTAGTCAATTCCTTCAGCACTGCTTGTGGGAAAATGGACGGAGTGTAATCTGGGTGTGCGGGGTTGTTGTTCTTCTTTCCTGTTCAAGGAGCAAAGTGACAAAATCTAAAGATTCCCACTGAGTAGCTCCAAGCCAGCTGGAGCCATTTCTCTCTCCTTTCTGGCTCAGTTGCCTCGCTAGGGATCATGTAAAAGGATAGGTCACTCCTTTTTACGCTGTTGTTGGTACAACAAACAATACAACAGTTTTTCGGCATGTTTTGTAACGCTCGTTTGTCTTTCGCTTTGTGTTGCTTAATGGCGGGCGCTGGTTTGTTTTACCCTTCGCCGCGTTGCTATGCGCGCGCAGTGCATTATGGGAGTCCAAGTTCCCGGATGTCCGACCTCGAGAATACCATGTGTTTCGTTCGGTTTTATTGTCTCATGAAGGCTTTTTACTTTTGGTGCTTTGTAGTATTTCAACTTCAAGATTTACGTTCCCCATCTTTTATTATGGGTGTTGCATTATTGCAGTACTTTAAAGTGCATTTCCATTTATTAGGCCCGAGCCCCAACCGGGGTAAGGGCCTATTGCTTTTCCAACGAGTAATGCATTACTCGTTGAACTGTTTTAAGTCACAATCTCCGGGCGCAGCCCGGAGATTGTGACCTGCACGCGACGGCACGTGCCCAAGCACTGATAAATCCGTGCCGGAGGCACGGAATGGCTTTGTTCCTGCTGTAGTACACAGTGAAATGATTGAAGTCCTATTAAAGGGGGGTTCCTTCAACTGTTTTATGGACGAATGTCCGGGCGAAGCCCGGACATTCGTCCCCCAAGCCCGACGGCGCGTGCCCAGACACTGACAAAACAGTGCCGGAGGCACTGAATGGCTTTGCTCCTGCTGTAGTACACAGTGTAATGAATGGGGTCCTATGGGGGGGGTGGGTGACCTCATGATCACCGAGAACCCAATAGTTGCGTTCGCCTCGTCGTTCGCTTTAAAATGACGTATCATTTGTATTATAGGTTACTATGGAAACCTATATTGTTTTTGCTCAAAGATTTAAAAAAAAAAATCCTTGGTTTGGTTTATTTATTATTTATTTATTTATTTCTTTTTTCTTCTGCACTTTGAACCTTAATTTGACCCCCTGAACATTGATGAAAAGTTGTGAAATTTTGCCCAAAATTCAGAACCGGTGAAAAATTAATTTTTTTGGTGTTTATTTTTATGGGACTAAAAAAATGTCAGAATAGCGCCCCCTACAAAAGTCAGTTTACATTGCGCCTATGGGAGGGGGTCGAAGGTCAAGTTTGTCGTAGAGCCACGAAATTCGGTACACATGTTCCTCAGGTCAAGACATGAAAAAAAAGTTATTATGGCTCCGCCCCCTGACAAACAGGAAGCTCATTAATTTAATTGGAAAATGGAAAAATGAATTTATCTTTTTCACACATGTTGGCTGGAAATGATTTCCTCCTCGGCCGTTTCACCGATTTGTCTCAAAATCGCTCCACATGGTCTAAACCCATGTCCCATCTATTATTGAATATAGAATATGGATCAGTTAAACGTTGTCCGAGCAGCGGAGCGGCAAAATGTGAAATTTTTTTGGGGATTTTTGACAAAAGTAAATTTGCTCCCGTTTGCACAAACAAAGCCGGATTTGCACCAAATTTTAATCCATTGTTCAGCGCCAGGGTCTAGGTCATCTGAAAGTGGAAATATTGAAATTGGCTCATTAGCGCCCCCTACAGACTATGTTAAAGTTTTACATGGGCTTTTTAAAATTTAGTTTTGTCAAAATGTTGGACATTTTGCACATAATTCTGTTTTGTCATCTGGATTAAAAAAGTCAATGACAACATATGATTATTTTTTACCCTGTTGCCGTGGCGACGACCAACACTCCCCTGTCTGTGTCTATGAGAAAATCGTTAAATCTCTTAAAAGTACACCTCGCTCAAACATCAAACCAGCCACGGCCGTTTCACTAATTATGCTGAAAATCGCTCCACATCGTCTCAACACATGGACTATCAATAGTTGCATATAGAGTTTTAATTAGTCAAGCGGTCTGAGCGTGACAGACCCCCAAAGTGTGGTTATTTTCATAGAGAGGTGTGAAGTTCCCATGTTATCCAATGGAGACTGTATGGACACACTCACAGATTGTATGAACAAACAGGAGCACATTTACAAACTCTGATTTGCACTAAACTTGACTCGCTTGTTCAACTCCTGGGCCTAGGTCACATGACTGTGTGAACAATGACATTGGCCCATTGGCGCCCCCTACAGCCTGAGTCAAGGTTTACATGGGAATACAGGTATTTAGGTTTTCTGTAATTTGATCTCATATTTGACCCACTTAACAAACATGAAAACTCACCAAACTTTGCCAAAAGTTTTTTTCAGGCATAAAGTGTATTATTTTGGTGTTCTTTGGTATAACACTAAAAAAATTAAATTATAGGGGGCGCTATTGTACAACATTAAATAACACCATTTGCACATACAAGGTCTGATTTGCACAAAATTTGAATAGATTTTTCAACTCTTGGGTTTGGGTAAACTGAAAGTGGGAATCATGAAATTGCAGCAATAGCGCCCCCTACAGACTGATTTAAGTGTTACATGGGGAAAATGAGGTATATCTTTTGAATAGAGAAACCGATCACTAATCATAGAAAGTAAAATTACACAGTGTCGCTCCCATCAGGGGGGTAGGAAAATGGCGCGTCAGCGCCACCTCCTTTGCGTGGTGCGGCGAGGGCCGTTAGATGCCGCTTGCGGCTTTAATTTCAATTGAAAGTTCTTTTTATTTTCAGAATGTCTTCCACTTTTTGTTTTTTGTTGAATTTGCAGTACTACAAGTTGTTCTTTTTCCTATCTTTTGTAAATGGTACTTTTTATCTTTTTAATTTTTTTGTTTTGAAGGTTTGTTTTTGTATGTGATTTCTCGTTTTTATAATGTATTTTTTACTTATAAAACAATAAGGCATTCAACAACAATCAACAGTCCACACAGGTTTAATTATTTTACTGAATTTTACTCTTGTCAACAACAATACATTTGTTTGAAACACATACACTCCCATAATGTTAATTTAAAGTAGTAGCACGGTGGATTAAAATAATTTAAAACGCATATACATACATTTAGCTTCAAATTATATTATCAAATATAATTATTGATATATATATATATATATATATATATATATATATATATATATATATATATATATATATATATATATAAAACCAGAATTGCACAATTGTGCAAGTTCTCCCACTCCCATGAGAGACAGAATGAGGAATAAATAATCCAGGGTTAGGGATTTAAAAAAAAAAAAACGTTTATCTCAATACTTTGTTATATATAATTTATTGGCAATGACAGAGCTCAAACGTTTCTGTAAGGCCCCTTTTAGGAGATAGGGGAAGCTAGCATTGTGGCGATAGCAAAACAGACCACAAATCTTAAAAACTGAGACTCCTCTCCTAAAACGAGTTTTAGGAACTTCACATTTTGCTGGTAGCATTAGCACATTAGCAATAGTCCACTTTTCTGTCTACAGCCAAACATGATTCATATTGACGAAGAGGAAAATAGTGAAAAACGCAACTGACTATACTATAAGATAAGATAAGAGATCCTTTGCTGTTGTGACCTGTCCTGCTCCACCAGCTACACCATCTCTGCTGTTGTGACCTAAAATGCTGTGGCATTACTACTACTACTATTGTTAGCTATTTTTGGAAATTATCTATGTATTTGTTTTGTTTGTATGGATGGATGTGTTTCTTTCTGTTGCTACTGGACACCTGAATTTCCCCTAAAGTATCTATCTATCAATCTATCTGGGTCATGTTTGTTTGTTATGCCATGGCCTATGTAATACATATACATATTATTTTATGTTTGTGATAACATGGTAGACCTATGCATTTTCTACAACACATTTTCTCTACTGCTATGGAGTCTGCATATAAAATGATAGGGTGGTACAGCGAGCATTTTTTTCCTCCAACTCTTTGTTGTCCTTTTGCCTCTCACAGAGTTTGTTTTGGACATTATAATCAAGATAATTAGCAGTATTAACATAACAACTGTGACTAGGACAAATACTCCGAAAACTAAAACAACCCTATTTTCATGCATCCATGCACACACAAGGCAGGCTTTCTGATGTCCTGTCTGATGACACTTCTCAACTGCATCACTCTGAGGGAAACCTCTTTTGGATATAATGTCTCTATAAACAGAGACAGAGACTTTGGCTTTGGACTGATGAGAGGCAGAAGTGAACAGCCCAAATGGAGTTAGTCCATCCTCCAACCTCCACACGTAAAAGCCCTGAAGGTTTACTCCATCTACTTGATGAGCTGGAGACAAAGAAATCAGACAAAAAAGACATAATTAGACAGCAGAAAATACACTAGTCAAGCGCTGCAAAAAAAAAATACCTTGTTCCTTTTTCTTTTCATTTAGAAATTTCATTATAAAATTATATAAAATTATATAATTGTCCCCATCCCGAAGAAGCCCAGGATCACAGGACTCAACGACTACAGACCTGTAGCACTTACGTCTGTCGTCATGAAGTCATTTGAACGCCTGGTCCTCTCCCATCTCAAGTCCCTCATCTCCCCCCTCCTGGACCCCCTGCAGTTCGCCTACAAAGCCAACAGAACTGTAGACGACGCCATTAACCTGGCCCTCCACCACATCCTACAGCACCTGGACTCCCCGGGGACCTACGCCAGGGTCCTGTTCGTGGACTTCAGCTCTGCCTTCAACACAATCCTGCCATCCCTGCTCCAGGACAATCTCTCCCAGCTCAACGTGCACAATTCCACCTGCAGGTGGATCACTGACTTCCTGACAGACAGGAAGCAACGAGTGCGTCTGGGGAAGAATGTCTCGGACTCTCGGATTATAAATACAGGAGCCCCACAGGGCTGCGTTCTTTCTCCCCTGCTCTTCTCCCTGTACACCAACCACTGCACCTCCAGCCACGACTCCGTGAAGCTGATCAAGTTTGCGGACGACACCATCCTCATTGGACTCATCTCCAACAACGATGAGTCCGCCTACAGGAGGGAGGTGGACCGGCTGGTGTCCTGGTGCAATGGTAACAACCTGGAGCTGAACGCCCAGAAGACAGTGGAGATGATTGTGGACTTCAGGAAGAGCACTGTCCCCCCGCCCCCACCCTCCGTGATGGACTCCCCCATCACCTCTGTGGAGTCCTTCCGTTTCCTGGGCACCACCATCACCAGGACCTCAAGTGGGAGCCGACCATCAGCTCCCTCATCAAGAAGGCCCAGCAGAGGATGTACTTCCTGCGGCAGCTCAGGAAAGCCAAGCTGCCTGCACAGATGTTGGTGCAGTTCTACACGGCCATCATCAAGTCCATCCTCACCTCCTCCGTCACCGTGTGGTTCGCTGGAGCCACAGTCAGGGACAAACAGAGACTACAGCGCATTGTGCGCTCTGCAGAGGAAGTGATCGGCCGCAGCCTTCCATCGCTGCAGGACCTGTACGTCGCCCGAGCTCGAGGCCGGGCTGGTCGTATCACAGCCGACCCCTCTCACCCTGCACATGGACTATTCCAACCACTCCCCTCAGGCAGGAGACTACAGTCCATCAGGACTAAAACCTCCCGCCACAAGAACAGTTTCTTCCCCTCTGCTGTTCGACTATTGAACACTTCTTAACCTGTCCCCCCGCCCTTTATAAAGTCACTTTACTGCCCATCATACGTCACTTTACTTCACTGTACTGCTGTCACCTTACATTGTGTGCACCATGTGCACTTGTATATTGTAAATAGTAACTGTAACTCTATTTTAAATTTAAATTTATTCTTTAGAAGTATTTTTTATTCTTTATTTTTATTCTTATTTTTATTATTTCTTTCTGACTGTTGCACTGAGCCAAAGCAATTTCCAAGTTTATGATTTCCTGTTACTTACGTGGCAATAAAAATTATTCTGATTCTGATAAAATCTAAAATATATTTAGATTTTGATCATGGTGATGGTTAAGGTCTGAAAAACTGATCAAGATGCACAGCTGCAAATATGCATCAACTCTGTCAGCCAACTTCTGGATGCGGGTCCGACTTTCCAAAAATGTTTCACCCATTATTTACAAGGCAGAGGGCCAGTCCGGTACTCAATACAGTGAATCAGTCAGATGGATGTGTTTACCCTTTAATGGTTTCCTCTGTTAATGGTGATTGCACATTTTATATCAGTGAAAAATGTCTTCCTTTTTACAGACACCAACACGTGGGCTGCTGTACCTATGACTCATTTCACACTGAGTCATGTGTCGTGTGCACACAACCTGATCAGTCGTTTTATTAGTGGATAACAAACATATATTGCCATTAGGCTTCACAGGTTTTTTTGATCAATTCATTTTAAAATTTGGGGAAGTTCCAAACTCTGTGTCATGGTGTGGATTATTTGTTAGCTAGTTTTATTTTTACATAATTTTATTTTCTACTGTTTCATTTTAGTTTTACTTCCAGTCCTGTTCCCCTGTCTGCCCCGCCCTGATGTATTTCACCCGTGTCTCTGTCTATATGTACCATGTGCTCATCCTCATGTGTTGCTGGTCCATTGTCATTGTCTGTTCTGTTCCTGGTTCTTTATTTTTTTTGACTTTTATTTACGATTGATTATTTTTTACATTTCTGCCTTTTGGGTCATCTTTCATCACACTCTGAAATTCAGTGAAATAAACCATTTGTATTGAATGGGGAATTAATTGAATTTTGTCACAGGAAAAAAACTCCACTGGACTTGCATGTAATCTTTTTGGTACATTTTTTGTCAATTCAAAATGATGATGTATTAATTACCAAGCAGCATTTTCACAAATACAAGGGAACCATTGAAAATAGATGAGGCATAGTTTTGTGTCCTGTTTTTAGTTTCCCAAACAAACAATACATATATAACCAACAGAAAATAAATACTTTTCTAATTCAGAGAATGGGGGTTCTGTTGCATATCCAATAATTGCCTCATTGCCTCATTCCTTAGTTATTGTTCCCAGAGCCTGGATTTTATAGTAGGAAAGAGTCATAAACACATGTCTTACCTTTGAGAGCCTCCTGTAAGTAGCTCTTTACATAGTTTTGTCTGAGTTTATCATCTACCGCAGCCGGGTCATCTATCCCACTGGCCGTGACGATGATGGGCAACCTCCTTCCGTATCGTTTGGTCACCCAGTTCAAAACCCTCCTCAACCCCCATGGGACAACAGCCTGCCCCAGCTTTGATGTGACCCAAGTAGGATCAAATAAGGTCCCGCAGTTGTGATCCGGCGCCGGTTTGAGCAGCTTTGAAGAGAAAGGCACGACTAAACGTGTGGTAAAGTGGTTCAGCGCGATAAAACCCAGCGCTCCTTTAAGTTCACTCTTCTCCGTTTCTGTAAAATTGGGAAATGGAGATGCTTTGAGAATTGTCTTCATTTCAATTGGATAGTCCCCTCTGTTTTGTTGCCTCTCGTTTTTCTTTCCAATTAGAGGATCTAGGAAGCGAGCCAATTCAAAAATAAGAAATCTTTCAGTAGCTTCAATATTGGACTTTAAAAATGGATTGGCAGGCTCGGCCCAGTCAGCATGCAAGGCCAGCGACACCAGTCCTCTCTGTTGGTTTGAGTATTTTTGTTCATACAGTCTCCAGGCTTTTGAGTGTGCAAGAAGCAGGTTATGTGCAGCTTGGTGTCTGTCCGTGCCTCTGTCATACACATCTATATGTCTGTTTGGCTCATTGATTGTTATCCAGTAGTGAACCGACGCACCCAACTCTTTAAAACATAGTGAAGCATAGTCTCGAAAAGCCTCCACGGTGCTGTGGTTGAGCCAGCCCCCAGAGGCCTGCAGAGGAGCAGGGAGGCCCCAGTTTGGAGGTGTGTTTGATGGGTAGTAGAGGACCACAACAGCCTTTATGTGCATCTTTGTAAGTTCAGACAGCATGCAGCGGTAATACCTAAAGAAAAAGGGATGTAAAAAAATACAGTGAGATTGCAAGATAACGTGTTGATTTATTGTGGGCGGCACGGTGGTTGAGTGGATAGCATTCTCGCCTCTCAGCAAGAAGGTCCTGGGTTCGAATCCTGGTCGTACCAGGGCCTTTCTGAGTGGAGTTTGCTTGTTCTCCCCGTGTCTGCGTAGATTTCCTCCGTGTACTCCGGTTTCCCCTACCTCTAAAAATATGTACAATAGGTCTGGCATGCGTCTCCTGTTTGGCGACCCCGCTCCCATCTCTGTGTGGAGTGAAAGGACAAGTGCCCAAAAATAACAATTGTAAAGTGCTTTGTGACTCTGGTCTGTGAAAGGTGGTATGTAAATAAAGATTACTTGTTAGAATAAAGAATACATTATGATCTATTTGTATTACAATATCATTGGCGGTCCAGAATTACATTCAAACTGATCGTGTTGGAGTTTTTCAAATTTTTTCAAATTTGATCTTTTTTAGTTTTTTAAGTGATATATGATAAGATAAATCTTTATTCATCTCTCAGTGGGGACATTTTAGTTTTTTTAAATAATTTCATACAGTGAAAAACAAAGTCGATGTTCCTATGTATGCCAACATATAACTTATTACAAATAATTTAACTTTTGTGTTGAGTTACTTCAAATAGGACTATATTACTATTATCTAGTTCCTCCCAACACGGTTCTGGGACATCACCGTGTGCTCTCATGTAAGTTTTGCTAAGACCAGTCTTAAACTATCAAGATCCTTTTTTTTCTAAACAAAACAATAACACTGAGGTTTTTTATTCATATTCACTTGGACTTGCTGACACAGTAGTCCCAGGTGCCATAAAATATCTTATTCTTACCTTAGTGCGTCTGCGTTCACATTTGACAGGTCGCCTTGAGGTAAAACCAGAGACCAGTTCAGAGCAAATCTATAATGAGACGCTCCAGTCGACGCAAACAGACGGAGATGATTGCGAATGGCTAAATACTCGGTGCACTGGGAGGGTCTAGTTTGGAGCGTCACTCCGGGGACAGCGCGCAGGGTCCCATCTCCGGACACGTTCCACATGTACAGCCGCGGGTCAGTGAACTGAGGAGAGAAGGGATGGAAGCGGACCTGCAACAAGAGTAAATACAGTAGGATACTGGTCTGTTCAAGTAGGTGTAAATACATGATTAGGTGTTTTCCCTTTTGGACAACAACCTGCATTTGTAATTATTCTATAATGTATAGCTGCATTAAAGATGAAGAATTGCATCTTCCGTCTATTTAATGTGCTTGTATGATTGTTTGTATCTTGTTTTGTTAAGCGTTTTGAGTTGCCTTGTGTTTGATCTGTGCTATACAAATTAACTTTTCTTGCCTTCCAAAGAGTACACTTTTAGCCCCGGAGAGAAGTTCTCTTATATTTTCAAAGGACAGGCCATAAAGATGAGAAATGTATAGGAGCAGTGCACAAAAAACCTTCACATTGTAAAGCAACATTTAGGCTGAATATATATTTGTGAAAAGGGTTTTTGATTTCAGATTGTGTTCCCTGCTTAAATAAAGGATAATACATGAAGGTGTTACTTGAAAATATTCCTGGAAAAGAAAGTCAGAAAATACAAGTTTTGGTAGGTTCTTAGAAATACTTTGTTGTACCCTCGGTCCTGGGTTTGATTCCACCTCCGGACCATTCTGGAGTTTGCGTGTTCTCCCTGTGTCTGCGTAGGTTTCCCCATCACTAAAAGTAAGTGCAATAGGTCTGACATCCAACTGTGTGGAGTGAAAGACAAATGCCCAAAACAATTGTAAAGTGCTTTGTGACTCTGGTCTGTGAAAGGCACTATATAAATAAAGAATACTTACTCACTTACTATACTTATCTCTGTTATTGATTTATATAAAGGGTTAAAAGCACTCACTTGTAAAGTTGGGTCAGCAATTCCCCAATGAAACTCACAGGGAAAAAGCCCTTTTATCTCTTGAGAGGTTTTATCATCAGGGAATCCATTTTTTGTAATAATATCTCTGTAATAGAGAGCAGATGTTTTGGGGCTCCTGTTCCGTTTGGGATGAGAGAAGTCCACATAGAAAAGACCCCTTCTTCGAGCATATCCATGGTTCCATTCAAATCCATCCAGCAGCGACCACGCTGTGTAGCCAATCACCCGCACTCTGTCAAATCTAATGGCTGCAACACAAATGACACATTCAGATGGAGGTGATCACTTTTAGTTCTTCCCAAATGCTTTGTGGATTATGAAATTAGTTAAAATGTACTATTTCAATCAATTTCACAATCCACTCAATGTAATTAGCAACTTAGATGTGTAATTTTCTGTTGTTAGTAGAGATGCACTGGTCTATCTTTTAGGTCTCGATACTTTTTCTTTTATCAGCCAAGATGAACAGATACTGTACCAATGGAGGGACAGAGAATAGCATGTTTTACCCTAAAATCAGAGCTAACTTAATTGGTGAAGATTTCAGTGAAGAACTAGGCAAACAATAATTTTAGGTTAGAGCCACACAGAGACTTTGAAAACTGCTAAAAAATTTTAAAATGGTTCCAACTGCGTATCTACAAAACCTTTATTTTATGCGTAAATGTTAAACCTGACATTCTGGGTTTATGTCAGGCCGTAAAGCCAAATATAAGCCAGTCTCTTTTTCTCTGAAACACTCCAATAACGTTTCTGGCTTAACCAATGTCATCAAATCCAACAACAGTATTCTTCAATTCAAAAAGCAAGGTTACTGGATTGCTAGATGGGTCTATTGTGTAGTGAAAATGTTTCTCCCAGGTGCTCTTCAGATCGGGGATCAGAATCATAAAGGTGAGAAAACTGAGGCACTCAGTGGGTATATGGAAAAGCCAACCATGAAGACATGGCTATAATATTTAAAAACGGCAACACGTTTTGGCCTCTCAGACCTTCATCAGGGCATGTGTTGCATTAAATGCTTTATAACTTTTTATATACCCACTGAGTGCCTCAGTTTTCTCCGCTTTGTCACTACAGCAGTTGTTAGCAAATATAAATATGAACGAGATCTACTGCTCTCACCTTGTAAGACCTGGTTGACAAATCTCTTGATCAGATATAAAGCCACAGTGTTCTCTGTAGTTTCACTGGCGACAGAGAACCAGCCGGCTTCAGCCACCAGCACTGGGGGGTCGTCATACTGCAGTTTGATCCATGTCAAGACCCTCCTCAAGTCCAGAGATAGGGTCTGTCCGTACTGGGCCAAGGTCTGTCCCAAACTCATATCGTTTGGGCCAAAGGATAAAGCAAAAAAGTCGGCAGTGTTCCTCACCCACAGCTTCTCTTCATCAGTGAAGGCAGGAAGAGCAGCACCGTGCTTTGACTTCAGGGATAGTGGATAATCACCGTCAACAAATATAGGATTGGCAAACCAGCCCAGAACAGCCTCCATAGACTCTTGGCAGAGGTTGATGTTTGCCTCTGTGGCTCTTTGGGGTTCAACCCAGTGGGAACCCAGAACTACAGACACCTTCCCCATCTGATGTGGACGGAAATATGTGTCGTAATTGTGCCAAGCTCGAGCGTGAGCCTAGAAAAGCAGATACAATACACATCAAAAACTAACAAGGATTTTTTTGATATCAGGTAGAATAAAACCACAACCGCCCAAGTGGTATTAAAAAGATGGGTCAAATGTAGGCGACAAATATCACCACAATAACAATAAAGTATACCTGATGGACATGTCCTGGGCATGTGTTTTGTCTCTTGTGCTGTAAGTATTGTGGACACTTTTTTGTGATATTTAATTGAAAATAAAATTAATTTCAGGACACTTTAGCATTCAACAACATGTATGGACATTTTCTTCTGTGTGTGCTTTATATTCTTCATGTGTTTTAACTGTTGATTCTCTGACCTGTGTTGGTGATTTCAATGGTTTTGTTAAGTCCTCTGAGATGACTTCTGTTGTGACCTAGGGCTATACAAGAATAAATTGTATTGTATTGTATTGTATTGTATTTAAAAAACAGTAAGATCTCCACTGCTGTTCATATTTTTTCTTTTAATGTACTTCAGAATAAAAACGAGTCCTTTTTGAATGTTCTGATTTCTTATATTTAGACAGCTCACCTTCCCACAGATATAACTAGACGTGTGTCACTTGTTTCTCTGGAGCATGTGAGGCACAACATTTATGTGGATCCAGGAAAAAAGTAGCCCCTTCGTGCAGGTACTTTTACGAGGGCAGTGGCTGTGTGCTCATGCTATCTGCTTGTATTTGTTCACACATTCACCATGTGTTGGTGAATTTGTGATGATATATTGCTAATAAGCCATATCTCTGTGGCTTCCTGCCATATAACATTGTGTACAACACATTTCTGTTGATGTGGTGGACTTTGACCTCTCTGCATTTAAGTTCTGTTTACTGATCTTTTTAAACTAAATATAATTTATATGAAATAATAACTGAAATCAGAAAATTAGTTATGTCTGTAAATTATTTATAAAATTATTGCATTGCATTGATAATATTATAACAACATAATAGTAAACAAGAACATACATTTTTTTTAATATTTGGAAAGCCATCTTGACCTTAAAGACATGACTGGTTCTTGTTTTACTCACCTTGATCATATTGTGTGCAGCTTTCAGAAGGCTTAGGTCCCCTCCAGTCTCTCCAGGAGCATGAAGGCCTGTACCGTATCCTTGTACAGCCACCACATATGGATTGTGCATCGTCAGCCAATACCTGACTTTACCTCCAAACGTTTGAAAGCAGAAAGGGGCATATTCCCCAAACAGTTGAATGAGAGTCTCATTCTTCCATCCACCATACTGCTCCTGCAACACTTGTGGCAGGTCCCAGTGATACAGAGTTACAATGGGCTCGATCTTGTTATCCAGTAGTTTGTCTATTAGGTGATTGTAGTGTCTCACTCCTGCTAAATTTGGTTTACCTTGAGGGTTCCCATCTGGGAAAAGTCTGGGCCAAGACAAAGAAAATTGGTATGCTTTCACACCTAGAAAGGTCAACGCCTTAATATCCTCTTCCCATTGTAGATAGCTGTCACTTGCAATGTCAGCAGTGTCACCAAATCTGGAATGAGTGAAATTGTCCCAAATGGAGATGCCTTTTCCATCTCGCTCCCAGGCTCCTTCCGTTTGAAACGCAGATGTCCCGGATGCCCATAGGAAATCTGCTGGAAAAGTACCATGTAGAAAAAGTTGCTCTTGTGATACCGCGTCTGTCTTTTGCCGTTGCCAAATGGTCTTGCCCTCCCCAAGAGCACGAGCTGTCGTCCAGCCACACACAAGCAGCAGCAGGAAAAACCATTGGTGTGTGGGGTTAGGAAGGGTCAGCATATTGGATTGTTAAAGATCTTCAGAAAAGGGACGGATAAATTGAGAAAAGGAGATTGGTGATCCCATAGCTAAACGTAAGCGATCCATAACGGAAGAGTAGAGAGTAGCACAAGGACAGAGACACGCAAAGCCAGAGTTGCAGCTGTGTCCACCTGACTACCTCATGAAACGTCACTATCTCCCCACGCTGCAATCTCACCCCTCCTTACCTGATATGATCCTGTTTAGTCCACTTGTAAACAGCAAACTCATTATATAGTCAATAATAATACATTCCAGCAGGTTATTTTGCAGTTGTGACCATCATTCTAATTGTGAGAACAAGAGAATGTAAATGTGGGTGGAACTTTTAAGAAAACAGATTTACAGCCTAATAAACATGCTGATAGCCTCCAAAGGAGATTCATGTGTCAACGATTACCTTGAACTCTGGTCTTGGCTGACAATGTTACTTCTACTACTATAATGTGAAAAATAAAGATAAAGTATGTGTTTGTGACAGTCATTTTCAAACATTTTGCATCCTACAAAATGATTTGTGCACAGCTAATTTTATCCTTAAACTCAGCTAGCATCTTATGTTTTAGCTTTTCCTGACCGATTAATGAATAAACTGGAGAAACTGTGATTGTTGCAGGTTCATTTATTTTCTATAAATTCAACTTTACAGACTCATAGCATGTTTATCATTAAGGCCCACAACTTTTCAACCCTCCAATTACAACATCATTAGAATATTTAGAAAATGTTGAAACAAAGAAAGGCTTGAATATGTCTCCTCAGAAGTTAGGGACCCATGGCTCTTTTGATGATCGTGTCCGGCTCTCTGTTATCAAACAAAATAATTCATTCTGAGACTAATTTTACACTCTAAATGCATTGATCTTGATCGTATACTGTAATCTTGACACACATATTTACAGTATAAAAAATTTGTATAACTCCCGCAAAAATACATCATTATCATATATTGGTGTCACATTTTAAGTCAAAGTACAGAAATTAACTTCTGAACAAAGTATTTTAAGTTTCACCTGTAGTTGTGTAGTTTACGCACAGGGACCTTATTCAAAGATTTTTCACGTTTTGGAGATTAAATTTGGCTAAGGTTCAATATGTGCAATATAATAACACAAGTCCAGAGGGTAAGAGGGACATTCATTTAAAGATCCTTATTTAATAAAGCGTCTCTCTTTGTAGCAGCACAACCTGGCCTAATCCTTGCTGATGTAGGGCTTGTGTACATCTCACACAATCACAGTAGTTTTTCTCCAAAGCAGCTGGGACATCTTATTGCACTAACAGAACATTTCCTGTGTCACTTTCTGCAGTTTAAGAAGAAGAAGCTGCAAAGGAAGTGGCCCAGGGCAAAGTCTGCTCCGAGGCAAAAAGGTAAACTGCATTAGGATCCTCATTTATCAAACAGGAACACCTGCTCGAGTAAGCTTTGCAGCCCATTATACCACATGTTAAACTCATGTTAGAGGTTAGTGACCCTCGAAATGATTTTCAAATATTATTATTCACTTCCAGCATTGATGCCAAAGAGCTATACTATGGCTGGCTATAGTACCCAACACAACTTCTGGGTGAAATTCGGATTTGGGACCCCGATCCAAACAGGCAATGACACCTTTGATTTATTATTTACTGCGTTGCTGTGGCAATGACAAATAATCGCTGTGTCGATGGGAAAATCAAAAAATCTCTCAAATTTTCACCTTAATAACCCCGCCCAAAGGTAAAGGTAAAGGTGCACTTTAACCATTTGATCAACAGGCCTCAAAATCGCTGCACATACAAACAAGTGTAGGATCAAAGGTTTGCTGAGTTTTGATCAATTAAAGGGTGTGCATGCGGCAGACGTGCAACTTTTGGTAATTTCTAAAGAGATGCATCAAAGTTCCCATATTATTCTACAGAGGCACACACTCACTAATCATGTCATGTCCATTGTAATTTTACAATATCAGTGATTCCTTTATGAGAACCATAAGGACGCGGGCTGTTAGATGCCGCTTGCAGCTTTTAATATGGTTATTATCATTCGTGAAACAAAAGTGTCTTCACCCATTATTTATGTGCTGTTGTAGTGACGCCTTCAAGAGAAAAGTTACATAAAGATTAATCTCTTTTATTTGTCCCACGATGGGGATGGGGGTGTTGCATCACAGGTCACAGAACAGTAATGAATGAGGATCACACAAACACAAATTAAGATAGGTAAATATTAAATATAATTAAATGGTCATGACTTTTGACAAGCACCATTGAGACAATCAGAAACTATGTAGACACATTCAGAGAAGATGACAGGAAGAGTTTATTTTTCTCTTTTGTGCAAAGTAAAATTATTAATAATTTTTGGTTTAGTGCAGTGGTGAGGAAAAGGAAAAGGAAAAGTGAGTGCAGCGGTTCTCAAACTTTTTACTCCAAGTACAACCACAGAAAATACTTGCCTCTCCAAGTACCACCACAAATGACCAACACTACACAGAAGCGTAGTTAGCCTAAGTATTCATCAAAAACAAGGCAGAGGTTTCATTCCTAAAGAAGTATATTTAATATTGTCAGCCACTGTAACATTTCACACAGTTTCAACAGTAAGACTTAAATAGGAAATAAAGCAAAAAAACAAAAAACTTTACTTAAATAATGATTCAATTAAAGTGTTCCATTCATTACAAACTGCAAAGCCTTGACTCACCACTGTGAATGATATTCTGGAGTGGGATCTTTGTCCAGCAGAAGGTTTGGACACTGGTGCACTTTTTTTTCTAAGGCTTAGTCTGCTGCCCTCTTACATCTGCCATTTACTCACACAAAGAGATGTTGGTTCATATGGTTAGGATCAAATTATCTTTTGTTGCTTTCTGTTCCTTTTGCACAGAACTGGGAAAAAAGATTTTGTATAAGCTGCTCCTTCTACATGGAACGTGTTGCAAAAAGACTGGAAATGATCTGAACTTATTTCATTGAATGCTTTTAGATTCAGATTGAGACTGAGACGTCTTCATTGAAATGTAACTGTTTTTATAATCTGTAATAGTATAACTGTTTTTATAATCTTTATGTAACTGTTTTATAATCTGTAATTGTGTGTCATTTTTGTCCAGGACTCCCTTGAAAAAGAGGTTCGTAATCTCAATGGGACTTTCCTGGTTAATATGGGACTCTCAATGGGACTTTCCTGGTTAATAAAAAAAAAAAATATATATATATATATATATAATATATATATATATATATATATATATATATATATATATAATATATATATATATATATAGAGAACCACTGGCGTAGTGATTCTGTAACATGATTTAACTTCACCACAGAGAGGCGCTGTTTGGTCTTGGAAGACTCTTCCAAGCGCCGCACGGAACACACTGTGGATGTCCCTGACAAGTTTATGGGTCACAGCAGTCTATGGTCACACAGCTCTCATGGTGGAGCAGGTGTGGTCCATCACAGCAGAGACAGGATTCAGTGTCTGGCCACAGAAGTCCAGTTTGATGGGCTCCTGTCTATGGGGTGCCGTTTGTAAAAATTCTGTTAAAATTTTTTAGCTGAACATTTTTCTACATTTAGCTCACTTTCCTCACATTTAGCACATTTTCCTCACATTTAAGACATATCTATATCTAAATATTATATCTATATCTAAATGTTAAATGTTATATCTAAATATTATATCTATATCTAAATGTTATATCTATATCTAAATGTTAAATCTAAATGTTAAATCTAAATGTTAAATCTAAATGTTAAATCTAAATGTTAAATCTAAATGTTAAATCTAAATGTTAAATCTAAATGTTATATCTATATCTAAATGTTATATCTATATCTAAATGTTAAATGTTATATCTAAATATTATATCTATATCTAAATGTTATATCTATATCTAAATGTTAAATGTTATATCTAAATATTATATCTATATCTAAATGTTATATCTATATCTAAATGTTAAATCTAATGTTAAATCTAAATGTTAAATCTAAATGTGTCGCCAAGTGTAAAGCTAAATATATAGAAACCACGCCCACTGCAGTGGCTTCAAATCCAGTGGGCCCGCCTTCCGTGCCGCGTGTTTTGAACATAGGAATACACGTGGACCGACGTCACGGCTCAAGGCATGTTGGGTCTCCGGGCCATCGTCCTTGGCCACGGCACAAAATTAGCATTTTTGTAGATTCTTGCTTATTTGCTGGAGCCAGAGTGTATTCACTGTAAACTAAGCCACGTGGAGTCCCGTGAGATTCCTGTGTAATCCTGTAGGGTTCTCACCACACGGCACGGAAGGCGGGCCCACTGGATTTGAAGCCACTGCAGTGGGCGTGGTTTCTATATATTTAGCTTTACACTTGGCGACACATTTAGATTTAACATTTAGATTTAACATTTAGATTTAACATTTAGATATAGATATAACATTTAGATATAGATATAATATTTAGATATAACATTTAGATATAGATATAACATTTAGATATAGATATAACATTTAGATATAGATATAACATTTAGATATAGATATAACATTTAGATTTAACATTTAGATTTAACATTTAGATTTAACATTTAGATATAGATATAACATTTAGATATAGATATAATATTTAGATATAACATTTAACATTTAGATATAGATATAATATTTAGATATAGATATGTCTTAAATGTGAGGAAAATGTGCTAAATGTGAGGAAAGTGAGCTAAATGTAGAAAAATGTTCAGCTAAAAAATTTTAACAGAATTTTTACAAACGGCACCCCATACCTGTCTGTATATCAGAAGAGCGTACACGTTCATATATATTTTCACATCATATGCATATTTCTCTGTTTTTCTGCGCGTAAAACGTATTCTCTTCCCCCAGTTTCTCATGAGACCTCATGTTCTCATCAAAGAAACGCTCAGCGCACGTGCCTGTTGTTGTTGTGAGGTGCGCGTTGCTAAGGCCAACACCTCTGTTGCTAGGGTCAGTGCATATTTTAAAAAGGTGTGAATAAGCACTTTGGCTGCGACACTAACTTTTTTGATACAAACTTCACTTAAGAAGTTCCACCTGGACACTTCGTAAGAAAGACATCACTGCTGACCAGTGACACACAAACCGCCGCTGACCACCTGCTGACCACCTGCTGACCCCTGCTGTCCGGACTGTGAGACTCTGTTGACTACAAAACGTGAGCTTTTCCACTTTCCCTGTTCAGTCCCTCTATGGCCCGTGTCACCCAGACACACAGTGACTTGGATCAAAGTTAAAGCAGGTTTATGTACGTTTAGACAAAGGAGTATTAGCTATTTTTCTTGTGCTGACAGCTCCTGCACGTGTAAAACTATTAAGTATAAACTATTATAGCTTTTAATAAACCAAAGTGCTAACGTTACATGAAACCACAGCCCTGCAGCTGGAAGAGTCCATTACAACTACACACCGTTATTATAATAGATCCATGCTACACACTCATTTAAAGCTGCGGTGCCTTACTTTCAAAATACAAACGTACGCACGCATGTGTGTCTGTCTCTGTGTGTGCGTGATATGGAGCAGTCCTGTTCCTAATTATAGCTAATCTTCTCCATATGAAATACAATTAAAAATGTCTCAGTTTACTAAACACTTTTGCCATAAAGTCTATCTTATCTGTGGTGAAATCAGACACAGCGATGTTGTGAGTGACATGGAACACGTTTGCTTGGTCTATTTGCATGGATCTAGGGTGTCCCCATTATCCATGGGTTTCCCATTTCTTAGGGAGAATAGCCACTTTCCTATTGGAGGGCGCTTTTCTGTTGAGGGCACTTACAATTCAAGTGCCCTCAGAATTGACCTCAAGCCCTGTCCCAATTCCCACCCTAGGGCTAACACTAGGGCTATTTTTTTTAGAGGGTGTTTTGGTGCCGTGTGTGGTGACGGTTGCTCGCGAAGCAGCCGCAGCAAGTGCCCTTCACTGAGGCTTCAGAGACATGGTGCATGTATTATTATAGATCCATGATGTAGTTCAGAGCATCGCTTTGACAGTTTGCTTTGTGATCCGCAGCTGTACCCGTCTGTGTGTGCGTACGCGCGTGTGTCTATCTATGTGTGCGTACGTGCATGTATGTACGTGTACATGTGTCTGTCTCTGTGTGTGTACGTGTTATGGAGCAGTTCTGTACCTAATTCAGCAAATCTTCTTCGTCTGAAACATAATTAAAAAGGTCTCACTTTAATAAATACTTTCATAAAGTCATATCAGGGTCATAACTTATCTGTGGTGAAATCTGACACATGTTGATGTGTGTGTGACGTGGAACACGTTTGCTGCGTCGATTTGCTTATTGTCCCCTAGATCCATGGTTGTCCCATTAGGGAAGTGCACTTTTCTGTTGAGAGCACTCAAAACTCAAGTGTCCCCAGAATTGGGACTGGCCCTTAGTCACATGGGAAGAGCCTTTAGCTGCTGAAGAAGAGCATGTTTTCATAAATGTACAATGGTCAACGTACATTTTTCATTAAAAAATGCCCAAACTCATTTTGAATTTGATAAATAGTAAAATACCTTTATAATGTAAAAAATAATTCGGATAAAATACTTGTACACTTTCAGCCCACAAACAGCTCATATACTGCCCATATCAATCTCTAAATAATGTAAAATGAAACTAAAATGTTGTGAGTAATATACAGACTTTCTGTTGTGTTCGGTGGTTTCAGATGTAGTTATAGGGAAGTGAAAACAGGAAGTGTACATGTCTCGCCCTTGGATTAAAGTGAGAAAAGCAGGACACATTTTCATTTTAAACTTGTAACTTTGGCTTTTCTAGAACCACATCAAATCCAGGACTGAATACTGGGTATGTTTCTCTTGTCATGTTATGTAACTCAGACACTGTAGAAAACCTATACAGTGTAGATTGGGGGTCTCAAACTTGTTCCCCTCGGAGGGCTACTTTCTCAGGACAAAAGAGCAGTTTTTAAAATGCAATTCAAGGTAAACTACACTGCGAAACAATGATTTGTTTGCTACTGCCACTGTTCTTGAAATAAGTCTAAAGCTAATCTTGTTTATTGTCAGAATGTACATCAATGAACACACAATTATCTTAATTAAAATTATCTTTTTTTCCCTTTTTTGGTATTTAGTTTTCAGTGCAACCGTAAATGGGCTAGAGAAAGATCCCATCAGACCATTTATTACAGGTGGAACTCAGAAAATTAGAATATTGTTCACTTTTTTTCTTTGCCTATTTGTATTTTGATCTCCATTAGCCGGTCAAACACATACTCTTCCTGGAGTCAAGCCAAGTCCATAAACTCATTGATTGCCGCCCGTTTTTGATCATTTCACTGATTTTCAAGACCCACAGAATATTGTGTGCTATGACTATTTGAAACATGAAACTAGATTCTGAAAAACTGGACTGTCTTCTTTCATCAGCAAAAATAAGTTGGTTCCTAGCTGGTTTTGTTCTCCTGTAATCCTCAGTCGAATAGAGAGAAGTTTGACAGATATCACCGGTCTCAGACAAATACGTCAATGGCAGTCAATTGTTAACATGACAACAATTGTGCTAAAACAATACACTGTGCAAGTTGTATGGTCCTCCATTTCTTCATCTAGTAAATATACAATTAGTATTCTACTTATTTATATATTTATTTATTTTGTTTTTTTTATACATCTTAATGGTAACTCCTATTTCTCCCTCCGTCTATTTCAATGCATATACAGTATATATATGGCTGGCAGACTTACCTGTATCTCTATGCAGAACTTTGGAAACTTGTTTTATAAAATTAATGTGCAACATAAATTGGATTGGGTTGATTATGTTATACAATCCATTTTCAAAATATTCTTTATTACATAATATTATCAAGTTCCATTTTTCCATCCATTTTCTACCCTTTAATCCATTTCTGGGTCAGGGGGGTGGCAATCAGAGATGCCACCCAAGTCTCATAGCACCAGCCCCTCACTGACCCTCTGCAGGTGGTGAGTCCACAGGAGGACGGCTGCTCTCTGAGTGTGAGCATAGCCTTGATCTTTCAGTGGGGGCTTTGGGCAAAGTGGGGTTAAGTGTCTTGCCCAAGGACACAACGACAGCAGTCATCAGTGGGAGTCGGTGGAGAAGGTGCAGAGGTGGGAAATGAACCCACGACCTTCTGGCCTTAAGGCCAATGCTCTACCAACTGAGCTACTGTATATTATCAAGTTGAATTACAAAATGATCTACAGTATACCAGGGGTCTCAAACCTATCGCTCTGGGGCCACCAGTAGCTCAACAGTAAATTCATTTTTGTAATTCAATATTATCAAGTTGAATTACAAAAATGAATTTACTGTTGAGCTACTGGTGGCCCCAGAGCGATAGGTTTGAGACCCCTGGTATACTGTAGATCATTTGAGGCCAGCCACATTACACGATACTATATGTATTTAAATCAATCAAGTCATAATTAATACTTTCACTGTATTTTAGAGGGAACGCCATGAGGGACATCACTGCAGTATTTTGGACCGTTTTAGTGTTGGTAAAACTTCAGCTCGGAGCCTTGAGTTCAGAGCGCTTTGTGGATCTCTCAAACAGAAACCTCTCCACTGTCCCGAGTGACCTGCCGCACACAGTGGAGCACTTAGATCTGTCCTGCAACCGCATCAGACGACTGACCAGAGGAGCGTTCACAAATACTACACAGCTCAGGTTCCTGAACGTGTCCTGGAACAACTTGGAAACTATAGATCCAGAGGTGTTCAAGAGCACGTCAATGCTTCATCAACTGGATCTTTCCCACAACATGCTGAGAGACTTAGAAGACCAGAGATACCTTGTACATACCGGAGGCCTCCATGTGCTTCATTTGCACCAAAACCAGTTCAGAAATATGACTCTGGGAAAGGCTTTTAGTGCGCTGCAGAATTTAAAGAGATTTTCAATTGAGGCAAACTGTATTTGTAGAGGTGACTTTGAGCAGATTTCTGAAGTTAAATTACACACAATGTTTCTGTATGTTGGACATATATTTGACTATGAAGAAGGCTTAGAAGATATTCATGCTAAAAAGGTTGAGATTTCCTTCCTTAAATATCAACAAATTCATCACGATTTAGTGTCGGATGCGCTTTCTCTTTTTGAAATAGTGGAGTTGACTAATATGACAAGTGGTTATGAAATATTAACTCAGATATTCGGAACAAAAACACAAATCCGCACAAACACACTGCATCTTTCAAATTTTGTCATCAGGTGGAAAGATATAACAAACTTCATGAACGCAGTCTTGGAAACCTCCATTTTACATCTCACCTTCACTGATACTGCGTTAACAGAACTGCCATATTTAGATACTCCAGTGATAAACGCATCCAAAGTGAGGTCAGTCACAGTGAGAAGAGCAGAGGTGAAGTCTTTTTTTTTCTCGCAAAATGCCGTTTACAGCTTTCTTATCAACATTCCTGTCCCCACACTGGAAATTGTGGAGACTTCAATAATACATATGACATGCCCAAGCTACTCAAGTCCAGTGCAGCATCTCAACTTCTCCTATTGTGCCTTGTCCGACACTATATTCTACAGAGTCGACCACGAAGAAATCATTGAGTGTAAGAATTTAGGAAACGTGAAAACACTGACTTTATTTGACAACAATTTGAAAAACTTCCAAACTATAAGCAGACGTGTGCAGTACATGACCTCGCTGCAGAAACTAGATGTAAGCCAGAACACACTATTCTACGATGGACTTGATGAGTGTCTCTGGCCTTCAAGTATCACTACCATGATCCTATCTTCAAACAGTCTGACAGAAAGTGTATTTAAATGTCTACCAAGCAATGTTCACATTTTAGATTTAGAAAATAATCAGATTTCTGTGGTGCCATCGTTAGTTAGGAATTTTCAACATCTTTCCTCTTTGAACCTCAATAGCAACAGGCTGCGTGACTTACCAGTGTGTAGTGGCTTCCCTATGCTGAGTGCATTACATCTCAGGTCAAATTCACTCCATGCCCCATCCGTACAGAAACTGGAAAGCTGCCCTTTGTTAAAAAACCTCGACATCAGCCATAACCCTTTCACTTGCATTTGTTCTCTGCGTGGATTCAGAAACCTTGGCATCAAATCTGCAAAACATGCCACAAAAATGAACATCTCAAACTGGCCATCAGGCTACTACTGTCTGTATCCGGAAGAATTGAGGAACACAACATTGAGAGATGCATCAATTCCTGAAATCTCTTGCAACTCTGGCCTGCTCGCCGCGACTATATTATGCCCAGCTATCTTCACAATTATAGCGATAATGGTAGCATGCCGGCATTTTGATGTGCCCTGGTATTTGGGGATGATATGGCAGTGGACAAGAGTCAAACACAGAGCGATGAGACAGAATATTCCACCAGAGGAACTAGCAGGTGTTGAATTTCATACTTTTGCTTCCTACAGTCAGCACAATGCAGACTGGGTGCACAAGTTGATGCTTCCTAATCTGGCAGGGTTAAGAATTTGTCATCACGAGAAGCATTTTTTGCCAGGCCGATCAATCATTGAAAACATTATGACCTGTGTGCAAAAAAGTAGGAGATCGGTTTTTGTTCTTTCTGCTCATTTTGTGAAGAGTGAGTGGTGTCATTACGAGCTGTACTTCGCCACACACCAGCGGCTGGTTCGAGGTCCGGATAGTGTGGTGTTGGTTTTGCTTGAGCCTTTGCCAGAATATTTGATTCCGTCCAAGTACCACCAGCTGAAGTCCATGATGAGGAGACACACCTACTTGGAGTGGCCCCCGGAAAAGGCCAAGCAGAGGCTGTTTTGGGCAAATCTCCGAGCAGCTTTACAGTCTGACATACCCAGTGCACCTGTGACTGAGCTAGAAGATTAACCTCCTCATGACATAAGATGAATATAATGATTAAGAATTGTATATAATCTAATCTAACTGTTGTATGTTGTAAACAAAATATTTTACAAAGCAAAACATGAATACAAAAGTAAAGATGGCGCCGTGGCAAGAGCTCTTGTGTGTGTGCACACCGGGGTAGTCTTGCACAGTTTTTCCTATGTGGTTTTACTGCAAATGGCAAATAAATGAATCTGAATCTGAATCTGAAAAACAATAAAGTTTATTCTTAAAAGACAAAACTGTTGGACTTTTGTTTGTCACAAATAGTGCCCAGTATTGAATATAGATAGATAAACATTAGAGACTGACAGTGAATGGTAATTTTGAGAAATGAAAAGAACCACCAAAAACCTGTCCTTGGTGTTGAATGTAAAACTTGAGGGTTTTGTCTTTTGTCAAGGAAGAGATTGGATGATGATGATTTTCTCGTTGATGCAGAATCGGTGCAGCACGTTGAGCAGGTTCTCTCCACAGCGAGATACTTGGCGCTCCATTGCCAAACGAAAATCTTCTTTTACGCCTTTGGTGATTCCTCGAGTGACTGTGTGATGTCTGCAGAGGACGCACACAAACACAAACGGTGAGATGGTGGTTACTTTCTGCGGGACAAAAGAGGGCCTCTGTAGCGATGCCTTAACTGAATGAAAACAACCGGTCACAAGAGTTGCACATAAACAAGATGAAACGAGTACAAACTAAGTAGCAAATAATGATTCACAAAACCTGAAAAGAACATGATGACCACAAAAAGACAAGCAGATGCTAAAATAAATTCAACAGGAAACCATAGGATGACCGTCTGTTGATGTTTCAATCAAACTAGGGGATGACAAGCCATGGCGTGGGGGATGGAGGAGAGGTGACTGGTGCAGGGGGGGGACTGTGGGAGGAGGGGCCTGGGGTACCTGTCCATCGCCTGTACCCCTTGGAGCAGAAGGGTATTTAGCTCCACCCCCAGGGCAGGACTAGGGTTCCTGAGGGACAGCAACATTCAACAACTCAGTGAGGGAGCAGTCAACTGTCTCTACATCAACCAGTGTTTATTTTAACGCCCCCTCCAAAAACATTTGAGTTAACAGCATGTTTTCCCCACAGGCCTTGATCACAGCATATATAAAACCACACCAACTGAACGGGAGTGTGCAGAGTCAACTGAACAATGCCAAAAGAGGTGTGTTACTGGGGGATAAACGTACTTGATCAACATGCCCTGATTAGGCAGCAGCTCCAGTTGGATCCGCCCTCCTTCCGGCGTGCGCAGATATGCAAACTCCTCTAACATGTCAATATCTGATAGAAAGTAAGACTTAAGGAGGCTTAAAAAGATATTGTAAAGAAACACCCTGCATTCAAATACATCCAAGATACCTCCTTCCATATCCTTCAGTTTTTTTATTAACCGTTGCGACACGCAACACATGACCCAAGTGGCACTAAAAACATATTCGATATCGTCTTATATTTTACTTCACCAAATTTGAACCCCGAGTCAGATTTTAAAAGCACATGGAAGGATAAGGAAGGAGTTTTTATGCAGAAATAGGATGCAGCCATAGATCTAAGTTGATAAGGATACTGGTGACATAATTGAAGAAGTTTTCATATTGGAAACTGCCTTGCTGGCAGATCTTATCCACTGCTTTGAGGAACAGGCTCTCCCCTTGTGGCCAGTCGTACTGGAGGAGAACGACCACATGACCAAGCGACAGGTCATCATGACTATCTGCAAAAGCCCGGAGCTAAAATACCATAAATAAAACAAAGAGAAATAGGTTATGTCTCGAATACTGTTCGATCCATTACTCAATTATTCAGTTATCCAAGTACCTTGAAACAAGACAGCATCAGCTGCAAACAAAACGGTAGGATGGCTTTACTGGTACATGGCAGCAGCTTTAGGTCATTACCTAAATATAATAATACAAATATAGAGAAAAATAGTTAAGCCTCTTTACCTACACATTCAGGAGGTTTATGAAGTTGCACAATACCTTTTCTTGATTTGGCTTTTAAACGACTAGGGGTGTCTGAACTTTTAGCTAATTCATAATTTGGAGGTACCAACCCACTAACCACATCCAGTAGCTTATCACAGGCCATCTGAAGAATGCAGTCAACAGAAAAAAGTGAAAACCTTGTTACAAACAGCACATCAAAGGTTCTGTCTATATAGACTGACATACTCTGTACTCTCCCAGTGCATAGTGACAGGAAGCCTGTTGAATTAGAGCCCTTTGGTGCTCTAGACTGGCCTGTCCAGAGGGGCTCTGCTGCCCTGGTTGAGGCAGCTGCACTGCTGCCATCTGGTGCAGGCTTGAGAGCGCCTTACGGTACTGCCCCTTCAGGTCAATAACAGAAACACACATTATTATTGCGTAATCATTGGTCATTCTTACCAGTAAATCTTAAAAACATAAAATAAACTTTTACCTGATATATTATTGTGTCTGTCAGGAATATTCTGAACCACATCCAGTTCTCAGTTTTCCATGCAGCACATATCTTCTTAAATTCTGTGTAACCAGATATTAAACTACGACATTGAAATTGTGTAGATGTAAAACTGTTAACAGTTATCATTATATATAAATGTACCCGTTTCTAAACTCTCGTTTGAATGAAGAAGGTCCCAGCTCTCCCTTGCCGTCCGGAAGCTCTCGAGTGTCTCTGACCAACCAGGCATCTCAGCTTTATTTACTACAATGTGTCGCCCACGACCTTTTCCCAACACTTCTTCATCATCTGAACTCTGCAATTAAGTTTATGTTATTAAGAAGAAAAAAAACAAAAAAACAACACACCTTTTGCCCTCAGGCGGTTATCCCTCTCTAAGCTCGGGTCCTCTTCCAGAGGCCTGGGGGATTGAGGGTTCTGTGCAGTATCTTTGCTGTTCCTAGCACTGCAAGTTTTTGAGCAGAGATTTCCGAGGTTGTTCCAGGGATCTGCTCTAACCACAGCTTCAGGGTCACTGTCTCGAGTGCACCGATCACCACGGGCAATACTGTCACCTTTACTTTCCAGGCCCTCTCCAGCTCCTCTCTGAGCCCTGAGCTTTATATAATGTAATATTCTAATTAAATTCATATATATATATAATATATATATGTATATATATATATATATGTACATGCATCAGGCTGAGTGTTTGCAATAGAAATGTTACCATTGTTTTCTCTCTTCCATCTGCCACTTTTCGTTTCTTGTGTCCATGTTTCAGAACTCCTCTCTCCACTTCTATATCATTATACACAGAGCTCAAGTCCTCCACAAGAATCCACGGCCCAGAATTCATTACATTAACGCCTGAAAAATAAAACTCTTGTTCAACTGTTCAATTTAATAACAGGACACAATGAACACAATCACAGGGTAAATACCTTGGAACAATGCAGGCTGTACAGAAGAAATGTATAGAAAAGCACTGCGGAAAAGAACCAGTGCAGCGCAAATGACCACCTGAGTGCAACACCGCAACCGAGTGTCTCCTTCCAAACCGGGCAAGTACCGGCAGAGCTCTTTGACTCTGTGCAGCATGTCCACATAACTTCTGGAAAATACACAGGTTTAACAAACCTTAGTGGGCAATGATACTCTATATATTTTATAATTATATATAGAAAAAGGAAGGACATGAAATCTACTTTTTGAAGAATTATAATAAAAATGGATGTTTTCATATACATGTTCAATAAAACGAAAACTGAAATCTCTGATCTAACAGAACATGAGGACAATCCACATGTGGGCGGGAACTACCACAATCAAACGTATCATAGCTGGAGCACATGGTAACAAAGCACTGCGCACACTGGGAGCAGAGACAGGCAACAAGAGAACAGAACGTGATATATACACATTTATCTCAGTGATACTTTAATTAATGAGCCTTTATTATTATTGAATGGGATAGAGACGTACATATAGTATAAACATATTACTCAGCAAAAGCAGTTAAGTAAGATATTCTAAGTGACGTAATGTTCTTCTCTTTTTTTTAAAAGTAGATTGAAAGTACCTCTGTCCTTTGTCTCCCTGCCACTCACATCGTGCACCCACAACAGACAGGATATCCAAAAGCCTCTCCCACGGTTCAGAAACTACAGAGGACTTTTCTGAAAGCCCATCAATCACATAACGCTGTGATCCACGAGACATGGAAGGGGATTTGAGAGATCCGTCCTGAGTGCCTGTTGAGATGAAAACGTCTTAGGAACAGTTTAATGTAATAATGAATTACCATATGTTGTACCTTGTATCTGAGCATCAGGTGAAGGTCCTCGTGTAACGTAACCGATGTAAAACTCTGCAGCTTTCAGCATATACTTTTGCATTAGGCTTGTTGATAAACGCATGTCCATATTGTTGATAACCAAGGGGAGGACATCACAAACTATAATCAAATTACAAATAATTAATGTCATTAAACTAAACTGAGATACAAAATAAATATTTTCATGCATTTTCATATTACCAAATAGTTTTCGAAAGCAATTAACAGGAGTCTCCACATTCTCTGATACCTCTGCTTCCAACAGCGTTTGACCCAGATTGACCTGATGGTACAAAAGGATCATAAATATCTTAAACTAGTTCACCATCCTAGTACTAGTTTGTGTATGATGTAATTACAAACCCCATGTTGGACGACAGACTCAGGGAACCGTTTTAGGAGAAGAAGCAGCATTTCTGCTTTCTCCAGTGTGTTGAAACACTGCTCTGTTGCTTTTAAGAGCATTTCACATTGAACACGTGCAGGAAGAGTCTCAAACAGCCCTGGAAATCAGTTAAAGGTGATAACCAAATGCACATAACATTACACACAAACCAATGTATCTCACCTCGCAGAAACAGTGAGTGTTTGTCCTGGCAATCACTCCGTAGAGCAGCAGTGATTACACTGATCTCTCGCCAAACTATAGGCTGCTCAGGAAAGTTGATAAACCTACAAATGTTAAATTTAGATAAGAAGTTTACATTGCATAATTCTTTATGTTTTTCAAATTCCAAATGAGACAAATACAATCCATAATACATTGGAGAGATAGTACCCAAGCACTTACATATCATACAGCAACCTCCCAGCAGAAGATGTCTTCTCTGCATTTCGTTCAATTGTATACATTTCATACTGAAAAGGGCGCAATGCAAAACATTTGTGTCATAATTTAAGGTATATTTATCATCTCTGTGCTGTGTTCCAGTGGAGATGGTTGGGTCACCTGTATGTTGAAGTCTGCTGGATACAGGGTCCTCGCTGTTATAAGCCAGGCTTTGGCCGCACAAGGATCGTCTGAGACCAACTCACGGGCTCTCTTAACTAGAAACTCACAGTCCTTTTGCGCGGACATCGCCTCATATACGTTATGTAGATACAAATTCTTTGTCTACAGCCGCTACTTCCCTGCACAATGAATTAAACAATGTTTGAGGTGTTGGCACTAGCGTGTGGACCTACTAAAATAAAAATGTAACATTCCAGTCCCTACTGTTCAAACGTAAATCAATAAATAGCTTGCCCAATGAGCAATGTATTAAAAAACTGAAGCGGTGAGCAGCTGTATGTTAGCACGATCGCTTTATTTACCGATCCTCTGAACGCGTGTTGATGACGTCATTCAAGTCGCTTGATTTGACGTATTCGTGCTTAAAACACCACCAACTCCACACGTTACTGATATAGTGGCGAGGTTTCATCGTAAATGGCATGGTTGTTATGATTGTCAAGTCTAGTTATGATACTGCGCTTTGTAAAAGTGCACATATGTCACCATAGTGGTTCACCATCACTCACGTTGCTCCTTCAGCAGTGCGCAGGCGCAGAGGACAGGGTCACCTGGTGTCGAAGTCTATGGACACGATCTGCTGAAGTGGCCTAAAACCTGCAAACAAGCAGAGGACAGCGACAGGCAAGTACCAATGTAACTGCATATAACTCGCCGAAACTGTCCTGTGGAAAAGTCCTTCTGCTTCCAGTTTGTGTAATACAGTATCACCCTCCGCTTGTATTTTAGCCTGTTAGCATGCATGCTAACTATATTCCATACCAATCCAAGCCCTGCCCGATTCCGCCTACAAGTGTATGTGCAATGAACAGCGGAAAATTGTTTAGTGAGTATTATAGTACAGTCAAATTATGCCAATCCAAGTCTCTGGTTATTCTATACATCTTCTACTAGATCATTGAGTAATCTACAGTACACTGTAGTTTCCTACATTGATAGTTTAGTTTGAGACATACATATTTCGTTAATCTTCCAAATGACCGACACGTGAACACATCGTAATGTTTACTGTGATTCCGACAGTAGTTTCACATGTCATGGTGTAACGCATGTGTTACATTTTGTTGAGTGCTGCTCTGTAACTTAATGTGACCTTTGGGTTAATTCCCTCTGGGAAGGAAACTTTTAGTTTATATTTAGATTGTTTTATAAATATAGCACCACTTTCTTCGTCCTAATACGTTTAACTGTTTCTTTTTCGAAAAAAGCGTATAATAGATTAGTCATTTTGATCAAATAGGACTACAGGCATTTTACTTTAGTTCCCCCAGTAACTTGTGCTTATCACTTTTATTGCATAAGACATTTTAGAATGGGTGGCTTTATATTTAAGAGCAGCAGTACAAATAAAGATAAGATAAGATATACCTTTATTCGTCTCACAGTGGAGAAATTTCAGTGTCATCGTTGCGCACATTACAGCAGAGAAAGAAGGAAATAAGAGCACTCAGATTGCGCACATCAAATTGAGTCTATTATTTAAGATAATAGACATTATAATTGAAATAAGATAAATAACTCTAAGATAATAAACTCTGGGGCTATAATTGCACTTGGTTCAGAAGTATTTACAGATGTGTAACACTTTAATGTTAAAATGTTAATAGTTTTACTTAATTGTTTTTCACCCCTCACTTTGATTTCAGGTTCATAATGGGATTGGCGAAGTACACTGAGTTGCACTGAGCCATTCATGGCTGTCATCACTATGGACCCCAAGCCGGCCCGGACTCCTCAGTCTCACACCCCTCTGGCGAAAGGCGGCCTGCTAGAGGGGATGCTCACTGCCAACCTGGGACCCCAAGGAAAGCACTATGTCTGTGGTTCTCTGGCTGCATTTACCAATATATTGGTAACTTTTCCCATTCAAAAGATACTGTTTCGACAGCAGTTGCATGGTGTGCTTGCCACTGAGGCTGTGCAGCAGCTGCAGAGGGATGGTCTCAGGAATCTCTATCGCGGTCTACTGCCCCCGCTGCTTCAGAAAAGCACTACAGTGGCCATTATGTTTGGCTTGTACGAGGACTTCTCTAGAGTTCTGCTGGACTTGGCTGGTGGAAACGGAGTGCCTGAGATTGTTACAAGAAGCTTTGCAGCTGCTTTAGCTGGAACTACTGAAGCCATCTTGACACCTTTTGAGCGTGTGCAAACACTGTTGCAAGACCATCGCCATCACGGGCGCTTCAACAACACGGCCCATACGTTTCGAACACTTGTGTCACAGTACGGAATCAGAGAGTGCTATCGTGGACTGGTGCCAATCCTTCTCCGCAACGGTCCAAGTAACGTGCTCTTCTTTGGCTTTCGTGGCCCCATAAAGGAGCAGCTCCCTGTAGCTACCAGTCGAGCAGGGAACCTAATCAATGATTTTGTTTGTGGTGGATTATTGGGGGCGGGATTGGGCATTATGTTTTATCCCCTCAATGTTGTCAAGTCACGGGCTCAGTCTCAGGTTGGAGGAGAATTCCAGTCATGTAGCAAGGTTTTCCTGACAGTGTGGAGAGAGAGGGGAGGCAGCTTAACAATGCTCTTTAGAGGCGCCCACTTAAACTACCACCGCTCACTGTTATCTTGGGGGATCATAAATGCTACCTACGAGTTTCTATTAGAGCTCCTGTGAGAGCGGTACAAGCGGTTTAACTCCAGAAAATCCTGTCAAATGAAAATAAGTATTTAAAAGGAGAAGTTCATGAAGGTTTATTGTGTAAAAAGTCGCTAATGCACTAACTGGTTTTAGTTATGTTGCACCTGTGATGGGGCCAAGCATTGATGTGATTTAATCTGTCATTGTGACTTTTTATTGTTGTCATGCTCCAAAATAGCCTATATATATATATATATATATATATATAAAGTATGTGCCAGGGTCCAAGTGACGGGCCCCTTTCCTCCCTGTCCAATATTTGGGGAAGCACCTTTTAAGAGTCTGTTGATGATATTATTGTCAAAAACATTGTCTCAAGTATGTGCCCAAATTCATGTGCAACATGTATTTGTTTTGTCTCACATTTCTGTCTTTGCCCTTGTGTAAAAGGAACAAAATTAAATGTTTGACTTTTTTTTCCGCTTTGTGCTGCCAGTTTATCACTAGATTTCATATTTTTCTAAAAGATTTATTTGTTTTACTTCAAAATCTGAAAAGCACACATTGATGTAAACTCTTGTAATATTCAAGCTGTCTTCACAATAATGCTAACAAGCATGCCCTTTATCATATATTGCACATGAATCATATTGAGCTGATGGTTTTACAGCTTTCCTCACGCTTGCTCTCCTTCCCGTCCATAACATCAGATGACATAATGGGCTCAGATTTCAAGCTTGAGTAGGTGCAGGGCTGTGGAAACAGTCATGGCTGCTCACAGAGGGAAGTGCTGCTCAGACCAATCTCCACGCTGAGAGAGCAACGGTGTCCAATGGCTGTACAACTCAAGCTGTCAGATGTATCGTTTACTTGCCTGACAATTTTGTATTTCAGCATAATAGGGCTTTACATTTTCTATGTTTTGGTTTGTTTTGTGAAATTTGGGTGTTTGTGGTGGCATTGAATGATCTTTGTAATTTCCCTGAAGCAAAACTCAGTAAATGTGGCAATGTTGGCAATGGAGACTCTGGCTGTTTATTGTGAAATTCTTTATTATTAGGCTAGTTACATTTTATTTTTAGGGCAAGACTTAAGGTTGTGACAAACCTGAACATCTGGGCTATATTATTTAATTATTTCTTGGATGAAGTATTTTTTGTAGAATGAAATAATATTAGTAATGTCTGACAGCAAAGTTGAGGCCTGGAGTAAACAATGACACCATATAACCTTTAAACATCTGTCCTGTATTTATAGCAGTGATGGTAACTTTAAGAGTCAACATGTTTTGATCTGTGGATGTGACATTGCAGATTACAGTCGAGAAGACGGAGATAATGGTCAGATTAAGGGCAGCCCCACTGGAAGACTAGATCAGAGCAGTAATCGCTGCATACCGTCTTAAAGCTGCATCTCCGCCTTCCCCACAAGGAAAGCCACAAGGTGCATATGTAAACCAGGAGCCAATTTTCCTTTAGATGACAATTTAGATTTCATCACATAAGGCTTTTCTTAACTTTTTCTACTTTTTTTTACATTTCTCATCTGTCTTTGATCACAGTTGTTACTCCCACCTGTCACTCACTCTGAGGGAATGCACATCCAAAATGAGATCATGATCACCCAATCCAGGGCCATTTTAGGGTGCCCATAAACCCCAGGATATGCCCCCCCCCTCACTGCCAACTATTGTATAAATCCAAATGCCACGAAAGCCCTAATCCTGCTATTCCAACATGAATCAAAACCAAAGAAAATGTTGCACTGTGTTAATCAAACTCAATTTGATACACAGCTAAAACAGATTGATATAATTATCAAACCGTACTATATATTAAATGATACTTTAGGAAATAAATAAATAAACCTTACTTAACCTAGCCAAGGGCCTTTAAGAATGAACGGTAAGTCCCAGTCTTAACCCAGCGTCAAAAACCAAAGTATTTCCACATCTTCTATAAGACATACAACATAATCCATTTGTATATTTATTTTATTTTATGTGGGGATGGGAAAGTGACCACATGATGCAACACACAACGTCCCTTTCATCATGAAATGCATTTTTATTACTTGGATCGATGCTCACACATGTACACAAAATGTGACCCAGGCCTGTGTTTCATAGCCTGACAAACAGAAGACACTCCAGAGAGTTCAAAAGAGTTACCACAGAGGCAGCGTCTTGTTCTGGCAACAACAAGGCATCTTTACCCGAGCATCATTACTTCAATAACGTCTTTTCAAGTGTCAACATGTTAGAATATTCAAATTCTAGCTGGCTGTTCACCTCCCCCTTTCAAAAGTATTTCTCTGTTCTCAAAAATCACTATGTAACCATGTTTTTTTTTTTTATGTCAATCTTCCCACCTGATGAGCAGGCAATATGTGGAGTGATCAGCTGTTAACTGGTGAATACACATTAGCAACCAATGTATTAACCCCAGACATCAGTACAGATAGGGGTTTCACATATATTTTATGCTAATGTCATGCAACAATGCAGAATTCTGCATTTTTTTAATGCATTTTCTCTCAAATCAGATTAAAGTTAAACATTCCAAACAGAGAAATCACCCATTATATGTTATGTATATTATTTACACATAACATAATGCAGCTACTGTTGTTTTAAAAGTTAGCACAGTAAAACAAGAGAACAATACGTGATGGGGTGGGATTGATTTGCATAGCCATAAAATAAAGATCCAAGAACAGGTATTGATGTATATATCTACAGCAGTCAGTCAATGTTATTTTGATTTCGGTGGAGCCCAGAGAAGAGAGCGTTGTGGGGACATTAGTGGCTCAGTGTTAGACCAGTTTAAGACTTTGGATCCTTGCTACATCTGAAGTATAACAGTCACTCTGGTGAGACTTACTACTCTAACATTGATCCCCATTTTGCTTCTTGGATGCAACTCACACACTAGGAAAACCATTTGTAATGGAAAAACTTGAGAGTAACATTATAATACTGCATACATTTGGGGTAATGGAACTGTGGGACAGGGGAATAATGGGTCAGAACACTTCACAAAAGGACAGTGCCAAACAGGTGCAATCTGTAACAGTCAAAAGTGCTCTCCCTGCTCTGGAACATAGCCCGTTAAAATGATGAACTGTAAACAACAAAATCTACAAAGGTGCACGTACATAAGAAATCCAGTACTGCTCTTTTTGCAAATAGGACCAAGATTGTTTGTAAAACTTGTCAGTAAAATTATAGTTCAAAAACGACAATTTACAGATTACACCTTGTGGAGTGAAAATTCATTAAGCAGCAAATATAACATATAATACTGTTAAGAAAAAGAAAAAAAAAAGATTCTCCAGTGACATCCATAGAAACACCACGGATTATGGTGCAAACATTGTAAAAAATAAATACATAAATACATACACTGGTAATTATTCTTACATACACGTACTATATCATAAAATAAGATTATAAAATCCATATGTACAAATGCATAGTCCATATGCGTCCAGGAAGAGGCAAAGTGAATAGGACTTCCTCATTTTGCGGTAGGTTTGTGGCTGTTGAATTCAAAGTCTTTGCTGAATTGTGGTTGGCAACTTGGCACTATGCAAGAATACGTGTCTGGCTCTTGTTTAGGCCCAAAGTCAAAGTAACAAATGGGAGGGGAACAGTCAGAATTTGAGAGGTACTGGACCAGGCGTGTGACTAGCTGCGTGGTTAGCTGTTTGACTTGGAGGCTCCGATGTCTCTGGCGGTTGTGTGCGAAACAGCTGCGTCAAAGCGAACACAGAAGAAATAAGAACAGTACATCTTTTGGCCAATAGACGAACGCCATCTGTCTCCCCTTGGTTTTTCAGTCCTCCCCCTGTTCCCGCACTCTCCACGGCCCCCACAAACTCCCTATACAGCCCTAGTATTTCTTTTAACTTGTCCATGGGCTCGAGATCATCGTCCACACCGTCTTTATGTATCGCGCTCAGGCAAACCTCACAGCGACCGCACGGTTTTGTTCGCAAACAGGCTGCGGATAACTGGACCAGAGCGCTAAAACTATTGGACAGCGAACGCAAGGCTTCGTCAGGGGCCCAGCCAACACGTGTGGCTCGCTGACACCCGGAAGCCAACCTCCTCGCCTCGGCCTGAAGAAGAGTCCTCTCAACTTCACTCATTGTAACTTGACTTTTCCTGCTACAGTAGACCCCTCGAGTTCCATTAGTCCCATTGTGATTCAGATCTGGTTCATCTTTCAGGCTCTTCTCATCCGATTCATGATTGTAAATTTCTTGTTCGAGTACCCCTTGTTCCAAGACAAGCAGGAGTTGGTCAATGTCTTGCCTTAAAGTCGCAAAACCACCCTTGAGCCCGCCGTAGTTTTTGTTTGTGAATGATCGGAGGGGATTTCCTCGCAATGCCGTGGGAGACACCGGACAGGAGACAAGTGGACTGAATTCGGAGGAGGCCGTGGAGAAGGTGGAGAGCGGCCTGGGGTTGTCCCTCAGTAGCGAAATGAGATTTGAGTTCGAAGAAGAAGTGGAAGGAGCAGGAGGCGGCGCTGGGCTGGGAGGTTTGGGCTTTGTTCGTCTGGAGAATTCGAACACGGTCATGTCCTCGTCGAAGCTCACTCCGTCCTCGCTGTCTCCACTGAAGCAGTTGGCATACACGGTACGACATCCGCAGGCGTCTTTGTGCTGCTGTGGCGGGGTGCCGTCTGCCAGGGACGAGGTGGGCGACCCCCCTCCCTCGTGCATGTTCATCACACCTCTGAGCCCCACGGCCGAGCTGGGGCGAGACTGTGGCTGCTCCGACGACACGTTCCCGCTGTAGATGCTGTTGAGGTTTGAGTACGACCCGTTCGTCCCGTTGGCCTTGTTCATGTGCGACGTCACGTCCTGTGCTTCCTTGAAAGTGGCGATAACAACCTGCGCTCCGTCTTCTAGGAACTCTTTCTTTTCCGGTTTCGAGGCGATACAAATGTCTTTCTCTTTTACAGGCGTCTTGTTCAGATCCGACAATCCACTCGCAACAGAAAGCCCAGAACCAAACCCAGATGTGTCTCCGTTGATGGAGCTGGTGGACGGGTAATCAAGGGTTCCTAAGATTTCTTGTGAGCGCGTCATGTACCAGGGCAAAGCTTGAATCTTTCCTCTCAGGGCCGAAGCTGGAAGTCTCCCGCCGAGGCTGGTGGAGCTGGTGCGCAGATCAGACCCTGACCCGGATCTTCCTGGCTCCCTGCTGTCAAGACCCCCGCTGCCCGAGGAGGTGTTGGAGGTGAGGGAGAGCGGCGCATCTGAGTTTTTGGGTGAAAGGCTCTCGTGGCTGACAGACACCCTCCTCGGCCCGGACTGGATGGTACCGTTGCGACTGCTCCAGGGATAGATCCCATTCGGAGGGTTGGTTACGTCCTTGAATATGCTTTTGTTTGAGTCTGTTGGAGAAACAGGGGAACTGGCAGGTAGCGTTAAGGGGACAAGGTTTATGGGACCAGTGGGTTTTGGGGGAACTGGAGGAGGCGCTAGTTTTGTACCTGAATTTGAGCGTGGCATTGACTGTTGGTTGTTCGCAGATGTGGCTATACCATTGCTCTTTATCTCAACATCAACATTTTTATCTACTATGTATTTGTCCTTTGAAACTCCATTCACATGTGGGACGTCTTTAGTTGGTTTCAAGCCGTTTTGCAGCCGTTTCTCCTCCGTCTGTAGTGTTGTGCTGGGAAGTGGTTGCTGGCTGTAGCGGACTGCAGTGATTAGAGGTGAGGAAAGAGGCAGCCCGCCTGACGTGACTGACTTAAACTCCATCGTCTCTGGCTCCATCTCCAGTAGATCAGAGGAGAGGCGTCCCGAGGCGTCCCCGTTACAGTGAGAATACTTTTGAGGTGACTTTGGAGGGGTGACTTTTGGCTTGGGCAGAAGCTGAGGCTTAGGGGCAACTGGCGGTTTTGGTTTGACCTTAATATCAGGTTTAGGATATGTCTTTGGAGGACTCTTCTCCTGTTTGTTGAGATAATTTGCTTGCGTTTTGATCATGCTCACTTCCTTCTTGACGTTAGACGATTTAGCGGCGAGTGGGGAGGGCGGAGCTTTTGCAGAGGATGCAGGGAAGCTGTTCCAACTGCCACTCAGGCGATTAGCGTTGCACCGGTCAGCAAATTCTTTGTCTAGAAAGAAAATAAAAGATAAGCATTAATGAGTATATAGTGGCTGAAAATCTTTTGAACAAAATTGGCAAATTCAAGCATAGTAAAATCTAACCAACACCCTCCACTGTCTGTAGTAAAATGACATTCTTTTTAACAGATTACCAAGTTTCTGAGGACAATATTGAAAATCCTGCAATCTAGGGTTTTTCAGAAATACATTTCAGGATGAATTCTATAGTTATGACTTCTCAATGACCCAAAAAAATGAGGCATCACACTGCAGGTTTAGTTTAATCACCTCGGTTGTCTGAACTCATTGGCCTATACATATAAATACAACACAAACTCAAATCTGCATGAATAATTTGATAATGTCTTGATATTTCTACTTTAGGACTTTACTAAAAACATAATAATGAAAGCATTCAAGATGTTTCTATTATGATAAAAATTCACAAACCTGAAAGATCTGGCATTGGGGGCGTAAATCTCTCCTTTGCATCATAAAACTCCTCCTCAGACTCTGAAGCACTTTCCTTCACCATCAGTGACGGGCCAACGTTTGGAGACGGCGTAAGGCGCATGGCGTCTTCGTCCTTGGAGAGCCGCCGCTCTGCCTGCGGCCCTTTGTTGCCAGGTATCGAACTGGTTCTAACTGGGACTTTGGGGGGAGTCTTCTTCTTTTTAATCGGGGATCGTTTGAACGGCATACTGTCAATCATGGTCAAATCCCTGGAACTGGGAATCTTTGAAATGCGGCGCATAGATTTAAGTGGATGCTCCTCCTCTTCTTCGTCATCATCGTCATCGTCGTCATCGCTCGTCGCCCCGGCCGGACTGGGCATGAAGTCTGTGTTGGAGAGGTCCGTGAAGCACAGGTACGAGTTGTCCGCCCCACAGTAGTTAAGGTTAGTGGGGCGCAGAGGGGCTTGGTGAGGTTTGGGCTCGAGGAGGTAGGGGTGGTGGACATCTATAGCCGCTTGCACCTCCGAGTGTGACGGCGTTTTGGCCGCGGCGCTGCTGCTGTCGTCCAGAGCGGCACTCAGAGAGCTGCTGGACAGACTGGAGAAGCTGCAGGTGACGCGTGGATCCGTGTGGTACCAGTTATTCTCTCTGTTAATGTCCTCCATCACAGAAAACTTCCTCAACACACTTCCTGAAGCACCTTCTTCACCTTCGTCTTCTTTACTCTCCGTGGTAACGATGATCTTGACCTCCTGTTTTCCCTGATGCTCCTCCCTCTCCAGCCGGTCCTCTTCTCTCCTCTTCTCCGCCGCCTCCCTCCTCCGCTCCTCCCAGTCCTGAATTGCGGGGTCGTGGCGGTTCGAGTCCATCGGGTCGTCGTCGTCTGACGATTCTTCTGAGTCACTGCAGCAGCGGGACACATAACCTAATAACATAGTTAACGTGGACACAATACACAGATACAGTATATGTTAGTTGGTAAATAATGAAGATCTTGCAGTTGTAATAGGTTGAATTCACGTTCAAAAGTTCTGCCATGACTCGGATGATGGTCAATAAATGTATTATCGGAGACAAACAGTAGCTTGAATACATATTCATATCTCATACACTTTTCCACAGTTTGACACATGACAACAATAAATCTATTTTCATGAGTTAGAATGGTCCAGTCAAAGTCCAGACCTGTCCAATCCAGAAACTGTGGCCAGATCTAAAAATTGCTGCTACAAACGGCCTTAATTTAATCTTAAATGTGATCTAATTAAATTTTCAAACTGTGTATATGTATATATGTTTCTTCTTTTTTATTTCATTGCACAATTAATTATTCAAAATAAAGACTACTACTACTAATCTGACAGAGCTTGAGCTGTTATTAAAAGAAGAATAGGAAAAAATAAACAGTCCCTTGATGTGTTGCACTTGCAGTGAAAGTGAGATCTACACAGATATAGACTTGATACCTGTAATAAGAAATAATCAAATTACTTGTGAAGGGTGAATACTTTTGCAAGCCCCACTTTCCACTTCAGATACATGTACATATTAAATCCTGTATCATTTTGCTTTCACTTCAACTGTCTTCCCCTTATTTTATGTTTGTGTTTGTGCCGGGACAAACTGTGGGAAGGTTCCTGGGGTATGAATAGTTTTTCAAGCCACTGTTTTAACGCGTTGCATTTTTTTTAATCGATTCATAACCCCACCAGGCATAACAATAACAGTTAAATCTCAGGTTAAAACACATTTCGTACATAGAATAAAACATGGTCAAAAATGAATATTTTGTTATAACGTGAAAACAACCTATTTGAAATATATTTGAATGCCTGTTTCACTAGCATTACTCGCACTGGCTTACGACATTCATCAACATAAGGTGTGAAAAATGTCTATTAAAAATCTAAAGCCAGAAACTGTATTTGCTCACTTGTCAGGGATTCATAGCACAGGCCCTCTACAACGGCGAACTTCCCACACACACCTTCTTCAGCAGGTATCCGGTGCACCCTCACTTTCGGGCGCCCCAGACGGAAGACATTGACATTGGGGTCCACCAGGAGTCTGCAGTAGCCTCCCAGCAGACATGCTAAGTCTTTGGCTGCCAGAGAGTCCATCAGTAAGGCAAATGGCTGGGAAGGGATTGCAAGGTTGGAGGAGGTTAGGCAAGAGCGACAAAACAGGCCACAGCGGGGTACACAGAAGGAAAGGCAGTAGAGTGAGAGAAAGAGAGAAATCGTCACCCTTTCAGACCAACAAATAGACGCTTTTGGAAACACATTGAGGAAATATTTCTGAAAAGCATTGCAATTGGATTTGCAATGTATGTTTTTTAAATTCTCAAATATTCTGATATGTTTTATTTTTGGTTATTACAAGCTGTGAACCATAATTATCAACATTATAACAAATAAAAGTCTGTCATATACGTTGTAAGTTGAATTACGGTAGAGTAAATGGACTTCTGAACCATATTCTAATTTCCCTAATATTTAAGGAATAGTTGTTTGATGAATTTTCTCATTCCTGTTAATGCATTCTTTTCTACGTTCTTATTAAAGCTGGAAAACCTTTGAAAAAAAAATTAAACTAGCTTCATGTGTTCTATGTAACACTTTCTACACATGCATGTATTTCTTTTTCAATTTTTTCTTACAAAAGATAGTATCATCCTTTTCTCAGCTCCCAGTGTGCCAAAAATAACCTGTTTTCTTAAAAAAGACAAAGACTGTAAGGGGCCTGTGTCTTCTCTGAGTGTGTGTTGTGTTACTGTGTATTCACTGTATTGTTTTTTGTATTATTTTTTACGTTTTTAAGTGGGTGAGGTTGGTTTGGAATTTTCTTTTCAAAAATGTCTGCTGTGAAATTGTGTACAGGTTTTGCAATAAACATTTTGATTTGATTTGCATGTTGCGGTCTGGTATGCTCACAAAATGTTACTTAATCAAGACTCTTTCTGTTGGGACAAACATGTTTTTTTTAGATACTCCAGCTTTACTGTTAATGGAAGAAACAAGATCCAAACTAAACGCACATTTAACAGTAACAAGACTAAACCGTGTACTGTCTGTAAGGATTAATTTGAATGAAACCGTTTACATTGTTCGAGTGCACTTGACTGGCAATCTTACATTTAATGTCTGTATTGCTTGGAAAGGCGCATCCCCTAAGGCGTCTGTATGGCGTAGAAAACCGTGTGACCTATATTTGCATGAGTGGGACTATGGTGCGAGAAGGATCTGTTTTTCCCTTATCTGTGTCAGTGTGTACAGTAAGTGCCTCTGTATTGGTGAATAATACAAGGCGCAGGGTCTATTTTAGTGCGATGTACCTTCATGTCGTGCAGCGAGATGCGAAGCAGGCTGAGTTTCTCCGACTCCGACAGAAGCTCCACGCGGCTGATGCTGCTGAACTCCACCAGCGTCGAGATCACGTTCAGTTTGTGGTTGATGATTTGGCTCATTCCGTATTTTGCTCCGACCAGGAGGCTCACCGGCACTTCTCGGTCCTGAAGCTGATGGGGAAAAAAACATTCTTACACCACAGAAAATGACCCCATAGTGACATTGACTGGAGATAAGAACGCATGATGTAACCTGATCTTTCACAGGATTGATCAGGCGATGGCAAAGCTTTGGAAATGAGTACATTCTGTGGTCAGCATGAGAGCCTTAAACAGGTCCAGTATCTCTTGAAATATATTCAGAAGCAGTGATGTCACCTGACTCGTCAAGGGCTCTAAATAACTATAGAAATATATGATTGTGTACCTCCTAATACAGATTCAAAAGCAGAGGCAAAGTGAGGCAGCTGTCATTTTCTATTTTATGTATGCATTGTTCTGTTTAACTAAAGTGATGTCAGTAACTTCAATTGCATTTGATTTGTAAAATAATGCATATTTCACCGGTCTTGACTCCAAATCCGCCTCACGCCTCCAACTAGTTCAGAATGCAGCGGCCAGACTTTGCACCGGTTTTAACATAAGGGAGCACCACTGTTACAATATTCCTTCTCTGGCTCCCTGTGCATTTAAGATTTTTTTTAGAAGATTTCACTAATCACTTTTACAGCTCAGAAGACAAAAAAATGTAAAGAAGCTAGCACAGCTTAATTACCTAACTTGTTTCGGCGGTATACTCGCGCCTTCGTCAGATGTGACACGTGATGGTGTCTTATCAACTGTTGTCTCCGGATGCGGTCAGTCTGACAGATCTCACAGATCAAATCAGACTAAGGCAAAGTTCAGATGGAGACGCTGTGACAGTAAAATGTTAGAGTTGGGTATCGGTTTGGCTACACAGTGTTTCAGGGGGGTGAAAACGCAAGCGTTGCCTCCAGAGTGGAACAGAACAGATTGTTCTACGTCTTTGCAGTGGCCTGAGGAGGATGTAGTTGAAGGAATGTTTATAATGCTGGGGGTCACGTGTGTCGGGTTGTAAAGCTCTACTACCCACTACTGGCCGGGCGCTAGAACTACATTGTTTTCCGTCGCCGTATAAACGCTGTGGACTCCAAATAAGACCCTGGCCGTTTTTACTAGTTGCTTTGCAGCGTCTCCGCAGCGTCTAAACTAGGCCACCTCTGATGAAGGAGGAAGTAAACCGTCAAAACATGTCAGGTAATAAAGAAGTACTAGCTTCTTTACATTTTTAGTCTTATTAAAAGAGTCTTATAAGCCTTAAACAAAAGAAGACCAAATTAACTTTACAATGATTTACTTTAAAAGTACGTCTGGCACAAAGCTATAATATTAACTGAACTTTTAACCGCCACAAGCTTGGCCTTTGATCCCCTGGCAGGTCCCCATTCCAAGGTCAAGGCTACGAACAAAAAGCGATGGAGCCTTCTCCGTCCGGGCTCCCCGACTCTGGAAGAATCTTCCAGAGGAGATAAGACTAGCACCAGCAGTACCTTCTTTTAGATCACTTCTTAAAACCCACTTCTATCAAATGGTCTTTAAAGATTGTTAAATGGTGTTTTTGACAATTCTACATTGTCTTGTTTTTGTTTTCCATATTGATAGTTTATAAAATAAAGATTGTTGTTATACTTGTATTGTTTCATGCTGACTATGCAGCACTTTGTAAACATTGTTATAGAAAAGTGCTAAAACAAATAAAGATGTGTCATTATTATTAGTAGTGACAAATAAAGTATTATATATTTAACATTGTCATAACCAGCGCATGTGTCTCTCCACAACTCAAAAAGTAAACTTTAAAATCCCAAAATCTCAGCACATTCATGGTTTGGAGTCTGTATATAGAACTAGAGGGCAAAAATAACCAATGCACTGGTGTCTTATGACTTATTGAGATGAATTGTAAATGATTAAATGTACCATCATAGTGGCATTGTAGGAGCGCCCTCCGTATGAAATGAGCTCTCCCAGCTGAGTGAGGTAGGCCAGTCGAGCCTGAGTAGCAGCTATGACCTGTAAAACATGTTGAGGAACCGTCATCATGGATCATTATTCTCAAAAAATGGATTGTCGTTGTGAGTATTTACCTTCTGCCGTGGCTCCAGCAGCGCCTGGATCTTTTTCAGATGGTAGCTGATGGCTTTCCGCAGGTCCTTCTCCCTCATGTTACCGAGAAGCGTCGGCGAGATGAAGCTGTCCAGGCCAAACTCTTTCCTGTCATTTACAAAGACATTATTTGATTATAATAACATAATTGGATGCATGCCAGCGTGAGACAAACACAATTATGTAATCGTTTTTGAGATATGGTGTGATATTATGTAACCAAATGCAGCAGAAGGGTTAAAGATTAAGAGATCCTTTATTCGTCCCACTGTGGGGGAAATGTCAGTGTTGCATCATAAGTTACAGAATAGTAGCAAAGAGGAGCAGCAAAAGATAAACGAACAATGGCTCTATACTGAAAACTAACTTTAGCATAAAAAGAAGCAAGTAGAAAATTCAAATTTTAGCATAATAAGGACGCAATCTAAAATCTCTAACTTTAGCAAAGTGAAGAAGCAACTAAGTACAAAATCCAACTTAAGCATGATAACAAAGTATAATTATAAAAACCCCAATTTTGCCATAATAAAGAAGCAAGTAAAACACTGTATATTCTAGTGTACAAAATGTAGTTACAGTATGTTACTGTACATGAGGATATGGGTTATGAAGGTAAGTTAACTAAGTAAGGTAAGTAAAGTGGCAGTGACAAATATGATTCTATATGTACATTCTGACATTACTAAAGGTGAAGTGGAGGTGAGTTTAGCTATCTCACTGTTCACCTGAGTCACCCCAGATGACTGAGTGCATGTATAGAGCAAAATGACAGCAGCAGGATCAGTTACATTCTTGAATGACCGTTCACAGACTGAAACTCATACAGTGTGACTCACGTTATGCTCTTGATAGATGTCCTCGTCTGTCCACAACTATCCAGCCTCTCGTGCATGTGCAGCGCCGCCAGCCGCAGAGCCGTGTTACACTTCATCTCCACCGCGAATCTCTCCTGAAGCACGTCTCCGACACTCTGCCACACACACACGGACAACACTTACACCCGCCTCGCTCTGAGAAGGAAAGGGTTAGTGGCATGCAGAGGATGGTCGGTGGGGGTCAGAGGGGCTGATGGCACATACTGGTTGCCTCGGTTCTGTCAGTGTGCCCCAGGGCAGCTGTGGCTGCAATAGTAGTTTATCACCACCGTGTATGGAGTGAATGAAAAATGCGAGAAGCGTGTTTGAGTGTTAAAAATAGAACTACCTGTATATATAACTGATGCGTTATTATTACTTTGCATCATTATGCCTATTTTATTGTTTATGCTGACTGTGCAGAACTTTGTAAACACTGTTTATGAAAAGTGCTATACAAATAAAGGTGTGTTGTTATTTTTATCATCATTATCATTATTATTATCAACCAACAGATGCAGAGAGCAGCTGAAAAACAAATATCTCCCTGAGGGCAGCTCAAAAAAGGTCTCATAAATCCAGTTTTAACTCTAGTTAGTTACAATCTATGTTAAAATACAGTCTCAAACAAATACATAAACACATACATACAAACACATACTGTATATCACAACCATTGGGATTATTGCAACCAGGTTTTGAGGAAAACACCAATTCACAATGAGAGTAAAACTACACTCAGGTAATTTCAAGGACCTAAAGATTTACAGACTTGTTACCTGTAAAAAGAAATACTCAAACGCAGAGGGGTCCTCCTGCAGCAGGTCCATGGGGTCTCTGGGAATGAAGCAGACTCGGAACAGACATCTGTAATCATGGGTGTCCTTTTTCTGCACCACCTGACAAACACACAGACCACAGTGTTAGCACAGTATGTGACGTGTGCTCGTGTATGTTGTTCCCATTTCCGGAGCTTCACCTTCTGAATGAGCTCGTCCTCGTGCAGCAGCAGCAGTTTGGTGATGCTGTACTGCTGCTCTAGCACCAGAGAAAAGAACTCAATGGCCCGGATGGACAGTTTATCCTTCAGAGTCAGAACAATGTCCTGGGACAAGGAAAAAAAACAACATTTAGACGGCCTTAAACTAACAGGTTCTTTCACTCTCAACAGGAGCAGAAAGCTGATGTGCTGCTCATAGACAGTATATAGATGAACAATGCTAACCCCCTAGCTCAATGAAGCTCAACAGGGAAGTGCTCTTGGACAAAGTTTTGCTCCAACTCGCTCTGGCTCTTATTGACTTTCATTGAAAAGTAAACTCCTCAAGCTCAGTAACTGTTTGTGTCACACTGACCATGGTTTAGTGCTCTCTATGATCCTGGTGTTTATTTTGGTATCGTCTTTGTAAACCCAGATATGAGCCATTGACCAATCAGATGCCTTCATTTGTGGGGGAAACTCCAGCTTCCCTTAGCAACCAACATAGCAACTCGTCCACCCCTGTTATGGCATACATAGGAACAAATTCCCATATAAGGAATTTGGCTCCAGCTCGTTTTTGTTCAAATCGGCTTCTTCTGCATTCAGTCAGTCCACTCTTAATATGCGGTCTATGATTAGACTCACTTTTGTTTTGTTTTTTTGTTGAGAAATCCAAACAAATTACAGAAAAACCCTTTGAAGACAAACCCCTGTATAGCTGCAGCTTATTCAGTTCTCGGAAATTCAAGGATGATGTAATTCCATTATCATGTGACTTACATCGATTCAAATTGTATAAAATGTATCAAAGAAGTAGATGAGAACGAACGATAATATTAGAAAAAAGTAAGACCTTATTAGTGCTGCTTTACGCTCTCCCTTATTTGATAATGTATCAGGAACACACTAACCTTGACTGTGGTGGTGTTGTCAAACTTGAAGGCCTTGGTCTGGCCATTCTCCAGATAGACTTTGAGGACATTGGGCAGAAAAAGAAGAGAGTTTCCCTGTCAAACGCAAAAGACACGTTATTTTATGTACAACAACAATAATCCAACTAGTTTATTTATGCTGTAACTACATATAAACTGAGCTTAAAGCTGGGGTACCTACCTTATTTTTTAAAACATAACTAATACATGTAGTCTTGTGGAAGAAAAATACACAAATACCTGTGTAAAGTTGTGATTAAACCAATAACATAGTTCCACTTTTACGGTTTAAAAGTTTAGGTACCCCGGCCTTAAGTGAATAATTTCTATAGCAGTTTACATGTTAAGCCTAGCGTACATCGGACTGGCAACTGATTATATCCGTCGCCTCTGAGTTGCTGCCCCGCACACATCGACAATCTGGCGAAAACGGGCAACTCTGAGTCGCAGGCCAGTCTCTTGAATAACAGCGCGTACATCGACAGCAACTGGCCTCAACCACAGTGCGTTTTCTGACAACAAACTGTTGCGGGCTCGCAATACACGCAATACACACACGTTGTTGGAGCGGCGCATGGAGCGCGCACATCGGAGCAACTGAGGACAACTAGTTGCCGAAAAGTAGAACACGGGCAACTGACTGGAACTGGAGACCGACTGATCATCTCCAGTTGTAAGAGCGCGCACATCGACCGATTTCGGCAACTGATCATCTCCCACCATCTCCTCTCAGTTGCCAAAAGCCGCCTTGCAACTAGTTGTCCCCAGTTTCTCTGTCGATGTACGCTAGAGATTGTAGGGTCTAATCATTGATGAAATGTCTTCCTATCTATAAGGTCTATAAGTGAGATCAATAATTATGGAATTGGATGATGAACTACATTTTTGAAAATCTTGTGTTGGTTACAATCTTGAAGTGATTTCTAAAAATAACAAGATTAAAACATTCAAACAAATAAAAGCTGATTGATTGATTGATTGATGTGTCTACAGTCCTGCATCACCCATTGATGATACTCTATTTTGAACTGTGGATTAAAACTTGGTATTGTCTGTTTGTTGCAACACTGGACAAATGAAGGTCATGTTGAGTCATGTAGAAGCAGTGACCTGAGGAGGGGACATCATAACATTGACGATCGTTACGTGGCCGTCTAACCTGAGTGTGCCCGTTGACCACCACTTCCTCTGCAAAGCGCACTTTAACTGGATTATTCCTCAGGCGGGCTCTCTTCTCTGCCGACATGATGGACGACTTTGGATTCTGTAAACACAGGTCCTAAATGTCATTACGGCGACACACAGAGCCTGATCACGTCTCCCGTCCGCCGAGCAGATTGAAAGACATCACACCCACACAAACAGACAAACACCACAGCAGCCCAGTCTGTGATTATACTCTATGTTGGCAATCTTGGTTAATCCTTTTCAGGAAATGCCATTCAGTGTCACATGTTTCCAAACACAACTACAGACTTTGGGTGAATTGTCTATAATTCATAATTCATAAAAATATACATGTTTTTACAAGTAAAATTGAATCTTTGGTCAATATCTCCTTTGTGCTCACCGTCATGTGCCGTAGAATGGTTACAGTGATACAATCCTCCATGTTTCTGCAAACAAGAATGATAATTATCTTTGTGTCCAGCTGTCAAATAAGCACTTTTTCTTTTGACCCTTTGCCCCTGCAATACTAAGCCTCCCACAAACACACACTCACACACACACACACCCTGACCCCATGACGTGCCACATGCAAGAAATTCAACCGGTCAAACAATACAAAGCTTTTATTTGAGTGGATCAACAACACACACTGGTGGCTCTTGTTCTGACAGTGCATTCGTCAGCTGAGAAATGGACTTAAGAGAACAACGCAGATACAGTCTTTGCAGTTTATCTCACCTCAAGAAGTGTTCCAGTTGTTCCGGGCTTAAATCCTCCAGCACTTTGTCATTGATCTGTAGTACCTGGTCCCCCGGGTAGAGGATCCCATCTGCAGGGCTCCCTACAGACACAAGACAGAACACCAAATCTGTCATGAATATTCTATTTGACATTCATATGAAACGACAAGCACATTATTGAAGCAGTGCTTGAGTAATGTACACAATCTGTATTTTAGCACAAAGGAAAACAAGACTCCCACCTACTGCTGCACATAATCCACCCAATGTGTCAGAAGTCAAGACAAACCATAAAAGTTTCTGTATTTTTTATTATGTGTGTGTTAGTTTCAATGTGTGTTCCTTTAAATTGAGTTTGTGCAGGTTATAACTTAGGTATATAGGAGGATGTTCCCAAATTTTAGGAAAGAACCGCCCTTCTCAGAATGATTGACAATTAGGAGGACCAATAGTCTTGACGATCCCCCCAGAATACAAAAATCCTCCCACATACCTTTAACAATTCACTAACTTAATTGATAAAATTCATGTAGTGGAATGATTTCCTTTGAACTATTTTCAAACAGAAATTGACACAGAATCTTTATTTCAGCAAAAATGTCATCAACTTAATGTACTGTAACCGTTCCCATGTATTCAAGTAGTAGCCGTAAATTTTGTTTACTTTTTTCAAAACTTGTATTTCTTACAAAACAGCAATACAGACACTTATGGGACATCGACCCCTCTCGTACACACACACACAAACAAACACACACACACACACACACACACACACACATACAAACAAACACACACACAAACAAACACATACAGGGCTGCACTCTCATTCCTCCACATACTTTTTCAGTACTTCATTTTTGAATCTTATTTAAACATAATTTTATTTCAACATTATTCAAATAGAAACGCAGTGCCTTGATTTTAAACTAGTTCTAAATTCAGGCACATGAAATTATATCTTTAGGTATGTGGCTCCAGTCTACATGCAGCACTTTTAACTTTATTTTTGTGAACAACTTTGGCCTGTTCTGGAAGCGTCACGTGGCCTATCGTCCAGATGGTCTGCACCCGAACAGATACGGCACCAGTTTGTTGACGGACTTCCTACGCCATGTTGTTCAGTGCTCCCCGAGGGGGGCGTGACTGTTTACATCTGAGGCTTCTCGGCCCCCACCACCCCCCTCCTCCTCCTTACCAGCACCGGGTGAGTACTGTGGTGCAAACACTGACCCCTGTCCGTCTGGCAGTGTAACGACAGTCCTGCCACTGAACTGTGCTGACTCAGTTATGCATCTGGAACTTAACAAAGTACAACAGAGTTCACTTTTTAAACCAATAGAGACTGTGTGTGTTCCTCGCACCAGCTCAGAAATGTGTTTTAACCTGAATAAACACAAATTTAAAAGAAGGACAGCAGTTAGACGGTCCAACTCTGGAAATCTAATTCCAGTTCTTTGTAATCAATCAACTAAACCCACTGACACTGATATTAATTTTAACCTTGCTCTACTTAATGTCAGATCACTATGCAACAAATCATTTTTAATTAATAATTTTATCTGTTCGTATGATCTTGATTTTATGTTTATGACTGAAACATGGCTTGACCATAATACAGGAGATGCAGTTTTAATAGAAGCCTCACCACCAAATTTCAAATTTGAATATGAAACACGAGAAAATAAAAGGGGGGGGGGGCATAGCAGCAGTTTTTAAAGATCGTATTGTCTCCCATAGAGTGTCTCTTGGGAAATTTTCATCATTTGAGTATGTTTCTTTTAAAATAGAACAAAAGAAATCTTCTTCCATTCTTATTATTGTTGTGTACAAGCCGCCACAGTCATGCCATGGTTTCACTGATCATTTCACTGAGTTGCTTTCAGTTGTGTGCACAGATTTTGATGGTTTAGTCATTATAGGTGATTTCAATATACATGTAGATAATGCTAATGATAGATATGCAATAGAGCTGAGCTCTGTGCTGGAAACCTTTGGTCTCACTCAGCATGTGAGTGGCCCCACCCACAGCAGAGGACACACTCTCGATCTGTTAATTACCAAGGGGGTTAATATTTCAAATGTAAATGTGGTCAATGTTGCTCTGTCTGATCATTTCTGTGTATTTTTTGACATGTGTCTTGATTGTAAACCACCAGCTGAATCTTCGGTTGTTAGAAGAAGACACATAAATGATAATACAGGCGAACTGTTCATGGGGAGGGTAAACTTTGAGAACACGTTGTGTGTTATTGTAGATGAATTACTTGACTCTGTCACCACCACTGTTTTGAATGTTCTGGATACAATTGCTCCTGTAAAGGTTAAAATAGTTACAAACAAGCAAAAAGCGCCATGGACTAAAGCAGACTCGGTCAGGGCACAGAAGAGAGAGTGCCGGAAGGCCGAGCGGAAGTGGCGAAAGTCAAATCTCAAAGTTGACCATGAGATCTTCAAAGATGCGTTGTGCAATTTTAACAGGGAACTACGTAGAACGAGGGAAATGTACTTTTCTGAAACTATTGAAGGCTGTAGCAACAATCTACGTGTTCTGTTTTCAACAGTAAATAGATTGACGAATCCCCCTGTTAAGATGCCATCAGAACTTACTTCCAAATCTAAATGTAATGAGTTTGCTCAGTTCTTTAATGACAAAGTCCAAGGTATCAAAAACGCCATCACCTCCACGATAGAAATAATAATCCAACCGCCAGTGAGGCTTTTTGGGCTGACGCACTTTACACCAGTACAAATTGAAACTGTCCAGGAGATAATCACTAGTCTGAGTTCCTCCACATGCAGCCTGGATGTATTACCTCCTAGATTTCTCAAGTCAGTTCTGAGCAGTCTTTTACCTTCACTTACACAAATAGTTAATATGTCTCTTGAATCTGGAACATTCCCAATGGCCTTGAAAACGGCGGTCATCAGGCCCCTCCTAAAAAAGAGGAGTCTGGAAGCCCTGGCACTCAAAAATTATCGGCCCATTTCAAATCTGCCTTTCATGGGAAAAATTCTAGAAAAAGTTGCCTATAAACAACTTACAGAATTTTTAATAATCAATAACGCTTATGATATGTTCCAGTCAGGGTTTAGACCCCACCACAGCACTGAGACCGCGCTAATAAAGTAACAAATGACATCAAACTAAACACTGACGCAGGAAAAGTCTCAGTCCTTTTTCTGTTAGATTTAAGTGCTGCTTTTGACACTATTGATCATGGCATCCTCATTCAGAGACTTGAGGACTGGGTTGGTGTTGCTGGCACCGCCCTAAGCTGGTTTAGGTCCTATTTACAAGACAGAAAGTTTTTTATGGAGATCGAAAACTGTACCTCAGACCACTTGGCCCTGACCTGCGGAGTGCCACAGGGGTCAATCCTGGGTCCTCTTCTGTTTAATATTTACATGTTGCCTCTAGGTCAGTTGATTCACAGTAATAATGTCTCTTATCACAATTACGCTGACGATACTCAGGTCTATGTGTCCCTGACAGCAGGAGAGCATGAACCAGTGGACTCGCTCCTTCACTGTGTCCAGCAAATCGGTGATTGGATGCAAAATAACTTTCTCCAACTAAACACCGACAAAACTGAAATAATTGTTTTCGGACCCCAGAAACAAAGAGAGAGCGTTATTTGTCACCTCCAGGCTCTCTCTCTACAACCCTCAAATCAGGTCAGAAATCTAGGAGTGATAATGGACTCAGACTTAAATTTCAAAAGCCACATAAAATCTGTAACATCAGCAGCTTATTACCACCTAAAAAACATTGCTAAAATTAAAAACATAGTGTCTAAGGCAGACTTGGAGACTCTTATACACGCTTTTGTCTCCAGTCGGTTAGACTATTGCAATGGCCTGCTCACAGGTCTGTCCAAACAGGCTGTAAAACAGCTGCAGTACATTCAACATGCAGCAGCTCGAGTCCTGACCAGAACTAGGAAGTGTGACCACATTAGTCCAGTTCTCAGGTCTCTGCACTGGCTTCCTGTTCCTCAGAGAATAGACTTTAAAGCAGCTTTACTTGTGTACAAGTCTCTCCATGGTCTCGCGCCAAGGTACATCCACGACATGTTTGTGCCATATGAACCGACCCGGACTCTGAGGAGCACAGGGACTGGACTCCTGTTAGTGCCCAGAGTCGGTACTAGACATGGGCAAACTGCATTTCAGATTCATGCGGCTAGAGTCTGGAACCGTCTTCCTGAGAATGTGAGACAGGCGTCTACTCTGGCATCTTTTAAATCTAGGCTCAAAACAATTCTGTTTAGCTGCGCATATACAACTGAATGATTTTATCTTTTCATCTTTGTTTTTATCTTTAATCTTTTTAATGCACTGTGACTATTTATGATTTTAGTCCCATCTGTGATTTTAATGTTTAAAGGTTTTTAATTTTTGTGATTTTATTTTTAATGTTTTTAATATATCTTGTGCTCTTAATGTGTTTGATTTATGCATGATGTGATAGGGGATGTGAAGCGCTTTGCGTTGCCTTGTGTAGGAAAGGCGCTCTACAAATAAACGTTGATTGATTGATTGATAGGTACAAAGCGTTGATCAAAGGTTTTCAAGTTTTAATTTCTTGTCTCTTTGCATTATTCTAGTGTGTCTAGGGTAAATATAATGGAATTGCGTCAACAGAACAGCTGCACAGTAAAAAACCTATAAGTTATGCATTCATATAAATAGATGGTGAGGCTGCGTCACACACACAACAACACATGGTTTTCCAAAATGGCTGACTCAGCAGAGAGCTCCAGGACTTGAGGGGGTTACGATTATTTTGAGCTCCATCCAGCGCAACTCTGCTCTTTTTTCAGGAGTTATTTATACTCATTTGTCTTGGGGCGAGAGTGTGACTAACTTACGCCCAACATGCAGACCGACAGAGATAGGAAGCAAACAGTAAGTAATGCCTTCTTCCACATAGGTCGTTCTCATAGCTTGTGTAGAAAAGCCTGAGCCTGAGTCCGTTCCTAATGTTTGACCCACTGAGAGCAGGACATAGCTGCTCCCAAAGCCCTTACACACACTGCCAGACCCCCAGCCCCCTCTTACACAACAGCTCTGCCAACACATCCTGAACGATAGCTCCTTTTAAAGCCATCACCTGCACTTGAGTTGAAAAAAATCATCACATCAATTGCTTTATGTTAAATAAATTTGTCTCTGGGCCTTTCAAAGAAGCGTATGACTATTATTTTACTTTTCTGACCTGTGGCTAACTGGCTGGTTTCCAACACAGTGAAGAAACAAATATACCAACAATATAAGGTAAATGTTTGAACCAAGTCGTTTTATCTGACTGTGTGAGAAATCTGGCATGCAACTTCGGACGTTGGTATCTTTACTATAAAAACACACAGATAAACTGCAGTAAATATTGTGCACACATTAATTCTCTAAATAAAAAAGTTACTGTCAACATTTGGAATCTCTAACAGTTGTTATCTAACTAGATTTTAGTAGCAAAACTGACTTTCAAAGGACCTGCCCAAGATTATTAACATAAAATAGCGATTTTGCATTGCTCTAGGCCTAACTGCTCCTTCATCATAAATAAAAACTGATTTAATTTAAAAACAAGGAGCAGGTGGTGTTTGTGTTGCTGTCCTGGCACACTGCCCTTCAGCCTAAATGCCAGGGTTTATCCACTATTTGCATAAAAAGAAAAATAGCATGCTTTTGTGTTCCTTTCCATGATCGAGGAATGTCACATGTATATATCTAAAGGCTATCACCTGCTGAGGTAATTAAACTAGGAAATGAGTGTAAGTCCATGGGCGTCTAATACTGTGAAAATCCCACATGGGACAGAGAGCGGATAATGTGGATGGTTACATAAAAAGTGAGGTTTTAGTGAGGAAACACCCGAATCAATCCGGATAAACACCACACTGATTCACACAATATGAACATGATAAAGAGTCCAGATTGACTGCTACAATGGACCGATTTTTACTCAGAGGAACAGTACTGTAAATATAGTCAGCATGTTGGCAGACTATATTTGGTTAATATGTTACAAAAGTGGTTGCAGCACTTGCCTTCAGTAAATAAATCTATCTTTTAAAAGGATCACTGAGAGAATATCGTACAACTGTGGCCCCAGGCTGCTTTTCCACTGGTTTGTGGCCCACATCGAGTTCTTCACATTGCTCTTTGAAGCCACGATCACAAGACCATGTGTTTTATTAATTATAGTATTATAGATCATAATAATACAAAAAAACAGAACCACACTGCAGATTGGGACCCTCTCGTCAAACATGGCAGTTGCAGTGAGTGTGAGCCAGGGCTAACCTGGGCAGATGTCCATGACCAGCAGGGGGGGCTCTGTGCTGAGGGTGAAGCCATGGCCTGTGCTGCTGTCCAGGACCGAGTCTCTGGTGATCTGCAGCTGAAGTTTGGCCTGGAAGTTCTGATTGGACAGACTGTTGGAGCGCTGCGACCTCCCATCACCGAGTAACCGCTCCCTGTAAAGGACAAAAGGCAAAGGTCACGGTGGTGTTTTTAATGAATTGATTGAGGACTAGCATGATGTCTGCAGAATGTGTCACATGCTTTGACAGAGTTTCCCTTTAATCCTGATTTGGTCCCCATTCATTTGGTGAATGGGGCAATGTACTGGAAGTGTCACATTTTATTTTCTGTGCTCTATTTTGTTCCAAATAAAACAAATCAATATAAACAGGCATCAGTTGATTGAAGGAAGGAGTTGCTTAGAGGATAACATAATCTGTGTCATGCTTTTGGTCAGCAAAGTTAACTATGCTAAGTTAGCAACTACTCTTAAAATATAGGTCATAGTGACTTCTGAAACAATGAGACAGACAGCCAGTCTTTTTGTCTACAATTAGCTGAAGCAACGACCTGAAAGTGGAGTATTTTGAATGAGAGTAAAGTAAAGTAGGCTGTATTTGACACGGTTTGTCCAAAAAATTCTACTTTGTGAACTCAAAACGAAAGGCCACAGAGATTTTTTGTTTCTTTCACAGATACATGTTGTCCTATTGAGCGGGGGCATGGCTTTATAAACTGTATGCATTTTGTTTGAATATGAAGACGACACATCTCCCCGAGGGAGCGTGTCTGGGTCAGCTGTTTGTGAGACCTTTTCCTTCGAGCCAGTTTCTTCACACGCTTCTTTCACAAAAAAGGATAAACCACTCAGCGGACAACAAGAGGGCAAGGGCCCCTTAAAGCATAATTGAGGTCTTTTTTGGGTGTGTATGTGTGTTGGGAAGAGAAGGTCCCGTTTTTCATT